TTGTCGACAAGTTTGGAGGAAAGGCAGCAATGAATTTTGTTCAGTACTACTACAGTAGTACAAAGAAAGTAGGAAGGCATTCAATACAAAGGATGGAAACTGTGGTGACGTGACCCTCGCTTACGAAAAGTCCTGATATGTTCTAGTTGTTTTCATGATCGCGCTGGTCTTGAATGGACTTTCGATTTTGTCGTGAAAGACAAAAGCGCCGTTGGCACTAATGGACACGGGTGTGGTGCTCAGTCGTACTATGTGTAGCTGGATATCGTATAAGATCCATACTATGTGATACGGAACACTTGTGCTTGAGTACTACAGCTGCAAATTTCTTGACCTGCGATGGAAGGCTTCCAATTGGCGTGGTGTGCCAGTATTTCCGCAATCAGTTTGTACGAATACGACCAATAAGGGGGCGTGACCCGTTGTCGACAACCATGACGTCCACAGCTCTTGGTCTTTATCAACATCATGTTACTGATAACACAAGTGGTCAATTAGTCTGTGCAACATAGCCGCTTTCTCTAAGTCTCTACCTTAGTATTTGCTTCTGTTTGACCAGGTAGCAATGCGTACTCTGCGAAATGCCACACATGCACTATTGTAATGAGATAATAGTAGTGTGCAAGTGCTCAATACTTATCACTACTGCTCATGTCATACTTATCACTACTGCCCATGTCATACTTATCACTACTGCCCATGTCATACTTATCACTACTGCCCATGTCATAGGTTAGCAATTAAAGTAGGAACAATATCAGGTAAGAAAACTTCATCTTGCTAGTCAAATGTATGAGATTTACATATGATACTTAACAATCGCAACCTGCCACAAGTCGTGATGTTTACTTAGACTCCGATCTGACGCACAATGGTTATCATTTCTATCGCAAAGAAAGATTATACGTTACAATTTGGCGACGCAATATGTATGTACACGATAAGCATGCTGTTACCAATTGTAAACGAGACCATAGGGATGATGGTAAAGTCGATACATTTCCTTACGAATCCAAGTGCTTAGCTGAGCAGAGTCGATATTCTTTAGACCTGAAAAAATATTTGAGAAAAGGTGATTATTAAACCGTCATATGATGGATGTTATGAATGAAGAACTACGACTATTCATCACTCATGCATAAAATCGAAGTCATTGATCAATACCGTCGTTTGAATGTCTTTGGCCAGTCATTTCGTGACGTCATTCCTTGAATCAGATCCTTAACAAAGAAATCAGGCATCGCATTTTCCTTTTAGCGCTCAACCTTGCAACAGACGTAATCTCCTATGGATCTGTCTGAAATTCCGTTCAACGTGCCTGTCATTCTTCAGTCCATTCGTGTCAACAAAAATCTGCAAAATCCTCTTGGGTCCAAGAAGGCTCGTTGTCTAACAGATAACCGTGATGTGTACGAGCAACTCATCTTACACCGAGTTCGTGACGACAAGGTCGCTATTCAGTCTGGTCACAACGGTCGCTTCCTCCATGTCCGCGTATCTGGGGAATGCGTATTTGACTCCACTGATCCTGGCGAGTGGGAGCGCTTCACCATGGAGACGGACTCAGATTGCGCTCTCTACTTCGTGTCGTGCCATACTGGAAACACCCTTCATTGTGACGATCATAATGTAGCCAGGTGTGCGAATGAAAACCGTCAATATTGGGAGGCCTGGAGAATCGTGGAGCCCCGCTCTATTGCTACCACCAGCCAAATCCAACGTGCTTTGGATCAGCGTCATGTTCTTGCTGGTAAAGACCGCCAGAATTTTGTCGTGGAGCTTGCAAGATGTGGTAAGACGCCTCAAGAAATTGAGCAGATCGTGACAAGCATTTTTGATGGTACAGGTGCTACTGCTGTACGGTCGGCTGAAGCCATTCCAGTCAGTAAGGAGTAGGTATGACCATCAAATTGTTTTCGTCTCTTTGTCCAGTCTTTGTCTGAATCATCAAACCTATCGCAACACTGGGACTTGATCACTCACACAAAACAGCGCTCCATTCTTCCACACTTGCCGTTTGAGGCGGCGGGTTAAGATCTCTGTTGAGGTGAACGATGAAACGAGAACAGATCACTTAGGCTCGTAGTCTGCAACTGCTTCGTCCATATTAGCACTGCTTGAATAATCCTTTGACGATTGCAATGAATCTTTCAGCTTGAGGTATTGCATTCTCAACGTGTCTCTTAGCTTCAACACGTTCTAATTTGTCGTCTATGTTTCTTATTAGAAGCCTGTTGAAAATATGTAACAACACTTCAGACAAGCTGACCATGCATGTTCCAAAGCAGATGCCACAACGACATCACCTTCTATTGACTGAGACGACGTACGCCATTAGCCAAGTGGTGCATCTGCCATACCAACCTCCAGTATTCCGCTTCATATATAACAGGCCTATATCTCAAATTCATGCAGTTTTAGCATCACCTCTGACGGATCGTGTTCCCGTATAAACCTTGCTGCTAAAACCAAAGAGTATGGTACGAAGCTGCAGATTGTGCTCGATGCTATTGACAAGCTGCACATCGTCGAATGTCTGCACAGCAGACCTTAATCTTGGTACCGTTGCAGCACAAGATTCAAAGCAGGTAGACGGTCTTGTGAATCACGTCACGAAGGTCAAAAAGAAGCTGCGGGTGCTCGTGCTGTGAAACGGTATTGTGACGCTACTGCTAAGGCTATGAAGCTATATAGTAGCTGCTAGACGCGCGTAAGTTGGTAAGCCACACCTAGGTCGTGATGGATGGAAGTGTCATGGAAAGGATGACTGATGTGGCAATGGCCCGGTGAAGAAGGTTGTGGCACGTGCAAGGACTTTCATTCAGTAAGTGACAACGTTATTTCACTTACATGCGCAACTGTTTGGTTTGGTCATGTGCTGCTTCCATTTCTTGATTACCGTAAGCTAGAAACTTCGAAATGGTATGGTCATTGCTTTTTATTAAGAGGTTTTTCTTGTAACTTGGAAACTTTGATCTTCATGGACAAAATGCTATTTGTTTGAAGACTACCACAGCTATCGCAACTCTATTAAATGTGACGGACACAGGAGAAATGTAGCTAGCTACATGCGAGTACTCATTAGACTGGGTGACAAACACGTGATCCAATCTTCTTCGCCTCGACTGGCTAAATGCCAATTAGTTTTTGTTTTGAATTCTCTTTTCTTGACGACTTAGGAAAATTGCGTTGCGAAATCCATGTCTCGTAAGCTTTCCAGAGAGAAGAGCGATATTTAGCATTGATATGATTCCACCACTTTTGGAGTTTCTGCGCTACTTTCGCAATCTGCTGGTATCCATTCGGCACCAGCTTACTGCCTGCAAAATAAAACTTGTGCATGGGATCACTCACTCTAACCACGCTTCCCTTGAGATTGCGATGACTTTTGTCCGCTAGCTCTCGTTGAGAATCTGTCGTCAAAGTTTTGATCTAAGTCAAGTCTTCGGCTCTTGAAGAGGTGCTGCAGTAAGCGATGAAGGTGAGAGTCATGAGCATAAGAAACTGGCTCACGCGCATGATCGTGGAGGGATTGTTCGACTTGAAACAAAAATGAGCAAATTCAAAGAATACCAAGCGTGCTCACGAACGAACGACCAGACCAAGTATGGTCTTTACAGGCTACATACACATCGCACTTGAGTCGTGATTGCCCATTTTGCAATGTCTTTACTTATTGGATTGGAAGATCCACATTGGGCAATCATCCGAATATCAAGAATAGCCATGCGACGACGAATTAAAAGCATTATGCTTTGTATGGTCGTCTTTTTTATACCATCCATCAGCATTGACAAATCCTCTTTCATGTGCACGACGTATAGGATAGCTTTGGGGAATTTATGTCGTCTAATTGGCACGAGTATGCGCGATAACGACATTACAATAAGCTTTTCGCAGTTTAACTTACAGTTTTGGACGATGCCAGCGCAGCGAGTAATTTGTGACAAAAAAAACAAAAAAAAACGTAAGCGAGTCGTTGGGCAGCTTTGTGTCAACAAGCTCACCCATGCATTCTCAATGTTTTATGGTTGTGTTGCCATAATCCTGCCTTCGCCGATACTACCTTACTGACTGATGCAGTTATGGTCACTGATAAACCTTTGCTATCAGATACGTCTGGCTAAATTGACAAAGGCTGCCTTTCAACTCTTCTTCCATTTCAAGACTGCAAGAAGATCGAGAAAAGAACACTTCAATTTTCCTTCCTGAGAAGTTTCATGTTAGCCATTCAAAAGTCAATTTGTTTAGAGTCATTACAAGGAAAACTTTCTTTGTCGTCCAGTCTGTGCTGGCTCCAGTGGTTCGTTATGGGCTCTTGTGTAGTGTGCACTGCTTCTGATCATGTCAAAATGTACTAAACATATCGTTTCTGCTCAGTGGTGCAGAACTGCAAGGTAATTAATAAGGTAACCAGGTTTTACTGGAAACGCTCCTGCAGTCCTCAAGACCACACTGCCCCATGCGTCATGTTTGATAAAAGTTTATTGATGTGGGTATACATGACAGGCTTGGGTTGTCTCGTTGTTGCCGGTGTATTTTATTGCCAACACGTGAACGTTGTTGTTGAACTTTCAATCAACATAGAGCTTGTTTTGACTCTCATTCAGACTCATGCCGAATCGTCTTCCAGGAGCGAGGTTTTGTAACAAACCCGTGTTGGATACACCAACTTGTTTACATAATCATTAGACCGTTCTAAAGTGACAAACACCGTTTCAAATTGACTGGCAACGATGCTGTCGGTCCGAACTCTACTGTCACGCAGCTCTTGTGGATTGTTGAGAGCTTCACAGCGCTTGCAAGCTCACCAAAATATAGCTATACTGTCTGCGTATCCTTCAACATTTCTTCAGCCTTCATTTTTGATCTCTAGCCAACGCAATTGCTCATCCACCAACCCAGCCATAACTTCACAGGTCCTTCACTCTACAGGTACTGTTTTGGACGTCGAGAAGCCGAAATTGACGGTAGATCAAATCCTAAACCATGTATCGATCATGGAGAAGTGGACATGTAGTGGATGTGGCATTGCATTGCAGTACAAGGAGCCCAAACAGGTTGGGTACTTTCCCAAGCAGCTACTGAACAATGTGCACGATCTAAAGGATCTCAAGCGACTACGCTGCGAACGTTGCTTCCAAATGGCCCAATACGGCAAAATATCGGACGCTAGAATGCCGTATCAGGAGTATGAGAAACGAGTTATGGAGCTCCGTAGTAAGGATATGCTCATGATTCAATTGGTGGACATTCTAGACATCTCTGGGAGTTTGTTGCCAAATGCACGACATATTTTTGGCAAGAAGCCGGTGATGTTGGTTGTAAACAAGGGAGATTTGGTGCCAACGAAGTCGGGTATTCGACGTCTGATGAGGAGAATCAAACAAGAGGCCAAGTGTGCAAAAGGTATATTTTTTGGTAGTGGATAAAACTAGACTGACGAGATGTTTGGATGAATGCATGTATAGAGAAGCAGGGATTGAAAATATAATCTCCATCTATCTGATCAGTGCTATGAAGCGGATCGGAATGAAGGAGATTGTAGAGGATGTGGCCAAGTACCGAAAGGGTCGCGATATTTGCGTAGTTGGCGCTGCCAATGTGGGCAAGTCGACGTTTCTGAACTCGTTTATGTCGCATCTAGTGGATCGCAAGTGGCAACACAACCATCGCAAGTACATGAAGATGGCAGAGGTTTCTTTATCCGAGTTAGAGAATGACGAGACAGCGATGATGCTTAACATTGACGAGGATCTGATGAAGGAGGCAAAGGTTGAAAAGGAAAAGAGAGAGTCAGCCGAGAACGAAACTACTGTTGTGACTCCGTATGGGGAACTTTACGTCGCTCCAGGCGAGGAACCAGGAATGATTGAGATGAGTGCGGAGGAACATAGGGAGATGACAACGTCGCCACTTCCCGGCACGACCTTGGCTGTCCAGTATTTGCCAGTTATGGTACACAATGAGGCTTTCAACATTCTAGACACCCCTGGTTTGATCACTGATACCAAACGACAGAAGCTTGTCGAAGTGCTCGCGCTGGACGGTGCTGCTAAATTGAAGAACGTATTTCCGTCCACGAAATTACCAGTATGCCATCAACGCAACACGCCAACTCTCATGACACGCTAATGACCGTTTACTTGGTTTACGATTGCTTAGGTAACGACTTATCGCGTGCGTCCAGGTCGCAGTTTGTTTCTTGGTGCTCTTGCGCGCTTCGATTATGAAACCATTGGAGGTGACAACAACAAGAATATGCTGTTGCTATCCTGGTACGGTGTGCTGCCTGGCCATCTCACAAGCACTGAACGTAAGCTTTCTACGATGCTCTATGTCTTTTGTGTGAAAGCGGTATGACTGACGTATGTTATGACATGCATCCACTTTCTCAATCGAATAGGTGCAGAAGACATGTTCATCAAGCACGCTGGTGGTATTCTTTCACCTCCACGGGGTCTTGATGCCATGAGCTTTATTGGCCCGCTCACTCTATCGCAGAATGTTTATATAAAGGATTATGCGCTTGACAGCGCGCTCAGTAAGTCCAAACACAAGAAGCCTAAGCGTACGACTGTCGTGGAGCTGGAGCTGCCAGGCTTTGGGTGGCTCTCCGTTACTGCCGTGGACCTCGATGGCACTGTGGCATCACAAAAGACGCTGAGCCAAGGTAAAATATCCGTTTACACATGCCGTGGGCTCTCCGTCGTTTCGCGTACATCGCTCTTCCCATACGAGATGTCGGACTCAAAGAGCACAACGTGGAAACGCTAGCAGCACGCCACAGTTTAGGTAGCCAAACCGTGGCTTGAAGCGGTGAGGAACATGTTGATAGTACAAAGTTCTATTCGTATCTCTATTTTGCTTGCCCGTTATCGACCTGCATTCCTACCGATGCTTGTCATTTTAAAAACGTAATAGCAGAGAGCATTACAGTCTCTACGGACTATTCGAATTGGCTCGCTACCTTTGCGCCTCCTTGGCTGAGTTAATGCCACTCCGATCTTACTCATAAACCTAACTTTGTCATATCTGTGGTAGCCAACTGATTGCGCTAGAGCTCTACCTACATCTACATCTCACTGATCGTCCTTGTCGGGTAAAAGCATTCAAAACGTGCTACCTAACCATTATCGGACAGCAAACTTGCGAGAGACGAAAGATTGTAGTGAGGTTCGACTAACCGGCGATCTTGATGTGGAAATTGTACCATTACGCCTAAGCTGTAAAAGCATGGAAAGTGAACCTTTATCGAGGACTACAGTAAGCCCTGCATCCGTTGCATTGCATCCGACTTTTCAAACGACAAAAATTGCAAAACTACGGATTGTTCTAATGCTCGTCCTGCAATCACAAGCTTAAAGTAAAGAGTGCGACGCGTAGTTCAATGCTTTGTTGTTTTTAATACTAAACGTAAGCGCTGCTGTTTTACTGACTGAAGTCAACTGCGAATGACCTATACAGCACACGTTTGACTTAGATAAAGCAAGCGGTTTGTGAGAACATACATGACGGAAAATGGAATTGTACTCATCATGTGCTCCCTAGGTATAAAGATCATTTCACAAATATGCTCAGTCACGCTTGTTATCACTGATTAACACGTACCATTAGTTTTTTAGATACAGCCATATACATGAACGTCAAGTGATCACGCGGACTACACAATTACTTCCATAGCTTAGTACGTGACCAAAAAATCTGAAAAAAATGTTACGGGTTTCCATTAACAGAGTCTTTATGCACGTTTACACACTTACCATAACCAGAGGAGAGCTTTTAAGGCTGAGAATCTTGAAATGGCTCATTTTAACATTCCGATTTGGTCTTGGAAGTGCATGTCCAAATCCTTGCTGATTGCTAAATGTAGAAAGAATCATAACAATAAGAGATGACCTCTTTCAATATCAATCAAAATGATCGCATACGCTATAGAAGTACTAGAATGATCGACGCTATTCGCGAAGAATGGCCGTATACCTTGTTGGATAATGACACAGTTTGTCTAGTAATGCAGCTGAACTTGCTCTTAAATTCTACGTTTGAACTTGTTCTTTCCGTTGTAACCTCTGTTGATACACCCACATGAACGGAATCCCACTCCAACACCGTTTTGTTGCAATCACACTCCAAGATATTCCATCCTGCTCGGTCGTTAATGGTGTTGTAAGATGTCCGGTACGACAAGGTGCGATCAGAATAAAAAGCTGCGCGGATAGGCTTTTGTAATAAATTTTGTAGCGCATGCTATCGTGACAATGATTGACAAGTATGTCCGATGAGGTCAAGTAACAGGAAGCACAATATCAATGTGCTGACTAGAACACATACGTTTGTCTGCCAAAAGCAGTTAGTTTCCCTCAATCATGGCAAGATGGAGCCATCAAGCACTCTATGTTATTGATAATGCATCGCGTGAGAAGTTACCACGCTTGTTATTTCACGTGTTGGATAAATGGTGGGCATCGTTGCCACCAATGATTAATTGACATCATGATTCCAGCCATTAGCGTACATGTATTTGTCACTTTTAGGGAAGAATATCCAAGCATGAGGGCATTCTTTGCTTGCATCAGCATTCCGTACAGGCTACATAAAGTGAAACGGTCAAAGATCACGCAGTAAAAGTCGTCTTGTCAGCACCACTTGGGTCGATCTATCGGAGGAATCACCTACGACATGAGACTATTGAGGAAGGATCGCTTCTGAGTTTTTCATTCCAGAATCCGCTGTCCTTAACTCAAGCACCTTTTTCTTATTTCTTGACCATGACCCTTAAGCTATACGCCAACCTCGTCAGCCAGCCTTCGCGCGCCGTGGCTTGGGTGCTCAAGGTCAAGGGTGTAGCCCACGAGCTTGTGCTTGTGACTCCAGGCAGCAACTTTATTAAGTCGGACGAGTTTAAGGCTATTAATCCCAATCGTCTTGTGCCTGCTATCAAGGACGATGACTTCGTGCTGACAGAAGGCATGGCCATTTTGCAGTACTTGGGGGACAAGTACGACTGGACTGGATCTACTGATCTGTATCCTAAGGACCTTAAGGTGCGTGCCAAGATCAACGAGTTCTTGCACTGGCACCACACCAACACGCGGCTTTTTACAATTAACATTGTGCGTCCGGAGATTGCCAAAAAACTCAAGACCGCCACCTCCAAGGACTTGGCTGCACTTGAAGGTAAAGAATCTCTCATCAAAAAGGAGTTTGATCTTCTCGAGACGTTTCTGGTCAACGACTTTATTGCTCACACTGATTTTCCCACGATTGCCGACTATACGGCGTACTGCGAGATTGACCAGCTTGAGCTCATGGGCTACGACTTTTCCAAGTACCCAAGGGTGTCTGCGTGGACTGCTCGCATGAAGTCTCAACCGTTTAATGACGAGATCCATGAGACGCTTAAAGATTTTGTGAAGGATTTTGGTCTTACCGCGTAAGCGGTGACGACAAAGATTGATAAACGTATCTTAATACGAACGGTTCTTTCGACATCTGATGTTTTAGTTGGTTGCCAGTAACATAGCCATAGACTAACATTCAACTTAACCACGTTGCAGACATTTAAAAGATAATGAAATTGCTGCTACTTCCTCCTCCAAGACTGCCATGCGTATCCTGTGTTGACTATAATAAAAAAACATCCTAAGCAGAGATTGAGTGCCAATTGCCGTAAGCTGCGGGTGTCTGCGTCTCACTCAAACCCGGAATCACGCCAACTCACCGCTCTTTTTTCAATTCGTTGTTACTACCGCTGTTGGCATCGACCAAAAAGCTCTGAAACCCGCGTTCGAGTTCCGCATGATCAAAACCCTGCCCAATGAGAACAAGACGGGAAACGCGCTGCTCTCCAGCCTTCCAGACCGTTCCTGGTGCAATTGTGTACGTATCCAGCGTCCCTTGCACGACACAACGGCGATCTTTAGCATCTCCAGTCACCGATAGAACGCCCTTTACACGGAATACGTCAGCACCTTTTACATATCGTGTAACAACCTCAGAAAGCCATTCACCGAATACAGCGACGTCCACATCGCGCTCGACCTCAAAGTGAATTGTGCTAATGTCTCCTGTATGTTGACCGCGAGCTTGCATGCATCCATTTCCTCCATTAGCAGCTTTATTTTGCGTATTAAAACGCACTGCATCAAACGTCTTCACATTCAAGACCTTGTCCAGGTCTACATCAGCATTCACACAGCTACAAACCGTTGCTTCTTCATTTATACTAACCAGTGTCTTTTCCAGTCTCTTACACTCTTCTTCCGTAGCCAAATCCACCTTGTTCAACACAACGAGATCCGCATACAAAATTTGCCGCTGTAACTCAATCGGGAACTCATACACTTGCATTTCTTCCTTCCAATATATCTGCGTTGCTTTGGCATCCACCATTGTGAGAATTGCATCAAGTCGAAATCTTGACGCTCTCAACTTCAAAAACGTTTCAATGATTGGTCCTGGATCTGCAAGACCTGTAGTCTCCACCATAAGATAGTCAAAGCTCTCCTCTTGTATCAGGTGTAGTAAATAGTCCAGGATTCGTTCCAATTCGTCGCCGCCCTTTCCTTTGCCTCCGCGAGATGTGCAGCACATGCAGCCGTTTTTCAAAACGTAAATCCCGTCCTTTTCCTTTCCTCCTGCCTGTAACAGCGTGTGGTCGATACTGATGGCCCCTACCTCATTCTCGAGGACCATGATCTTGTATGGCAATTGATCTTTGGTCAGCAAGATTCGGTTGAGTAAAGTGGTCTTTCCAGCGCCCAGAAAACCCGTTAAGATAGTCACAGGTACGGAATGAGCATGTGTCTCTTTAGATGCAGCTGCTACTTCCTCTGTTTTAAGCTGGATGCGGCGTTCTCGACGTAATTGCAGGCACCAGGCTACAAAATTAGCCAACGCAAAGGACAGTAGCAACAACACAACAAAGACGATGCCTAGAAGCGTCCAAAAATCACGAGACGATAGAGAATACGAAGGAATAGTAGCGGCGGAGAGTCCTACTTTGTTGTCGTTTGCTACGGTTCCCATCGAGCTTGGCGATCGCATATTGCGAATACCGGTTTTATATCTCTCTTTGTGGGAAAATCTAGGACTTTAATATTATGCAAATCCCGCGATCCGTAGAAATACGCAGAAAAAGATGCTAGCGTTGAGATGAGGTTGCTACCAGCCCTATGGTACCATTTGTTACGAGAATAGCAGTAATGTCTAGGGCATAGGTTTGTCTATCCATCTTTCAGCTTGTAGATGGAAAGGCTCAATGTATTATCACTGTGAGTGGGATGCGCTTTACGCTTGACACGGAACACTTGGTTTTTGAATGTATCGCTGCATTTAATTAGGAACAACGTCTTTCTGAATAGAGCCGCCATACCAGACGTGAACATCGTACAAAATAGGTAGAGAATGGTCAGATCGTTTATCGTTATCATTATTACCTTTGATTGTTTTCATTTTCAAATTGAACAACTCCATGCGCCTGAGCCATTTCTTCTACTCGTGACGCTGGCCTTCGTCGCTTGCTGCGGCGCGGAAGACTTGACGGTAGACTTCCAAAGCAAGCTGGAAGACAAAACGCATGGCAATCTCAGAGAAGACGTTGCTGAAGAGAGGGCATAAACGCAAAATGGCTTGCTGGCATAATACCAAAAGCCTTCCATGGAAAGACGAATATGGCGTGGTGAATATGCCGGAGAAGAAGTCCATGTTCAAATCGGCAAAAGTTATTGCTAATCGAATTTATAGCTTGGTGCATAAGGACAAGACCTGGTATCAAAAGTTCGCGAAATCGAGTGCGAGATGGGCCGAGTCTTCCGTGGGACTAAAGGAAAGATCGATGATGCGTATGATTCTCTACCATCTTCGCAAATTGTTCAAATTGAAAGGAGCGCGAAAAGAAGGCGTCGTCGGGGTAAATCAGCAATGAAAGCGCCCGTTGTTTGCCAGCCAAGAAAGGGTAACAAGGACCAATGTGTTTTGTCACTCAGTTAGTAGTAAGTACCATAGAGTTGCTAGCTACCTCTGATGTTGTAGTTAATTTGTGTTGTATGGTCCAACGAAAAGCTTTTCGTCCGTACAGATAGTTTTTTAAGCAACAAATATGACCATGCATTTTAATGTTTCTTCGATTTACGTTGTAATCGATAGACCAAACAGTTGTAGAAAGAAAGCAAAACAACAATGTTTGCTTACTGGATGAAAACCTTACCAAGTTCCAAAGCCTTGTCTACCTTATTCATTGTCTTGGTTGAGTGTAAAACTGCTTCGTGCGTTCATGCGACCACCCTTTCAACTCATCATGACTGAGGTCAGGCTCACTTACTTACGCGCGTAGCTGCGTTAAGCTTTCATACCCTCAGCAATAGCGTCAAGGACATCGTTATTCACACCACAAGCAGCCGCAGCTTCCATCTTGATTTTTGTGACGCGGTTCACGAGACCGATCATCGATTTTCAAAGCGCTTATTGCAACTAACAAGAGTAAGGCCTGGTATGCAGACACTCCATACCGTCCAGCTTGCTAATAACACCGAGCTCAGCCTGCCGTGTCGTACAATTCTCTTTGGTCTTAGCAGCAAGGTTTATGCGGGAGGATGACCCGTCCGAGGTAATACCAAAGCATCAAAAACAAGTTTGAGATGTACCAATTCGCGCCTCCGAGCAACAACGGCCAAGAGACAACGACCTCCCAGAGCCGTCCAGCCGGCTCCCTTCGGGAAGTCCCTCCGACGGGAGGCCCAGGATCCAGGCGGGAAAGAGGTTTCCCTCTGCTGCGTGCGCTATGGGGGGGGCAGCGCAGCGTGTGACTCGTAAGGGAAGCACCAATCCTATCAGCCCCTGGGGGAGAGGAATGACGACCGCGGTTATCCTTTCCCCCGTTAAGTCCTTCTATTCTACGACAACCTTCAAGTCGCCGACCCGATCGCCGCGCGCAAATCCCGGTCCCACGAGGCAAACTTGCCTAGAACGTAAATTGATTGACCCCGTTCTGGTGCATCAGCGGCCGATCGGAACTGATCCTTGTAGTGCCCGGCGCTTGTTGCGATCATAAAGACACTATCTACACCCCGGGCTGGATAACCGATTCCGCGTGCCCTTGCGGAGTGTCCCCCGTAAAGCCAGACGTCTCAAGCCAGCAGATTGAGCCAGCGAGGCGAAGAATGATGTAGTCTTGGTAAAAGCACTCCAGACATTTTGCCAATCCTGAACGCTTGAAATAGACGGTCAGTTAGTTTGAGATATACGCCATAGTGAATGATGTCGTTGCTTGCGACAGAGAAGCAGCATACTGAAGGTAGGTATAGCAGATGTAGGATGACATTTCCACGAATTGGCCAAATGCGCACGTTATCTCAGTCAAACAGAAGGCAACGTCGTTGTCGCATCTCGAATGATCAGCTCGTCTGAAGTGTTACATTTTTAGACAGACTGCTGATGCGAAAACTTACACGATAAAATTGTGCGTGGCGATGCTTGAAGAGACATAGAGCATAGGAAATTCATAAGTTGGGAAATTCATAAGTTGGGAAATTCATAAGTTTGGAAATTCATAGCGACAGTGACAAGATTATTTAAGCAGTGTAGTTGCAGACCACAAGCCTCAGCAATTTTCTCTCGTTTCATCGTTCATCTTAACAGAGATCTTGACCCACCGCCGCACACGGCGAGCTTAGAAGATTGGAGCGCTGCCTTGTGTAAGTGATCAACTCCCAGTGTTGCGATAGGTTTGATGATCCAAACACAAAGATTGGACAAAGAGACGAAAACAATCTGATGGTCGGACCTACTCCTTACTGACTGGAATGGCTTCAGCCGACCGTACAGCAGTAGCACCTGTACCATCAAAAATGCTTGTCACGATCTGCTCAATTTCTTGTGGCGTCTTACCACATCTTGCAAGCTTCACGACAAAGTTCTGGCGGTCTTTACCAGCAAGAACATGACGCTGATCCAAAGCACGTTGGATTTGGCTGGTGGTAGCAATAGAGCGGGGCTCCACGATTCTCCAGGCCTCCCAATATTGACGGTTTTCATTCGCACACCTGGTTACATTATGATCGTCACATTGAAGGGTGTTTCCAGTATGGCACGACACGAAGTAGAGAGCGCAATCTGAGTCCGTCTCCATGGTGAAGCGCTCCCACTCGCCAGGATCAGTGGAGTCAAATACGCATTCCCCAGATACGCGGACATGGAGGAAGCGACCGTTGTGACCAGACTGAATAGCGACCTTGTCGTCACGAACTCGGTGTAAGATGAGTTGCTCGTAGACATCACGGTTATCTGTTAGACAACGAGCCTTCTTGGACCCAAGAGGATTTTGCAGATTTTTGTTGACACGAATGGACTGAAGAATGACAGGCACGTTGAACGGAATTTCAGACAGATCCATAGGAGAAGAATATGTGTGTTACAAGGTTAATGCGAAAAGGTAAATGCTAGGTGAGGTCTATTAATATAAATAATTTTTCCAAGACTATGTCAAACCACTGGAAGATGAATAAATTTGCTTTTGATGTCATGATTAACGGGAAGATGTACATTTGCCTAACAGGACGAAGTGGGAAAAGCCATCAGTTCACCGTGCAGTTGGGTATAGTGTATTTACCACAACTTTATGTGACATGGCCTGACATTGTGACTTCAAGGTGCAGAAAAGATGACGCCACGGAAAGATGTCATCCAGAGGAATAGATATCTTTGCAAGTTCTACAGAAACGCTTATCATACCATAGTACGCGTCTACTCCAATTCTTTTTGATCAATCATCTACAAGGTTTATATTTAAGCACATTATGTAGTCGAGCTACCGTAGCAAAGCTACTTAAGCACTAGGTGCAGAGGAAGACAAGCTCCAAGAGCCTTACGTCTTAAGACTAACAACCCTCTCAAGGCTAGATTTTACAATCTTGTACCTTCAGGTTATTAGTATCCACGTCTTAATGAGACCAGTATCTGAGATACGATCTGCTTCTTTCAAGGACTAATGCTCAAGCAACTAATGCTATACTGCAAAATGTTGCAAGTGCACTTGTTGCACAGAAGGTAGACGTAAAAGTCAGATATATTACCGCTAACTCTGTCAATCAACATTATAACATGCATTTCCCTGCACTGAAACTGGACGTACATCTCATGTAGCGTCCTTAGCTCCTTATACCATGTAACGGCCTTAACTCCTTGTTCCATGTGTCGACCATGCGTCCTTATTACCCTGTCCCATCGTCAAGTTCAACAAGTTTGGCCAATCAAGTGAGGTTGCACTTTACCTGTATCAGATATTGCAGTACAACTTCAACACCTTCATGACCTGTCAGAATCAATAGCTTCTAAAGCGTCATCCTGCATGGCCTTCAACTTGAACACTGCACGCAAGTCAATCATCCTTGGTCCTGGCAACGAACGACTTCGGTAATACGTCCACCATCATGTCTTCGGACTTGATAAACTTAGGTTGTATGACACATTCTTGAACACAATGACGGATAAACTTGAAAAGTATGTCCACATGCTTCGCGCTTGACATAGTCTTCTCAGACTCGAGTAGCTTGATCGCGGCTTGATTATCCACCCACACTGACATGGGTCACGCGTGCGTAGCCTCAGCTCTTCGAAATGTTCTTTTTAAACCCAACAACTCTCGTCCAGCCTGTAAAGCCAAGATAAATTCTTCCTCCATTGTGCTCAAGGAGACACTTGACTGCTTCTTGCTCAGCCACATCACCACAGCACCATCCATTGTGATAACGCAGCCTGACACAGACTTTTGATCTGTCTATCAGCAATAAAGTTGGCGTCGCTCCAACATTTATTCGCATGTTGTTCGTCGTACCCACAGCATTTAGATGTACCTTCAACGTCTTCGACATCCACAAATATCGCGCGACACGCTTAGCCATCGTTCACTTCTAGGTTGTCGGATTGTGCTTCTGTCTTGTTGTCTTGTGTACCGCAAAAGAAATGCCCGGTCGCGTGCACTTTGCAATCCGTAGCAGACTTCCCACCAGCGACTGAAAAGACTTCACACTTTGTTTACCGTTTACATCAGTAGCTGGTAAAAATTCGCAATCGTCCTTGGCCCTTTCATTGCATTCGTCTCCAAATGGTGTGCGCACTCCATTTGCCGACTCTAGTCCAAACTCCTTCAATAGCAAATTAATGCTCACCTCTTGATCTAGAATGTATTCTTCGAAGTCGTCGAGTGCAACACGAAGTCCCAAATTCTTGCTCACGGCTTCTAGCTCTTTAATCAAAAATGCTTCATATCCTCAAACAGATCATCAACAGCACTTTTTTGGTGCCTGTAACCAATAGGTAATCAACATAGACTTTCACCACCGTACATGTATCTCCATCATACTTATAGTTAAAGCACATGTCGGTAGTACTCTGTTAGAAACCACCTTGACGCAACTGGGAATGACCATAGTCGTTTTCGCTTTCTTAAGACCATCTAGCGACTTCTTCAGCATCAACGCGAGGCCCTGGTGGCAAGCATTCCCCCCCCCCGCGATACTGTGGACTTACTTTTGTCGTCAATTGCTTCCAAGAAACAGGCGCGACAAGTGGTTGACCTACCTACTCCCATCGTGGAGCCCGACAAAGAATTATATGTTATGGGTTTGATGAGGCTACACATTTCTAGTCTACCTCATCTACCCATGAAGCCCTAATCGACCCGCTAATGGAATCGATCTCCCTAACCTAGTGGTTTGGGAGCAAGTAAGGGCCAGGCGGTTAATACCCTTGAGATAACTAAGGAAAGGCCAGGGTCGAGAAGCTCCCTTAATTAATGTGGTTATAAGTTTACCGACCGAGTGGTCACCTACTAGCCTACCGAGTGAAGTACATCCACTCGAGGCACCCCCCAGGTCGACCTCTTTCAAGGCCGACATCTATGTTCTCACCAAGTCTTCCGAAGAACGCAACCCGCCAGTCAACGGGTATACAAGGCATTGAGGTACCCCCATCGACAATCGGTAGCCCGGCACAGCAAGTGGTTTTGGGTTTCATCACAACGTTTTGAAAACCCACTCCACCACAAATACATATGCTTTTTTACATATCAGTAGGCTTCATAGTGACTCAATGTTGTGACTAGCACTAAGTATAAGGTAGGTGCTTTAATATTTGAATCTTGAAGATAAACATTAAATAAACTAAGATAATACCTGCTCTGTATAACATTTGTTGCTAGAGCCTTAGTCCTTGTAAAGGAAATGGTCAACCCAGTGGAAGGAACAGCTAGGACCACACAAAGTCAGGCAAGAGATATCAAACGCAACACAAGCTGGAAGCATTTACGTGATGGATGAGCCTAAAACATGCGCGTGCTCAAGCGGCTGTATCGTTGATCAAGTGAAGAGAGCGGCTGTGGTGAAGCGCTTAATAAATGTGGGAGGCCAAGGACCAGTGGACCAAAGAGATAGAGGCTCACACAAGAGAAGTGAACGCTGGGATATGGACCAAAGAGAAAGGGCGGCAAAAAGGGGAAACGACCGCTGGATGGGAAAAATTCACGGTCAAAGCCGCTGCCGGGGAACCGGTTGGCCGCTATTCAAAAAAGTGAGCCGCGGTTCCACATCCGGTCCCCCAAGGTGGACCTGGTTCCTCATCGGTAGACCTCAGTCCTTTAAGGTCGACGCAAGGACTCAGCGGAGTCAGATGTTTTTCGTTCGATTCTTGGATACAGCCTCCAGGCTTTGGAGCACACCCTACCCCTCAAAGGTTACTGAATGACTCTCCGGCTACCTGTTTTTGGCTTGACGACCAGCATTTGCTGGATATCAGATGGTTGACACACCGGCTCATGTCAATGTCAACTATGAAATGACTTAAGTACCCGTGTCTAGGTTTCAAGGACATAATGTACCTGCGGAGGAGTCCCGGGTACGCATATGTCCATGTCCGGTGTTTCATCAATTCGGAAAGGTGCGGGAAGGCGTACTGGCTGGTCGTCAAAGGAAGTTTGCACGTCAGCCTTTCGACGGAAAGGAACTCTACCATGGACTTGGTAGTGGGTTTCGAGAGTGGGGCAAAATATTTTGTCGCCAAGTTGGATTTTTCGAATGCGCATGTGGTTTTATATGGCCTGAAGATATTAAGGTTGATGTTTTTGGCCAACGCCTCGCAGGTAGCGCGCAGAAATATTATCGACGGCAGGTGAACTTGGTGGTCTGAAAGCCCTACCTTGGAGCATGCTATGCAAAGGTTGTTGCAAACATTTGCAGCCAAGATCACACCTGCCAAGAGCATACAATTACTCACAGCGGCCAAGTCATCTCAACGTAGCTGGACGGAACATTTTTTGTACCTGACGGCTGTGAGTGATGCATGCGGAGATGCGGGAAACCATGTGTTGGATAATATTGTTCACTATGATGATCCAGCAATGCAAACAACAATGTTGTCACGATTGAATTTGCAATGTACCGGCTACTTGAGACAAGCAGAGGAGCTTGCACAATTTGCACATTTGACATAACATGAAGTTCGGGTCAAGCATTTTGGTCGAGACGTTGTAACATTGTCCAGTCTACCGATGAACCAAGGAGGTCGGACCCTACCATAATTTCATGATATACAAGGTTCGAAAAAGTACTACCAGTGTGGTAAACTTGGCCACCTCAAGGCTGAATGTCTAAGGAAGATCAAGAAAAAATAAGACGCAGATTTTATTGTGACTGTTCAAGATGAGAGAAAATGCTTGCTAATCAACTGGGTACTGGATAGCGGCTCAGGGCGTCATTTAATTAATGGCTTGAGCCTGATAGAAGATGGGGCTGATTTCAAACATAAATGTTTACCGCAGCTTTTGTGGAGGACAGCTCAAACAAGGAAGTTTGGTAATAAAGTAAAAGCCCTTGGTGTTATCAATACCATCCGGCTTCTCGAATTTCGCGAGGCATCTTATTTTAAGCGTAGTATCATCTTCTTTGAAAATTAGAGCAAAACGGTTGCGTTTTGGAATATCGCGAAGGGGGGAGAGTTTTGGTCTTTCATCCTGGTGATGTACCTATCATGGGTGTCAAAAGATCAACGATGTGTTGATTGTTATGGTTTTGATGACGTTTCGATGGAAGTTTTTCGTGGAAATGGAACACGAAGGGATGCAATTATGACAGTTGTGAGCGATGTTGCGAACGAACCCAACGTGGGTGTTGAACATGGACGTTTGCTACAATTCCATTGTCATTTGGGTCATTTGTATTATGAAACTATCATCAAGATGGCCTGTGACCCCGCCTCTGGTATCAAACTGAGCGATAATAAGCGTACCAATTGATTGGCCTGTTACATAGGCAAGCAAACAAAGAACGCGCAATCACGCAAGGACAGCACCTATTGATGTGATCGGGGTGTTATTTGTTTAGACCTTAAGGGTCCAATGACACCTCGTAATCGGCTCGGCATCCTCTATTTGACCAATTTCCTTGATCACCGATCCAATTATCACCGGGTGTTTCTTGCCAGGACTAAGAATGTTGGTGTCATGAATTTTAAGCATTTTTCGGTCGCTTTTGAAAGGCAACTAATTACCATGTACACGTTTCACGAACAGACGGCGGGGGGTGAGTACAAATCTCTGGATATGTTTTGCAACGAAGCTGTTATTTCTCGTCAAGTTAGTGAAATAGGCAACCAAGCAAGTAACTGCAAGGTGAGAGGATGCACCGTACCATTATGAATATGGCGCGCATCATGGTATCTCCAAACGGGCTACCGTTGAAGCTTTGGGGTGATTCTGCTGAGTATGCAGCTTACATACTCAACCGAGCCCACCAAGGCAAATGAAGGTGGAATCTTACCTATTGAGATGTTGACCAAGAAACGATCGGCCTTAAGTAATATCGTGGTATTTGGCTCCCCATGCACAGTGCATTTGACTACTGCAAACAAATCATTGGGTACACGTGGCTAGGTGGCGATTATCATCGGAAAAGATAACGAGATGAAGGGATATTAGGTTTACATATCAAAGGAGCGGGTTGCCGTGCTTACCCAAAACGTAAAACATATTGAGACCCTGAACGACATTCACGACAGTTATATGCGAAGTAGCCACATGGAACTGAAGCCAGGAGGATTTTCATAACATATACCAGATAACTCTACTAACGTTCGACCGTCAAAATGGAAGCGTAAGCGGTACATGACACTTTCATCATGCAAAGATGTCAACAAGTCAGGTGACAAAAATGTGGATGTTGAATTTTGTGATAATGTCAGCATGAATACCCCATAACACTTCAGTGAGGATATCCAGGGCACCCGTCGTATGGAATGGCTAACTGCAATGACTGAAGAGCTGGATGCTCTAACAGCAAACGATGTTTGAACAATTGTGGTGCCACCTAAGGGTGCACACATACTGCATATTAAGTGGGTCCACAAGATTAAGACGGATGCAGATGGTGACATCGAGAGACATAAGGTCGGCTTATGGTATGTGGGAACGAACAAATTTTGGAATCGATTACACATCGAAGTTTGCTGCGGATATGGATTTTAGAACAATGAAGTTAATTTTGGTGCTTCAAGGCGATGGAATGTATCGGCACGTCATGTTGATATACCAAATGCGTACGTGAAGACCGAAAAGGAGGAGCACCTCGCCATTTACATGAATAAGCCTAAGGGCATGACTTTGGAAAATGAACGACTCAAGATGTTTGGTGTGGATGGCTCAAATCCACTGCAGTACTTGGTCTTTACCTCTCTTTCAATTCGCAATCTACAAAGTCCACTGAGACAAGAGGGCGGCCCAGTTTCCCAGACGTCTCTGTAACCCACTAGACCTGACCAACCACACCAATGTTGAATACCTCGTCAAAACCTTGAGGGGTCAAGTGACTAACATCGTAAAACAGGTTTCTATTATCCCAAAGTACTGTAATACAATCCGTTTGCCTTATGTGTCCGACTTGTAAAAGTCACCGGCATAAGAATGCCACAGTGATCTTTTACCAATGACGCGGATGTATCACATTCACTCGCAAAAAACGATAATTACTGCTTCCTTAGACAGGTAAAAGTGTCGCAGGATAGGCTCGGTAGTAATCTTATTCTTGAGCATAGCGCAAGCTACTTGTACTCTGGACCACTTCTCCTCGTCTTTCTGCCTTAGCCATCACGCTGTCGCTAGTCTTTAACTGACACCGCCACGCGTGGAAGTCCACCTCCCTTAACTAATCGAGAGTAGACGCGTACACCGCATAACCTTCAATGAATTTACCGTAGTAGTTCAGAATTGCGAAGGAAGATTGCATGGATTTGAGTGTCGTCGCAGTGGTAGGTCGACCAAGTACGGGAGGTCCTTTGGGTGGGCCTCTAGTCCTTGGTCCGGACTTTGGGGCCCGGGTTTTTTCCCCCCCCCGCCCCCCCACGAGATCTAGATCGCGCTGATAGACAAATTCTAATAGTCACACGCATTTAACAGTCGCCTTGCCTTTCTGCACAACATATTTCACGAGTTAGCCAGTATCAGAATGTCGTCTATATAGGACCGTCGACCAAGTACCGAGGGGCCGACTTACATCCGGCTTCCCATCGCAAACAAATCTTCAGTCTTCTCTGTACCAGCGCCTTGAAAAAATACGTAAAAATTCATACAAAGCATTATCCAACAGTCTCTGATACATCTGAAGCGTATTCTTGAGCCCAAATGGCATCGAAGCCATCAAATAATCCCAGCGGGGTGACAAAAGCTGAGATCCTTCTCGCCCTTTCGGTCATACCGACGACCCAAAAACCGCTGGATATGTCAAGGTAGCAATACGGCACGGTGCCCTTTAGGTCAGGGGGGGGGGCAGACTTGGTCGTTGAAGAGGCTGGGGTGCTGGTATCGCTTGACTTGGGAGCCTTGGCGGTCACTGCCTTGGACGGTTGCCGCGGTCTTTTACCCGACGCGGGTGAAGGGGTCATCGTGAAAACAGCCACTGGGGGGACCACGGAGTTCTTGAGCGGGTTTGAAGCATAATCCGCATGCTGTAGCTCTGCCACCAGGAGAGAATACCGGCTTTGGCGGTAGTCATTCTTCACCTGTGGGGGTAGTCAATCTTCCCCCACAGGTGCTATACCAACGTCGTCTCGTGTTGAAGGCTCTCAAGCAACTGAACCACGAGATTGGTGGTTCTCTCTCGAGATGCTCACACCTGGTGGCCCAGTAGGCGGCGGAGGAGGATATTGGGCTAGTCGACCCTGACACACCTCGAGTCGATGGGCATCTGCAGTTATGCTGACTTTTAAGTCGCGCAGAACTTGATGTACATCTACGGGTACATTTAACGCGGTCGAAGGATCATTCGACGAGACAGCTGGCAAAGCGGAAGCAGCCTGTGAAATTACGAGGTCGACAAAGGCAGTGGAGCTTGGTGTGGGCAGAGTGTCATCCATGACCGGTGGACTTTTGTCACAGACAGCTTCAGATGAAACCGTCGTTGACGGCGCTGGCCCAAGCGTATTGGAGGAAGTGTTCATCGAAGGCGAGATGGAGACCAGGACCTCTGGGTCGGCAACAAGTTCGGGAGTGACCGGGACCGGCCCCTCAGGCGGTAGGTCACCTGTGGTACTGTTCTCATTTAGACGAGGGTACGCAAAGCTCCTAGAGCTTGTCTTCTTCTGCACGAAGTGGGTAGTAGCTTTGCTACAGTAACTCTGCTGCATACAATGTATTCTCTAGACCCATAACACAATCGTTTCGGTTGAATCTTTACAACTCCAAGCTATGCGCATAGATACAATGAAACGTGGTCACCGGTCAAACCAAAAGCACGGTACAATTACACGCGAGATTGCAGTCAAGCGACAAGAGGTGAGTCTGTTACTTTCATTAGTTTTCAATATTTCACATCATGTTAATAGGTAAACATTAACTGCATTCAGTTCCAATTTTTCCGTCAACTTCCAGCAGTTTGGGTAGCGAGTTTGGATTACGTGCTTCAATTCCAGCTCCAACTAGATCGATGCATTGCTGAATCAAAACCTTAGACGGTTGCTCCATAATGTAGCCATGTCCGAAGATATGGACCCGTTGGTCACTTTATGTTCTGTTTACTACTCAAAGGTCTAACCACGTTCAAGCAGTTCTTTTTCGTACAATTAATATGCGGCTAATAAGTACGACAATTGAACTTTCAAAACAAGCACGTAAACTACGGAAAAGAATAGCAATAGGTCATGATGCGCAACATATCTCGAGCTAATGCAACTATGATGATTCCACTAGGACAATATCCATTTCAATCCTGTAGCAAATCTGAATTTTGGCACGTCAGTGCTTTTTAATTTCTTGAAAGATTCTTGAACGGTTTTCTATTTGTTAAAGCATCAACACCAATTTGAAAGCAGTCTGACCAGTCAAAATCAAATTGAAAAATGACGCGTTTCATACGCTTCACAATGACGTTTTATCTGTTGCTAAGCGTCTGTATGACGTTTCTTTCAGTCTCCTCGCAAGAACTAGAAGACTTTTGTCAACCGTCTGACGTCTTGTGGCTCTGGACCGGTGCATTAACGTCTCGGTCCATTAGTTTCAAATTTGGGTTACGTGAGGGTTACACTTGTGCAGATTCAGACTTTATATTGTACGCGTTTCCAGAGTTATTGGAGGGAGAGAAAGCTCATTCTGCTATTGCTACATGTAGAGGAGTCGATGGGGGAGAAGAGGGGTACGGAGAGAAGAGAAGTGCATCGTCCTTTGAGATACCAAACGTCAAGGAGTGTAACCTTTTAAACCTTCCACATAGTGATAGAAAATATCGCTATGAATTGACGTTACTCAGATCTGGAGAAACGATAAGAAGCGGGAGCTTTACGACACCGAAAACAGAAGGAAGTTCGTTTGATTATCGAGTGGCATTTGGTTCCTGTGCTGATGAATTATCCGACCCAAAGGTAAAGTCAGGATGTTTGAGCAAGTGTTTTTTACTTTGTATTATTCTTATCTAGAGATTGTGGTGATGATGGCGGTGTTGTTTTTGTTGTGGTAGGTTTTTGAGCAGATTAAGAAAGAGCATGCTCTCTTATTCATACATACGGGGGATCTGCACTACCATAATCTGGCAGTAAACGATGTCGCGGCATTTCGAGATGGATACGATTCGATCTTGACGTCACCAGCTGGTAAAGCAATGTTGGAGATGGACGTACCATTTGCATACATGTGGGATGACCATGATTTTGGTCCTGATAACAGTGACTCCACCGCTCCAGGTCGAAATGCGTCGGTGCAAGTTTATCGAGAGTTTGTACCACACTACCCATTGGTTGGAGGAAGGTCACGGACAAATACAATTCACCAAGCTTTTACAATTGGCCGTGTGCGATATATTCTTACGGACCTACGCTCTGCTCGAACGCCAAATACAGCTCCCGCTGCACCGACCAAGACAGTGCTGGGTAAGAAGCAAAAGGCATGGTTTAAGTCAGAGCTTGTTCGTGCAACGAGCGACCCGGACATTCGATTGATTATTTGGGTCAATACCATGCCGTGGCTAGACAACGAGCGGAAGTGGGGACACTTTGTTCATGAGCAACAGGAGCTCGTGAATTTCATCAAGGCAAATGGTCTCAATAAGTGGGTGCCTATTGTGATCATGAGTGGAGACGCACATATGCTCGCCGTCGATGACGGCTCTCATAGTCCAGGAAACCTAATAACGCTTCACGCTGCTGCGTTGGGACGCCCTGGGTCTATCAAAGGAGGTCCTTATAGTCATGGTGCTTTTCCTGGTCCAGGTCAGTACGCTGTGATGGATGTGACTGACGAAGGTGGCAAGAATGGCCGTGTCTGCCTTTACTATCGGGGAATGAACATCTACAAAGGCATGCTGGTCGAGTTTAACACTTGCCACCCGGAGCGTACTCCTGCACTAACGCCGTATTATCCACCTCCGATCCCTGTGCGCATTATGTTGCGAATGTTCAAAAAAGCGAAGAGATATACTGGTGTTGCGGCGTTTGTGATAGCTGCTGTCATCGTGTTTCTTGTCTACAGAAGCAAGCGTCTGCGTCCTGTCGACACCAAGAAACACAGCTGAACTTGGAGTGCATAGTAAAAGAGACCTCGATGCACGATTTCAATTCTATGCTTTACATTTTATAGCATATAAATATCAATTAGTAATGTCGTCCAGTATGTTACTGTGTGAGGGTTGTTCTTAAACTAACAAGCAGTCATGCCTTCTGGAAGGAACACTGCGACGCCGAGAAGATGCATCAAAGGCTCAAAGCCAATTGCAAATTCCACGTACTGGAGACTGCAATTTGGAGCAAAGTAGTAGCAAATCATGGCATCAAAAGGAAGGTGCACATGCCGTTCGAAATGTGGAACTGTGCAGTCTGAGGGCGCAGAGGTATCGCTTTCATCCGTATTTTCTTCTTCATTGGACAATGTTGACGACGACACAATACTTTGCTGTCTGTCAACCCCTTCACCAGTGGCTGCACTATTTGCTGATGGTACAAGTGATAAACAAGCTGCTTTAGATGCAACAACGCACGTTTTCTTCGAAATTCGGTTTGTAGCAGTCAAGCGAAATGCGAAAATCTCACGCTGTCCGTTGTACGGGATGTCCAGCGGTCCACTGTCTTCAGCTCCACAAGCACCACCCGTCAACGGATTTTCTACAGCTTTTGCTTCATCAGTCATCATCTTACTGCTCGACAACGGTGGAGGTTTTTTCGGCAGCTTTCCGTATGAAATAAAAATTCTCAGCGCATAGGATGTCGTATTCAAAAACACGCCTTCTCTTTGTACAGGCAGTACATATCTCGTTTCTCCAATCTGCAGCATCGCATTGAACGTCCAATCTAACGGACGATACTGCAGTGGATTAAACAGGTAGAGTAAGTACGTGTTACTGACCAAAGCATTCACACAAAGCTCATCTCCCTGTAGTCTATATCGAAGCGTATTATCATCAATAGTCATCGACATTCCTGACAATTCATGCAACTTCAGGATTGAATAGGTCGTCCCTTCCTCCTCGCCATGAACAACCTCCTCATTTTCATGTTGCTGACTCTGATCCAGTGTCGGTTGAATTATTGCTGGTGACGATAAGGGTCGATAAATCAATCCATCAATCGAAACCCACATTTGCATCATCATGAAGGATGATGACTGTAAAAACGCTGTATCTTGTGTCTCTTGAAATTTATATGTCACTCGTAATAACGCATTCGTATCAAGAAGTACTGGAGCTGGAAAAATCTCGAATAATTCACTTTCAAAATGAAGTGAACCTCTTAACGCTGCAACCGAAGTCATTAGACTCATATGTTCATTCAAAAGTCCACGTGCTTCATCAACTGAGACCATACCGATAAAGGTCGATATTTCTTGAATCGATTGATTTATTCTTAATGAGAAATCAAACATTCTCTTGCAACGGTGATAAACAATCGCTCTTTCTTTTAAACACAAAAGAGGGGTACCTCTCTCAATAGGAATATACCGCATTTCACCTCGGTTATTTATCAAATATATCCGAGCTGTAACCTTTTCGACAACCTTACGTTGAAATTGAGTACGCAGGAGAAAACAACGACGCCATTGGCTCGTACTAAAGCGTAACTTTCCAAAACAAGCAAGAGTACGTAGACGCCATTCTAGTTCACAAATAGACGACACTTCACGTGATACTTGAGATAATTGTTGTAATTCTGAGACTGAGCATAAGCGTAGAATAAAGGGTAGAGGTGCTAATAAAGTGGTGGCCATTTGAAAACTATGTGATTCGCATTAGTAATATATAACTGTAAAAAGACGGGAAGGGGTGACATGGCAGTAAAGTGAAATCGAGCACACTAAAAAGATTCAGTCATAACTTGAATATTGCAATTTCATACAGCAACATAAGAATTTCTACTAAGAAATTTCGCTCATCGAGAGTGGTATTGAAATATCGACAGTAAATTGCAACAATAAGCGGTTCCAGGTCAAAAAAGCAAAGAAAGTTTATTAATTGTTACAAGTTATCGTTTGTATAGATAAAATAGATATTCCATACCTTATCTCCGTGTAAGACAAAAACAACCGATACTATCGAACATGTCCATGATAATGGAAGCTTCCTGCCACTGGCAACTAATGCACGAGCGGCAATGCGACCGTACGCGATATCACGTGGGACGAATCTAGTGAGCAAGCCATTGTCGATTGCATGTCATGACGGTATGACACGCAGCCACTTCTTTTCTGACTGTTTGTTACTTTGGCCACAAAGTCATACCAGTAGATGTCCATTCATCATTCGCTGTATTTGCTTGTTTGTTCCCGTCTCTTTCTTTCTCCAACTATAAACCAACAGTCGTAAGCAGGAGCTCATCTCAGCTTTAGGGCTCCGGTAAAGCATGTCGACATGTTGGACACTCCATCTTGACTTGCATCCAGCCCTCAAGACACTCACGATGGAAAATGTGGTCGCATGGCGCGATCATGTAGTCGCGCGCTTCAATGTCCAGCTCTACCATACAGATCACGCAGTCGATGGAGTTGTCGCTGTCCTTCAGCAATGCCAAATGCTGTAGATCAATACGCCGTTCATAGTTATACTTTACAGGCAGGAAACGCGCTGGCACGAAGAACCTTGGACCATATCGCTGCTGCAGAGCAAGGATACCCACTTGAAGACCCACCCACGACGAGAGCATATAGCAATACTGCGGATCAATCTTGCTCTCATACTGTGTTAACGTCCATTCACACACACGACATAACCGCATTAGTGCCATAATTTTTGACGCTAATGAAGATTTACTGTCTCAGCATTTGCTTAAATGTGTTTGCAACACGAGCATATGTCGGATATATCCTTACCATTGGAAAGGCTGTCAGGAAGTTATCCGGGCAGCCATAGAAGTACAGCGGCAAGAATAAACGCAGTGCACTGATGCCGTACAGATATCCCAGGTCAAACGGGCTCCGCACCTCCCTGTAATTATATACAATAATGGATATCATCAACACTTGCTGACCCCACCATACGCAACACATTTCAATACAAACCTGTGGACATTGTGCACAATTTGGGGAACCCAAAACGAGTAGCAGATAAACGCTAGGACGGGCAAGTGATTCTGCAATAATTACACAAAGCACAAGGTTAGATACGTCGCAAGCAATCACCAACGTATGTCACAGCGCTAATGGTACCGAAAAGTTGTAGAAAATACAGAGCCCAGCTAGCAATGACAGATAGAACCGCGAATAAAGCGTCGTGAGCTCGCGTCGAAGCGTAAGCCAGCCTTCTGAGAATCCCTGTGGTCTTCGTGCCTTCCATATGATCAGCAGATACCGCATCTCAAACACCGAAAAAATAATGAGCTTGACAAACGCGACGGACGCGAATGCGGCAAACACGTTTTGCGCCACAATACCCACAGTCAGGTGGCCTAAGCACAGGTACGAGTCCACAATTGCCTGCTGTCCAATCGTCAGTAACGACACCTTTGCCGCTGAAGCCTGTGTGCTAGAAATTTGCAGCTGTCGCAACAAGAAGTAGATTTCTGCCATAGCAACAAACGTCATGATTACAGCATAGCGTGAAGCCTTGGCAAAAAACACGTTCAAATTCTCCTCTTGAAACGTCGTGTCCAGCTTCATATACAGTCCACAGTTCACACTAGCAAGTGTTCCTTCCAATTTCATGTAACGCATCGATTTCTGCAGTGCTGTCGCCGCATCATCGTCCTTGTTGTCCTCTCGTTCATCTCTCGCCGGTGTCTTCGTATCATTCACTAGCGCCATCTCCACAATGCTCACACACTGGTCACTAAACGAGTCGCTACTTCGAAAGCGCGACACGTACGAGTATCGTGGAGGTGAAATGTCTATTGCCACGTATTCGTCTCGATTTTTTACAGTTGGCACACCATCTAGCACGCTCAGATTCACCATATCAGCTCGAGTTACACGTGCCAGTCTCTCGAGATTTTTAATCTTTCCATCTCCTTCCTCCTCTGCTTCTTCATTCACAGTATCAGACGGTATCTTCGTCTCAACCTTAGTCGAATTATCCCATCTACTGCTCTCTTTTCGATACAAAATCTGCACACTCGAGTCTGGACTATTGCCAAAAAGTGTCAATTTGCCTAATTTCCGTAGAAATACGCCTTGTACCGGTAAAATAGTAGCAGCTAAAGACGCCTGTTTCTCGTAAATAACCAACTGTCCCGTAACATACGCCACCTCCTTTGTTAGTTCCTTGGATGCTGGTGCCTTCATCTTGAGAAACAACCACGTGTGTCCTGTCTCCATTGGCTGCGTGTATTGTTGCGGTTGAATCTCACGATCGACCTTTAAATATGGAATAATATCCTTATATAAAGGTTTATTAACATTGTATTCTTCAGGTAATAAGGAGTCCCATGTACCTGAATAAATACCCGTTACATTAAGTGGTGGTTCATTATGGCGATAGCCTGCTTGAGTCTGTAGCAGCATCTCCAGCTCTTGTACCTTTTGTAAGCGATCGGTATCGTTAAATGCGTTTGGAGGTAATGAATATCGGTTTCGTCCTTCTGTACCGGTATCAACGCCTTGTCTTCGGCTGCTGTGACCGTCGCCCGCACGATTGTCAAAGAAGAGGACAAGAAAGCACAAGAAAATGGCCATACTAAGTAGCTGCATACGCTGACGTTGGAATTGCTGTTGACGCCAATCTACCTCCATGGCTCCTAAATTCAAAGCAGCTGGATCGTTTCCACTGGGAGGACTCCCACGTGGAGAATTAGCACGCACAATCATTACGACACGCCCGTTCTCGCTCATGACATGTGGTGACCAAAAACTGTGATGACTATTTAAAGAGGCAAATTTTGCCGTTACTTCGCAACGAAAGAATATCAAAAGGGTGCAGGTGGTGTGAAGTACACAAAACTGTTTCCTTTTTCGGTACCCATCGGTATTCTGGGCAGTCAGTCGTTTCGAGCTTCTCACGAACTTTCAAGTGTCTGTGTATCTGGTCTCTCATCTTGTCATTATTATCTCTTTTCTGCTATGTTGAGCTCTCAAACGTCGACAGAAACAGCATCATCTTGTTCATTAATATCTTCTCTTTCTTCTGATATGCTAAAATCACTATCTGTGTCCTCGTATGATTCAGTAGAAGACGATGAAGATAAGGAGAGTGTGGATCAAGTGAACCTCGTGCTTGAAATGACTGCAACGTTTGATGCTGACGGCTTTCAATTGCCATCTAAAGTGACACGAACCGAGGTAGAGCGTATTGTTCAATCTTGTGGTGGCGATGTTTCAAGAGCAGTGGACGATGTACTGAGTCTCGTAGCCATTAAAACGCTGAGTCAGCAGGACCAGCAAACACTTGAAAAAAAGCGTCAAGGAAGTGCCAAACTGCATCTTACTGAGCTCTGTAGCGGCTTGGGATTGAGCGAAGACACATCGTTTGTTGCAGCACTGCAACAACTGCCAGAAAGTGAGCAGGATGACCTACTTGCCACCAATGGGGCATTCATACAGCAGCTTCTTTTGAGTCTGGACGAGGAGGAAGAAAGTGGAGACAGTAGTGAAGAAGAGGATGTCCATCCGCTGCAGTATTTGCTGGATATGTACCCGGACTATAAGGTTGACGTGGTAGAGGATGTGCTGGACAGTCACAACTACGACGTGGACAAGGCTGCGGACGCGCTGTACAATTTGCGGGCGTTGAATCATGTGCAAAGTTATGCTACAATCGTAAATGCGAATGTACGGGCTACCGCGGAACAACAGGAGTTGGTCATGAACGGGCCCGAAGTGGAATCGTTGGGACAGTTTCCTAAATTGGGGACCAAGAGCAAGACCCAACGAAAGAAGTTTAAGAGACAGCAACGTAGACAACCGAAAATGCAACAGACACCACATCAAAGACCGCCACCGAAACCATTACCTCTGCCAGTAGCGTACCCTATGCTACCGGCAGGTAAATGCATGAGGAAGGGTAATGGTACGGCTGTGGTCAATGTGTGGGATAACCAGCCCTCGAACCATGACCGTTCGGGGTCAAGCATTACGACTCAGCTTAAGCTTGAACGACTTAAAAAGCTACTGCCGAGCGTTGAAAGCAGTGTCATTCAGGCTGTACGCTTCAATCGCGCTTTTTATTATTTTCGTTCTCGACGGCATCGCAATCTAACTATTATGTTTCTTTTTTTATGCTTGCAGACATTTGTCCTAAACGGGTATAGCTCCGATGCCACCGAGGCAGCATTACGTGAAGTATACAACTTGCCTTTGGTTGAAAAGCAACTACCACTACCGTTTGGGACGGAGGAAGCGGAAGTGGCAGCTGATGCTGAGGAGGAGATAGATGTTGCCCAAAGTATTCGTCCATCGTGCCGGGGTAGCCGCACGGAGGGCTGGACCGTCGTGTCTAGCAAGCAAAAAGTCAACGCGGCGAGAGAAAAACTAAGTGATCGCTACTGTGACGTCCTAGCTTCGTTCAGGCGCGGTCAACATGTTCTTGCTGTCGACCGCATTCGAGAGTAAGCAGTTGATATTTTTCCGTTGAGCTTTTGTTTAGGCAAGTCTAACATATCGTGTTTGTTTGATATGCTATACAGATTAAGCAACGCACGTCGTGAACACCGAGATGCTCAACGTCAGTGGGCGCACGATTACTTTCTGGCACACGAAGATCATTTGAAGTAAGTTCTGTAGATCTTTGAACAGCTTGTGGGTTTTACCTCAACTGGAAATGCGTTATGTTCTGCTTGTAACCCCAGGCACCAGCGACCGATCGATCTGCACGGTATGATTGTGATGGAGGCCCTTTGGGTCGCTCGCGAAGCTATCGAGTATTGCCAAGCGCGCCGAATTCGTCGGTGCTTGTTGATCTGCGGTATCGGTAGTCACTCTGTCAACGGCAAACCACGTATTCTGACGGCACTTCAGCTGTCATTGAACCGGCGTCAGATTGCATTCCGTGAGCTCAACGGCTTGGTGACGGTGTTTCCACTCCGTTCGACGTAGTTGACCTGATCGGATAAGGACTTTGACTAACCGGCCAAATGATTCTTACACTGCGATGAGTTTGGTAGAAACGTGTCCGTGTCTGCATACGTATATTCTCTACTATAACTTATTTTGCGATGCATATTTTCCGTTTGTTAATGATGATCATTCATTTGGTTGCGTATGCTATTGTATAAATGAAATAATACCAAAGAGTTGAGTCAATCAATTAATGTGTGTCACGTCATAAATGGCGGCTTTACAGACCAAACCAATCATTCTGGGACAGCGCTTAAGTGCGACCGTAATCTGTTTGGTGAATGTAAAGCTTGTTGTTTAGTAATCGGTTGAATTTTCTACGTGCACTTACAAGATAGCCGTTTCGTGGCACTTCTCTGAGGTACGAATAAGAGATAGACTTGATACATATATCATCTTGTGTGCCAGTCCTTATTGATACCAGATTTAATGCATTACTGTCAAGTATTGTAGCAGAAAGACAAGAAATGGTGCTTGTAATTTGCACTAGATCTTAATACTGACGCATGATGCTCTTTTGTGGGCGGGCGATCCTTGGCGTCAAGTTTGGGTATCAAGCAGATGTCTCGTCTATGTACAAATATGGATACATGGTCCTACTATTTGCCGTCCCTCTCTCCCTCTAAGGTCAAGCGTCTTGTCTATGTATCCATCAATATTGATAAGCGTGCACTTCATAACAAATACCACTTTAATGCTAATTTTTGTGAGGCTGCTACACTCAAACAGACTCTTTGAAGATCAAGGTATCTTCATTGAACCGTGTCATACAAAACATTCAAGCCTCACTCTATAAAAAAGCTATGAGTCTTCTATACCCTAAACACAGTCAGATGACTGAATCCATAATCATGAGGTATATCCGGTGCTGAAATGATTACGACGCAAAGTGTGTTGACAAGTGCGTGCGTGCGTGTGTTATAGCATGTACCATTCGATTATATTCGCTACTTCAAGAAGATCGCATAAGTAGCATCATCTTGAAAATCTTCAGTTTCGCCTTGTCTTGACAATCATTCTTCTTCTCGATCAATACAAGTAGTTTCTAGGTAAGAAAAGCATGACAATCAAGCTATATGCAAATCTCATTAGTCAACCAAGCCGTGCAATTGAATGGATCTTACGTCTTAAGAAACACGACCATCTTTGGGAGCTATTTTCAAGTCGACCGAATTCTTAGCCCTGAATCCCAATGGACTCATTCCAGTATTACAAGATGAAGACTTTTCAATCTTTGAAGGTAACGCAATCATGCAGTATATAGCTGAGAAATGTGGCTGGACAGATCTATATCCGATCGATGTGAAGGCACACGCAAAGGTGAACCAATATTTGCATTGGCATCACACGAATGCTCGCCTTATCACGTCTCAGGTACTTGTGCCACTTTTACATGCAAAGCAAAATATCCTCACGCCCGAGGAGACTGTGTTCATAAAGGCTATTCCATCTCTTATTACCAAGCAAGTGGAACATATGGAAAAGTTCCTGGTCAAAGGCTTTGTGGCTGAAACAGACTACCCCACCATTGCTGACTTTGCTGCCTATTGCGAGTTTGTACAGGTCGAGCTTATGGGTATTCATGATTTCTCCAAGTATTCAAAGTTTTCTACCTGGCTTAAGCACATGAAGTCGGTGCCGCACCACGACGAGATGCACAAACCGTTGGACGAGCTCTTGACAACGATGGATCTCAAGATGAAGGTTATTTCATAAAATACTTGCATAGTCTACGATTCTCCTTACCAGCGCTATGTTAGTCAACTTTAAGCGCTTACTACTACGCTGCTGGTAAAATACATAATCCTAATGCTAACGTGTTAATCATCGTGCAGCTTGATAAAGGCTTGGCGTCCGTTGTGTCTTTCTCATCGCACGGATGTCTAGAGTATATATACTGCCTTCTAACATGCCGATGCTCAAGCACTGCGCGAACATTCGCCGCATGCGAGCTTCTATCCACAACTTTAAGACGATGTTGTGCTAAAAAGGAAGCCCCGGCCTTCCATACGTAGCTGGTCCAGTTCATGGAGAAGGTTGGATAAAGGACTGTATGCCGTTTCAAATGAGGTCACGCTTGTAGACTTTACTGCGTACTGCATGTTTGTCTAGATTAAGCCATAGACGTCTTTGGTCTCACGGAGCGTCCAAAGTTTATGACGTGGCTGCAATGCATGAAAAGATGCCGCTGGACGATGAGATGCACGCTACGCTGGATGAGTTTTGATCTAGTTTCGATCGATGAACCAATGCTAAGACTCAAACGCAGTCGCTGGGGCAGGTAGCAGCTTGTGGTCGACTTGCAAAGACAAGAAAGAAGGTTTCGATTGACGTTTGCATTTATTCAACAAGCTTGATGAATTCTGGATTTACGTGTCCGATCAAAGCTAGCTTACTAAAGATACGAAGCATACTACCACTACCTTCTATCCGCTACCGATGACGATCAGAATAGATAACACTTATATTTCCACCTCAGCGTGAAGTTTCTCATACAGTTCTTCGAGCTCACGAGCTACCTCCTTCTTTTCGTCCACGTCTGACTCGGGTTGTGCATCTAACTTGTGCTGCTTGTTCGTCAGCTCTAGAATCCGCTGGTACAGCTTCACGATAGTCATCTTGGAAGCATTCGGCTCAAACTTAGTGGCCGAGACGTCAGCCTTATCAGGAATCGCAGCGTCGCTCTCGATGCCGTAATCCTGGCCATTGGAGTCCAAAGACAAACGAATGCTCTCCTCCGTAGGACGCAGATCCTCCGGACGCAGCAGCGAATTGAAATTGATAGCCAACTCAGCTAATGAATTATTCAGTCCATCTTCATCATCCGCAACGCTCACTGTTCGTTGGCCTAAGTTGGTGGCAGACTGAGCCTTATTTACAAATAGAGGCGCGAACTCATCGACGGGTGCACCGAAATCTTGTTGCGTTTGCGTGCTGCTATGCAGGCTGCGGAAAAATAGTGGCAGCGCTGGATCGTGAGGGACTCTTAAATCTTCCAGAATATCTGCTTCATGAAGATCGATATCTGATGGTGAAATCTCTGAAGTCTCCAGCTCCAAGTCAAAAGGGATATCTGCTTCTATGACCTGCTCGCGGAATTTTGCCTCTTGTTCTGCCCACCGCTGCACCTGCAGTTGCTCCAGTTGCGTAAGTGGTCGGTCAAAAGAAACCGATGGAGGTGGAATTCGACGTGGAGGATCAGCTTTAGCTTTTCTGCGCTTAGCATGCTGCTGTTTTTGTACTGCATGCTGCGCTGCGTCTCGCTCCTTACGAGTGACTGGACCAGGCTTCCCCATATGCTTCGTGTGTCGTGCCAATTGACTCGATGTCAAGAACGAAGAGAATATGTCTGAGCTAGCGCTGCTGTAGTTGGACTCGTTCAATTCACTGCTGCTCAGTGAGTCCTCCAGTGGCACGTAGCAATTATCCGTTTCAGGGTATTGTTGCTGGCAGCGAAGCATCAGTGTCTCCTGCTGTTGTTGCTGTCGCTGCAAGAGTCTTCGCTTGTTCTGCTGCCGCTGTAAAGCACGCTGTTGACGTTGAAGCGCTTGCTTCTGCTCATCATCATGATACTGCGGAGGCGAAACACCGTAGGTCTGGTAGTCATGCATGTCAGGGTTTCTCGGGTCGTATCTCCTGTCGTCGCGCCTTCTTTCGGTTGACGGAGGTTCGTCGTACTCACCAGAGTCAGTCGTGTATTGATATGAGTCGACCCCTAAATCATCCTGTTCAATGCCAATTAGACGAGGAAACTCTAAATCTGAATCCTGGCAGCTTTCATTCTGGCTGTAAATCTCTTCATAGCTGCCACCATACGGTCCAGGTTGACCAGACTCTCGAAGATGGTCGCCACAACTGTCATAATCATCACTGTCAAGACTCTGTTGGCCAAGTTGACGCAAAGATTCCGTATCACTTTTGCTATTGTACTGGTAGCCTGGAGCACGCACACTGATCATAGGCACATCGTCGTCATTCATACTCATGTCAGAGAACTGTTCACTGGGCGGAAGATCCTCAAACACTGCTAAGTCCGCGTTCTGAGCACATTTTGAGCATACCCGAATCTTCCTAACTCCCTGGCCAGGAATCGGCACCTCCCACTCCGTACTGCACGTGGAAGAACATACTACTTCACCACACTTGCGGCATCGTGCCTTTCGCACAATTAGTCCAAACTTGGCTGAACAAACGTTGCAGCGCTTGCGTTGGCTCTTAAGCACAAGCTCTAGGTCTCCAAGAAAATGTTGCGTGCCAAGTCGCCTTCGCGTGATCCATTTTTGTAGATCTGCGATGCTTGATAATCTCTTCTTTTGGATCGTCATGTACAGTGCTGCTGGTATCTTTACACTGCTCTTCATATTGACCTGTGCACTGAATATTACGTCCAGTAAACCATGTCTCTCACTCTCGACGAACACGTAGCCCGTGTGGTAAAAACTGCCTCGTACCAGGCTGTAATCGCCTAGCTCCGGACAACATGGTAACTTAATGGAGTGGTAAGAACGCACCCAACCTCGACGACCGCTAACGTCCACAAAAGTACTTTGACACTCCACTGTAAGGAAATCACGGTTCTTCATGAGTTTTGACGGTACGTCAATGACAAACCACTTGACTGTCACCTGACTTACAGTAAGCGTTGTACTGGCACCACGACGGTGTCCACGAGATTTCGATGTAGGTTCATTCAACAATGACGGGTCCTGGAGCACATAGAGTAATTGACCATCTAGCATCTCCACGTTACGATCTACAAATTCCGCAACTTTTTCATCCGTTGACAAATCAAAGAAGTCAGCAACTTCATCCAATGTAGACTGAATGGTAGTAGCACCACAGCCGTACATGATCGATTCGCCTACAACACTTTCAGGGTATCGAGCTTCACCCTTGTATAACTGGACTCCTCGATGTGCTCCTGCTTCCTCCCATCTCACTGGTCCTTGATTATTACGTGTAACGTCAATTAAAGCTTTGGCCGATTCCTTGGCTTTCCCAACAAGATGTTGTTTCTCTCGTTGCGTGAGCTCCGGGCACTTGAAAAAGCGCGGCGGTAGCGGCAACGACTTGGTCATAATTTACCAAGAATCAAAAGTAGTTGCGATTAGAATATGTGGCCTGTTCGTGACAGCTCCAGGGGGAATGCGGGCTTGGGGAATAGATTCGGAATGGCATTTGTCGACTTTTCTATCCACACAACGTGTGCTATCGTCGCATGTCAAAGACGAGCCTGAACTTGCAGCTGGTCGAGTGCCTAGCCGCAATGATAACGAACAAATGGTGAGTGATACCGCTCGTAAAGACTCAGCTTGAAGGGATCCAGTGTGAAGGTTTTAGTCCAAGTCAGTGGATAATGAATGACACGAGATGTCTCGTATTCTCAATACTCCCATTGGAATGCTTTCAGAAGAAGAAGAAAAAAGATGCTCGATCAACACGACAACGGTGGACACGAACGCAATGATCCTTGCGTGACATATTTTGTAAGCGCTTTTAGTGTGATAGAGTCGTCTCATCCGAGAAAAAATGTCAAAAGGGATATGCAAACGAAGGCTGACAACAACATAGATGCATTTCAACCTTCGCGTCGAACGATTTGTCGACTGTGCTTGTGCTTTGCATACAAATGTCAAGTAAAAGCCATGTGTATGTTCGTAACGTCATGCAGAGACATGATCACGAAATGCACAAAGGTTATAGAAGCTTCAGATTACATAGACAAACCACCGATCAGATGAGCTTTGCGGTACATGTTTGAAAGGAGATCGACTTGGATTTCTTTGCTTCTATCCATTACCTACTACGTGTATTGTTTTTCAATGGAAATGACCAAGAAGAGAGAAGGAGACGATGCTGTGATTCATTTGTATTCGTTGGTGTTGTGTTTGTACATGTAAAATCGGAATGCTTCGGTCTTCTAGAGTGTCCATGAGAATGACTATTTATCAGTCTATCGTCTGTAAAATTGCAACGTCGGAACAGTGCTTTTGATTTGTGGAACTACATGGGGGCAATCCCCAATTGCACGTCTGTTTCTGCAGCAGCAGATGTGCAGTTGGTCTGAAGATAGGAAGCTTGCTTGCTGTCATGTGTGTGTAATGACGCGTTTAAAAATTTGCATCAACGTGCAGTCAGTATGAATGTATCAGACGTTAACATGAGTCAAAGTATGTAAGGATCAACAACACTACCTCAAGATGCTGTAAGCCAAGGGGTGAGACTCTTCCGTTGGCATGCCATCACTACACATACGACTTGCATGACACAGCAACTTGGTTGAGGCAGCTAATCGATTGTATTGCATATCACGAAGGTGAAGCAAGTGAGGGGCCTTACATATTGTTGTTGCACTCGTTGGCTGCTTTGAATGCAACGAATTGAGCTATGACAAGATCAATCTATCAAACAGTGAAGCTTACGCTTCTGCAGTCGCACGTAAAAGTCCGCATAGCTCTGCAAAGAATCACTAGCAAATCGAAAACTGGTGTTCCTTTGTAGGCTAAAGCTTCGATTGAGTGCTCAAGTCAATCAAATAAGCTGAAGGAAAGACAACAAATATGTTTGAATGGTGGTCCATTGCAGTAAGAAGGACGCAAGAGATTATCACATCCACTTGTCAAGCCAAGATGTCGAGATTAAACCCACTGGCGTGGCAACCACTAAGCCTCCTAAGTCGGTCGCTTTTGACGCCGCCTTTTCCACACGCAGCAGGTGCACGACACGGTGGTGACAAAGAGCTTCAAGTTGTCATGAGAGGCAATGTTTGAAGCATGAGCAAGAGGTAGGCACGTATCTGCTGCAGATCACCTCAAATCCTGCTAGCAATTTGTTGCGATTTTGACAACGTCCACCGTTCGCTGCTGGTTGCTATATGTTTCTTGTAAGAAACGAAGCTGCAGAATCGTAGCTGTCTCCTTCACTAATAGATGCGTACATGAAGATCGACTTTGAGTACGTTCAAGCTCCTCAGCACACGCAATCTCGTCGTCTTCATCGTTCTGCGGTGCTATTTAGAACTTGTTGCCATCAACACAGCTTTATCCGATGGTATTTTTACGCTAGCTGGAGCAAACTGTCGGTCGAAGATTGTACCCATAGCATTGTCAAAGAGATTATCCAAGCATCTCGAAACTATAGCGTCCAAGCTACACGATATCATAACTGTTGCAATGACTACGTGTGATCTCTGATGGATACAAACCAAGACGAGGGAAATACTGCTTCTAGCAGCATTGAGTGACGTTTGGTTGAGATTCATGCTCATTTTACTGTAAAATAAATAGCGGTCCGATGACCTCATTCTCGCACCGAACAGCGATAAGAAGGACATGTATGAGCCAGAACTCGAGACTGCGTTGCGTATAAAAGACTCGACACAAATCCGCCAAAGTAATTACGGCAATGCTGTCCTTTGTCACCTACGGCTTCATAGAGCCCCCCAGCTGAAGACCTCGCTCCATATCTCTTTCTTGTCGGTCCAAAGTCCGGAAGTAGCAGTCGTATCCTTCATTGCAATTCCACGCGCTACCGGATCCACTGAACGAAAGAGCAACATGAAGCTGCCATTGTCATCAATCTGAATGCGAGAGGCCAGGACAAGGGCCTTGAGTACCATGTGCATGCCCGTTGGCTCAATCGTGCGATAAAATAAAACGTTCTCGTCGTTCACGCGCTGCACAAGATGAAAATTAATTGCAACATCCGATGCGTAGATGCGATTCACACCATGCTCTGATGATACTAAATCCCACATGCGGCTCGAAACCTCCGCGGCAGTGTAGTTTTCAAAAGTCTTCTCTAGAAAAAATCGCATGGTCTCTCCATCAACCTGTCGTCTGTCTCGCCAGCCAAATACGCTAGCACCTGTGGTGATATAATTCTGCTTGTCTGCAAAGGCTCTCACATCAGTGTATGCCTTCTTTACAATCGCAATACAATCGTCCTCACTGATCGGCATAAAGTCTAGCACAGGCTTAGGTTTCATTTCCATAGTCTCAGGCATCGGGTTTATGCAGGGCTCGCCTAAAGTCAAGCGAGACAATCCAAGCGCCACACCTTTGGTGCGTGCTTGCTCATGTTCTTGCAGCTCTTCATTCAGCAAAATGCCAATACTCGTGCGCGCTTTCAGCTGCTCCATAACCTCATATCGTAGCTTCTCGTTCGCATGGCGCAAACCATCTTGCGTGATCGCCAGCTTTGTGTACTGATTAAGTAGCTTCTCATAGCGCTGCTCTTCCTCAAGTTGAGCTTCTGATGAAGCATTAATCTGTATCTGACATCTTGAAATAATAACTTCCTTGCATTGATTCTTCAACGTCTCCATCTTATTGCGAAGTTTCGCCAAAGTGTCCTATCGAGCAGTAAGCAGCAATAACACCATTAGAGCCCTATAACGATAGCATTACCACGTAAGAAAACGTAAAGCCAATGCAGCTTACAAGTTTGCGGTAGTACGATTGCTTGACAAGTGTTCTTTGTTTCGCTTTCTTTTCCAGATCAGCGGGTAGTATAAAACCATTGCAAGGCTTTCTCCATCCTAGTGTTGTATTCTCTTCCAAACTCGAACTATCACCTTCCTCGTGATTTTTTGCCTTTCTCTTCGCCGTTGATTTCGTCAAAGTCCTTGCTTCCTGTCGTCCCCCCTTGTCATAAGCCACGCCTTCTGCCGTAATTGACGCATTGCTAAGACCTTCTTTTACAGCCAGTTCTTGAATGATCCGACTCAATGACAGCTCTGGTCGGTATTTGCGTCTGCAATGACAGACAAGAAAAACTAATGTTAGTAACGATTTACCGGGATATCTTGCAAACCATTTGACAGACTGTTGCGTCGATAAATCAAGCGACGCCATATCCATCCGCTTGTCTGCATGACGTCTAGCTACTGGGCGATTGGTTGTCGTCGGCCCGTTAAGTAGCTTTGCAATAGGGATTGTCATTCTTGATACAATGACGACTTGAAGGGCTCGTTCGATTCGAATCAAAAGTGTCAGTTAGTGATTTGTCAAGTGGTGCGTTCATGACGCCATTTTTATGATTACCTTGCTGGACTTCTGTTGCATCGTGTGAGAAGAGCCTCAAAGGGTTCAAATCAACTGGTCGAGCCTTGAAAAACCGACTCTGGAATGATGAGGAGTTGTAAATACTTCCCCATCATACTGGATTCGTGCATGAAAATGATGAGTCTTTCCACACTGGAACGAATGTGTTTTTCCACTCTTTACCATAGCTGTCTGCAAACTTTGAGCTTGACATTGACATTTTTTCAAAGGGTAGACACGATTGATACTGACAAAGCGTTAGGACAAAGTATTCGTCAAGTAGTCTGCTAACAGTCTGCTAGTCTAACATGGAAAGCAAATAACAAGCTGGAAAAAAAGTCAGCATTGGCTTATCTGCTTCCTGACAACGTTACTGTTCGGTATGAACGTCGTCATTGTTGGCTGCAGACTCGTAAGGAATTCGTTAGAACATGAACGACTTTCAGTCGTATCGTTTGCGTACCATCGTCTTTATGACCGGGGATGAGTGAGAGATGATGACATCTGTACGACTAGGTGATGAGTAGTCGTCATGTAGGAAAACAGCGAAGAAAGACCACCTGCAAGTGTGCAAGTCAGACAGCCAACACAAACATGTAGTCGACCTGTCACTCCGCTTGCTGCCTTGCACATATTTTTACGACAAGGTACACATGGCCAACCCAAACTCTTGTCAATGTGCAGAATGGTTCATTTCTTGTAAAACGTTTAGACCGTTTCCATCGTAATCTTTCAACATGAGCACACAGCGCACTTGACCTCTTTCAAACATGGTCCAACTGGTCTACATTACATTTAGTTCGTAGATATTTTGCCCTTGCCACCCGTGGCGGCAGCCGCATAGGGATTCTCTCCTCCTGGCGGCCCGTAAGAGGAGTATGTTGGTTGAGTGTTGAGCGGTTGACGCTGCCCTGCCTGCTGGCCAAAGTAGTTCCGTGGGTGTGGATTGTACGGCTGCTGTCGCACGGGCATCGTAATCTCCTGGTACCCATAGCGGCGGTGGCGGCGCGAGTGCATGATGTAGCACGACAATGCCACCAACATGATCTCCAGCGACACGATGACAAAGACAAAGACAGCCAAAAGCAGAGACTCGTCATTGACCCACGAGATCATACGTGTCTCGCATGCACACAGCATTGTATGCTCCGTCATGGCATTGCTCAATGAAAAACTCGGTCCTACACACTTGAGAAAGTTGCTACCAGTCTGCAGCTGCGTGTGTCCAATGGGACAATTGTCTTCCACAAATGAAGCAAACCAGGAAAATTCAGAATTCGAGCAAGAAGCAATGAGTGGCCGACTGTGAGTACCCGTAAGGTCAATGTCCACGTCAACGCCGCAGCCATAATAGACGTACTTGAACCTCTTATTGATCCAACGCAGCGTTTCCTGATCCGCCGGTGCTAGCACCGACAGGTCAAAGTTATGTTTAGCTACTTCGACCAATGAATTGTGCACGTGAGTTAAAAAACCAGCAAGCGACAACTGTGCGACGACTGAAACGAGTACTAAGATTGCGTATGGAAATAGAAACACTTTGCTATCCCATTGCGCACCACAGCAGCCTAGCAAAGCAATCAGGATAATCAATGAGCCACACATGATGACAGAAGATGCTACACCACCATCTGAGAACTCTGTAAGTGCTGGTAAGGACGCCATGTAACCTATTGTGTAACAATCAAATATCAACGAAAAAAGAGTCTAGTCAGTATTAAATAGATCATACTAGAGTAACAATTTTGACTCAATAAAGCAAATTATTGCATGAAAGAATACATTAAATCATAAACATACATCCAATTGATACGAGCACAGATCCTAATAGCAGAAACAGCACATTTGTAAACACCAAAATACTGCGAGTTAGTGAACGCCACGCGTGCATTGTTCGTTTAGCTGCTTCTTGCGCTACAGAGCGAGTTATGATGCAAAAAAAGTATGTAGATGTATAGACAAGACTTGAATACACACGAACAAGTGTCTAGATAGTGAGATCAACAAGCACAGACTCACGTAGCGACCTTTAAAGATAATGACAATGCACGGATTCTTACGATGGAATTGTATTTGATCGTAAATGGAAGGGAGAGAGGTGAGCGATTCACTGATTGGCTAAAATAAAGCTCATAAATCGACTCAGACTCAAAAACAAAAATAACAATTTTTCACTTAATTTCTTCACTGACAAAATTGTCTCGTATTGTGATATTTCAGTCTCATGACCGAGTCATGGCCTTCTTCTACTACTCATCTAGTACTTGTTAATGATCTAAGCACACTTAAGAAAGCTGTGCATGATGAAATGGAGTTGATTGGTTGTGGTTTCCATCAATCTCGTGTTGTTGCGTCAGTTATTTTGGATATTTTTAAATTTTCATGCTATTTGAAAAACTCACCTGTTTTTGCTATTGTCAATTTTGTACTTGTAGAATTTTAGGACTTGGAAATGTCGCCGATGCCGTTGAAATATTAGCAATCGGGTATATATTAACCGTCTATGAAGATTCCGAAGGAATAATTACACCATGGGAATCCAGTACGTACTATTGTACAAAATCATAAAAGATTTTGAAACTTGATATTTACGTTCTTATTGTAATATTTGTGATACAGGTCTGCTCACTGCAGCCGTATTTGTAGGAATGTTAGCGGGTGGTTTTCTTGGTGGTCTAGCTGGTGATATTTATGGTCGTAAACCAGTTATATTGACAACATTAGCACTTAATGCGATTGCAGCTTTTCTATCGGCATTTTCACCAACTATTTCATGGCTGATTTTCTTTCGAGCTGTTGCTGGTTTAGGTGTTGGTGCAGTGGTATCGTCATTATTCGCATTATGTCTGGAACATGTTTCAGTCTCATCCAGAGGACGATATGTTACAATTCTATGCTCTTTCTGGATGATTGGTGCTGTCTTAACGGCAGGTACAGCATGGATTATGTTGGGGAACTATCGAAATGGAGAACGGATTCTGCATCTTTCATGGCGTTATTTTGCTGGAATTGTTGGCGTACCATCATTTACGTGCTTTTTGTTAACGTGGTGGTACGTTCCTGAAAGTCCACACTTTTTAGCAAGTAAAGGTGATGCAAAGGGTGCAACAGCAGTGTTACAGCATATTCATCATGTCCATCAGAGTGGGCGTCATATTCAAATCAGGTTTTCTACGGGCAAGATAAAGAACAAGGATGCAAACATGGTGCAACAAATGGAACGTGGCTCGATGTTAATGTTACAGGAGACATTTGATGCACAAGAATCTGTGGTCTCGCATGGTGCTATTTGCAGTTGGGATAGCTTACATATCGTCGCGCGTTTGTTTGAGCGACCGAATACAGGACCTACGCTGGTATTAATGTTGTGTGGGTTTTCTCTAAGCTTTGGTTCATATGGTCTTTCGACGTGGATAACAAAGCTGTTCAAAAGTATTGGTTTTGAAAATTCGTTTGAAAACGCATTTCTCTTTGCTGGTGCTAATCTACCGGGCAATCTTGTCAGGTGAGTTACACTTAGAGGGTAGAGCAAGAGGATGGTGGCAAATTGACGTTCTGGTTTATGGTGCTGCTACAGCTTCTATCTGGTTGATATCATCGGCCATCAGCGCCTGCTATCCTACTCACTCTTTATGTCGAGCTTCTGTGCGCTACTGTTTGCCTTCAATGTTGAAGGATCCAAGACTATCATTGTCGTAGTCTCGTGTCTATTCAACGCATGCACAACAGCAGCTTGGAATGGGGTAAGCTGAAGACTGTGTGACAATTATGTCAAAACAATAACCACGTCTAATCTGTGCTATTGTTCATTGCGCATATCCTTTTAGTTTGAAGTTTTATTGACAGCAAACTTTCCACAGGAGCTTCGAACGACGGGGATCTCGGTGGTAAATTGCTCAAACCGATTTGCTGCTATTGCAGCACAATTCGTAAACGGATTTCTCATGGGTCCTCCACCTCACCTTGAAGCGTTGTTATTGGTGACAACCACGGTAATGATGACCGGCGGCTTTGCCTCGCGCTGGATGGCTCATAGAAAAGACCACGACATTGATGCTAGTAGCAGTGACCATTTGGAGGTAGATCCCGAAGCTGCACCAATTTTGGGCGATGAAGATGACGAAGAACAGCGCTCAGATTTGAATCGGCATGACATTGTTTCACAGGAGAAGAAACGTGTATTGAAACGAGGTCCGTTGGAGAGAATATAAGTTGGAATAACGGAATGGGAAGAGCTATCATCAAGTGGTCTCACTCCTTGATCAAGTACAAGGCAACTACGTGTAAAGTTCAAAGTAATATGTTCGAATACTTTCATGCATTTATCACATCAAGTGCGAGTTTAGCTGCAAGAGGGTGACTGACTTCGGCTAGTTCTTAGGCTCAGCCATTGGGCTACCAAAGAAGTATGATACAAGACTGAAGTCCACGATCCTAGGTTTTCCTCAAGCACATTGCCGCGCTTCAAGTCGTAGTCTATGCTCATCGAAATGCCCCATGTCTTATGCACACCAGGCGTAAGAATTTTACCACACTTGAAGCATCTGCCGATAGTGCATAGCCCATTCTTGGCTCGTATGACAAAGTTCGCCAACATGCCACAACTCGAAACAAGCAGTAGCGTGAGCTAGAAAAGCTGAAGAGCTGTGCGATGAACCTCATCTAGCATCAGCTGCGCAGATTGTACAGCATCACTACCACTTCCGTACACGCAGTTCAACCTACGCATTGCAATCTATGTCAACAACAAACCGTTTAGTATACTGTGACTTGAGAACTTACACTGAAAGGGACTGTTGAAGATGTTTTGCAGCGCTCTCAATCTGTGTAGCTTGATCCAGAGACGAGGGTGTCAAGTCTCTCTTTACCTCCTCAAGCAACAGTTTGCCAATTTGGAAATGAAGTAGACCCCTTGACGGAAGCTTTGTATTCGGAAGCAGCCATTCCACTGCACGTAGCTCCGCCAAAAAGAAAGGTAGTGCTAGATGTTGCAAATCTGGGGATGGCGATCCAAAGAGAAAGTTACCAATCGTACGGGCCATGATAGCTACACGTGAATTACGTGGATGTAGTCGTAGCCGCTTCGTCATAATGTCCCACATTCGTTGATACACATGCCATTTGTCCTGCTCCGAAGTACATGTAAGCATGTCAAGCTCCTTTAGCTGCCTTTCAAACCTATCAATCTCCTCTTTCTCTCGCTTCATACCGCATATCTTGCATACAGCGCTACCAACGCCACCGTCTATCGCCTTTTCCACCACCACAACACCGCTACAAGTCTCTTCTTTCTTGTTACTGCATACGAGTCCATTCAGATACCAATCATCCTCTACCTCCTCCTTCATGGCAGCCTTGCATCGTGCACATTGGCAATCAAAGAAATACAAATCCTTTAACTCGTTTCGTCTCGCTTCCGTCGACTGTAGCAGCTCAATGTATGACACTGTGAGTTCTTGCCCCACTCCGACGTCTTTCACCACGTGCACCAGCATTTCTCGTCCCTTGAAACTTACAATACAATTTGGATCACAGTCATGATTGAATAGTGCACCATGTGGAAACAAGGCGATGCCCAGTGCCTCATTTGTCACGTTGTTTGCCACTGAGAACGCGTTACAGTTGACACGTCCGAAAAGCCTCAATATCTCCATCTCCAGGTCGTTCTGAAGCTTGTCAAAGCTCACAATCTGTTGCTTGGTATCTCCTTTATACTGCAACAAGAGCAGAAGCACTAATTGTGACATCTCTTTGAACTGTTGACGTTTACATTCCAAGTGGTCGTCCAAATGGTGACGTAATTTGAATACTTGATTCCTCTCTTCCTCATTGATTATAGAGCCCAGAAAAAGCTTGGCAGCAAGTCGACAGACTAATAACACTGTAGGCAAATTATTGGCTGCTGGAATAGAGCGCCAAGCCGAGCATTCGCGACGATGTTGAGACCAATCACGTTGTTGACACGCACGAGAACAATAGCGAGCTTTACGGCAGCCTGTACAGCGAAAAAGAGAGACCTGAGACGCAAAACACCAGCCACAAGAAGAGAAAGATACAGTGCATAGAGCAGACGTGCGAAGGATGCAAGATCCAGCTTGGATTGCCACGGAGGCCACAGCACAGCGACCCTTATGCGCATCCAGTAGCTCATCATATTGAGGCATTGATTCAAACTCAATGAATCATGTTTGGGAGGTTATTAAACACTACAAACAACTTTGGATTACCGGTATTGTAACGCGATACAGGAGACGGACGTCGGTCATGTGCCTGTATTAACATTAGGTCCAATAAGTGAAGGTCCTGGGTGTGGCGTGATAATATCGGCCACGGATGAATGACGTTTAGGCTTGAGTAGTCCGTGATAAAAATTTCCACGTACTGCTGTGTCGAATTGAAAGGCATTGGCCTCTTTGCTAGTCAATACACGCTTTGTAGGTCCACGGTGAGGTTGTTTCTCTAAATGCTGTAAGAATGCCACCACGCGATCAGTTGTGCACTGCGACGTGGACGTTCCTATCGTGATCTCAACGGGAGACACGAGGACGCACGGGTAGAAGAATCGCATACCCAAGAAGCGATCCGGGTGCTGCAAATGCGTCCTACAAGACCATTAGAGCCATAGATAAATGTATCAGCAATGCACCAACCACATCAATACTATCTTGTCCATTTTCAATGTGTACTGGATAGAGTCGATTGGTAGCTCAATCGTGTTTGTAGCGAATGTCGTCGATACGGGACAATACTGTTCAAGTGACTTGAAAAGCTTCACTTTTGCTTCCAATTCATCTGGAATCTACTCCGAGTGTCAAACATTGGGAATATAAAGTATCAAGGTTATGTGCCTATCATTTACAAACGTTGTATTTGGAATTAGAATGAAACGTACTGCTTCAATTATAATGGCGGCGTCAGCACATTCAGCGACATTAGAGACCACTGTAATGTTCTTACAAGCTTGTGTTACCATACCCTTGGTCACATAACCAAGATATAACAATGGTTGCAGCAGCTCATGCGCATACGACGATAGCTGAGCCCATTATACCATATGACATAACAGTTAAATAAAGCACTATATCACTATAACTCTATTTTAACGTACCGTATCGCTAATTTGAGGGTTCGTATCACATACAAATACTTGCACTCCCAATAACGACAAGTCGATAGCTATGCATTTACCAAGGAATCCTGCGCCTACTACTGCCACTTTCGTACATTGTGCAGACTTTGCATCGAAGTGTTGGGCTCTCGTGTACGCGCACATGCTACTCCCCGGTGTCTGTTGATCGTGATTTCCATGCATTTTTCTATATTATCTTTAATTCTGTACATGTTGAGCGAATATTTTCAGCGAATCGTGTTCTGCCACATGATATAGCCTGGGCGAAACAAGAGGCGAATCAATGGTTAATGAGGCATGAAAATGGGGTCCTATCAGGAGCGAAGAAGCATTCAGTAGACATTAGTGCATCCCCGTTTCGTAAGTGGTGGAAGAATCGAGACAAGATTCTTGAAAGACTCATACAGCAAGAAACGTGTCAGGGAAGAAGGACGTCACCCATACGTAGAAGACTCGGAGAAAACGTGCTTGTCGTCGGGATGTAAGCCACCGAATAATCCACACGTCGAAACCTCCTGGCGGGATGCTGGCAGCTATGCGACCTACATTACTACGGGGCTTTTCCGGCAGATGGGGCTTTTAACCCACCCAACTACGTCCATCATATGGTGGGCAGATCATCCATTGAGATGACGTGCTCGTCCACTTATTTGCCATTCTCCGGCGCCCGCGGGAAGTCCCGCACTCATCGAAGATCAATCCTGGTACCACCCACAGTCTTGCGCTATTGCGGCGATGATAGCGAATTGATGTAGCCACCTATCGTGGCCGTGGCCATGCCAGAGCTACAAGCCAAGTGTTTGACGCAGACGCCTGTATTACACCGCCCATAATTATGAAAACGCAGTTGCTTATGAGGGGTGCTTACGGCCATACTTGTCGCTGAAGTGTCCATAGCACAGTGAGACGACCAAAGCGTAGAAGATCCAGGTGCTCACGGTAAACGTCCACTTGAGCTTCGACTGGCCAGGACACATGAGACACGCTGTCTTCACCCTTACAGGACGCCTTTTTTGGTACAATCTGTGTTGTGTAAATGGATTTACCATCACAGCATTGTATGGAAATTGTTCGGAGTTACGTCATGTCGTGTCTAAAAAGATGGAGACGTATTAATAAGAAGCATCAGGATAGGAATGTCAATCGAAAGTGGTCAATGTTAATCTATTTATTTGTATTTCACGTAATATTAATAATTTACCCAAGCACTGCAATCTCGCTACCACAATGATCACGATTTTGACTCTTCTTGAGTCGCAGTGCATGAAATTCATCTTGAATCGCTTGTATGGTCTTACCATACGTCTCCGGCACAAAGCTATGTACAAAGAGAAATGCTATCGTAATGGTACACATGAAAGGCACAAAACTGTAGTTGTTGAAGGCCGCAGCAATGTAAGGATAGCATAGACCCACAGTAAGGCTACATAGCCAACTACAACCCACACAAATGGAACAGCCCATGGCTCGAACATCGTTTGGAAAAAGGTCGGCCATAACTCCCCATGCCAACGGCCCAAGACTTGAACCGAATGTCATCACGTAAAGAGCTGTAAAAACGATGGCAAGTGCAGGCACACCGCCAACCAGGGCAGCCGTCATGCCAACTGCACTAAAAAACATTCCCGTAAAGCCGACCAGAATAAGCTTGCGATTGCCCAAACGCGCCGCTAACATCCCGCAAAAGAGAGTTGGTAGGATATTGACAGAATTGACTAGCAAGACACCAATGCGGCTGTCTGAGAGTCCTGCCTGCTTAAAAATTCCAGACGAGTAGAAGAAAACAGCATTAACACCTGTCAATTGCTGCGCTCCAGCCACACCAATGGCTACCAATAGCTGCCGGATGAGTGCAGGTGAAAACAGCTCGGTAATGCTGCGCTGCTTGGGTGCATCTGGAGACATCGACATAGCCAATTCTTGCATTGGCATAATAAACTCACTGCCAATGCCTACTCTGGGGGCCGCTTCGTCCTGGTCCATCCAGGTCTTGGCCAAAAATACGTTCTCTGAGCCAAAGAGACGAGCCAACTCATACTCGGCAAGTGTCTGTTGGCCTACCGTTATCAGCCACGCGGGACTTTCCACGAGAATAAAAGGTGCCAGTGACAAGAAAAGTAAAGCCAGTACAACAGGGAACCCTGCAATATACCTCCAGCCAACACTAGTGCTGGCGAAGAAGAAGGCGATCGCAACAAGCAGGTGACCGAGTGTGATGGAAATCTGGAAAGACACACCCCACTTGCCCCGGAGATGTGGCGGACAGATTTCACCAATGAATCCGGGAATAACGGCGGTCGAACCACCGGCTGCAATGCCAGCGAAGATACGCCCGATGGTGAAAACAGCAATAGTTTGGGAAATTGCTTGAATGATTCCGCCTGTAAGCATGAAGACGCAATTTGCCATCATAGTAGGTTTCCGTCCAAACTTGTTTGAGACACGTCCGGTCAAGAGACTGCCAACCATACCACCAACGATCCAAGAACTGACGGCAATAGTCCATTCGGTCTTTGTATGTCCGGGGAACATGAGGCACGTGCCGGGTGCGACGGGTCTTGCATTGCAGTCCTCTTCGTTATTGAAAATTGAGTTGTTCATTTGCGAAGTAGACCATCCAAACTGTATTGATTGTAGTATCACCACAAAAATGTTAGCGTAGAGTCTCCAAGTTGGTTTAACGTTTGATGGACTGCTTGTGTTGTTCTGCAATGGTGCTGTCCTGGCAAATGAAGGCGTTGGTGCTAACCATACGTGGCTTCTACTGCTCATAGAAGGTGTGTACTCCATGCTTTCGTAGTGGTGGTTCTATATATATATTAACGTCCAACGGACTAAACTCGGTTAATGAAACAGTTTTACGTATTGATGTCGGGCCTTCGACACTCAACGCAAATATTTAACTGAGACCGGGCTATCCAATTAGACGTTGTCGTCCTTGGTATGGAGTGCCTCATCGCGACAGCATGCGTTATCAGTTGGTCTTCATAAGTTACACTGACTGTTGTTGTACGTCAGTGTGAATGAATATTGAGTTCGTACCACGTATGGTTTTTGCGAAACAAGTGTTCTTAAGAACTTCTCCAGTGATATGTAGGACTCTCGGATCCATTAAGGTCCCACACACAACTATCTCATCAATCTATCACGTGTCAACCTTCTTGGGGTAATGTATGTTTGCTCAAACCAAGCGTCGTAGCCCAATTGACGAGAGGAATCAAAACCATCGCCGTTGTGGCACTGAAAACCCTAACCAAATCGTATGATATAAGGTCAGCTGTACGTACAGTATGTCGTTTTCACAACTAGTAAGGATGGCTCCTAGTAGGCGTTAGTCAAGTATAAAGCTAGATAGTAGCCATGGAGATAAGTGTCTTGAAGAAGCGTGGACGTCATTGGCCACTACAATGTTGATGGTAGCTTGAGTCGTAGAGACGAACGTAGCCGGCCGGCAATCTAATTCAATTACTATCGTTCTTTCAGGACGTCCACCAAACCAGCGGACGAAATTATTCAACGCCAATAAACAGCATCTTCCAAATAAAACGTTCACTCCTCCTGTCGTCACACATCGTCACACAACCACATTTGTCTTTTTTTGCTGCAAGCAGGTTGATTGTCGTAGTTTGGTGTTTACAAAGGCCCTACGTCGTTCTTGCTGTGATTGTGTCACCGATATATTATTACAATGCATGCCTTTCCAACGCCATAAATATGCAGCATACTGCATAAGTCCACCTGTTAGTAGGAGCACATGACAATATGTCAAGTGAAGGTGCTACATTTTTGGTCATGTAGCAGGCAAAAGTAGGCAAGGTTCAAGTACTGCTACTTCTTGACGTCGTTCAAAAGTTGAACAGATCGAATAAGGAAGTGATATCGCTCCTGTTGTCTTTATCTTGCAACATGCATATGCTATCGAAATTCATACTAAGGATGTTTGCCGCCAAGAATTGGCAATGGTGCATTGGACTCGCTCAACAGCTGCTGCGGTTTGCATGGCAACACCTTTTCATAGGCTGGAGGCGGTTTTACAGCTGATAGGATCTCTAATATGTTAGTAGCTAGCGAACAACGATACCTGCCTGCTAGATATGTAAAGTACATCCAGTTTACAACCTTCATAGCTCATTATTTCTCAATCCTGCGATTAGTATCACTTACAACGTTATTCAAAGTGTTATTGTCTTCTTTACATAAACTCATGTGGGTGTCCGCGACACCGAGCTGGATGTGATGACTTACAAATGTTTGTGTGCTTCAATCTAAATTCAGCTCGGTTGATTTATCAGTCATATCTTCAGGCTCGTGTCTCTAGCATTCAGCAGCAATTGCAGTTTTGCTAGCAACATTATTCAAATAGCTAGCAAAAACAGTCGGTACCCACAGTCATGCTGAACTCACTTGAAAGACGGTAACAAATGGCTTTCGTTTCGCTTGCCGTAGCGTCTACTTCAAGTGAAGGTACAAAGTTGAGTAATCCGTTGTTACCCATTCAAAGATTTTAGCTGTACACGTCAGTCTACAAATAAGCCTCATAATTTGACATGTACTTTAACGTCACACCATGTGGTTGTGTCAAATCGATTGCAAACTTCGTTCTTCGCATTGTCTATCTACTTCAAACAACGACTGTTTCGTTCAAAGTTTGAACCAGATCAAGTCTTTTTTGCACCTGAAATCGTCTAGAAATCTTGCAGTCATTCGCGGCACGTCGTGGTTACGACAATGCAATACATATCCATCGAAAACAATCCCTGTCGGATATCGTCACAAGATATAGCTTCGTGATTTCACTATCGAAATACGAGTCCTACAGAGGTAGGCAGCGTAGATCAACGCAGCAAGTGATCAGCACTGGCGTAAGAAAAAGGCTTCGTGGATTGCATATAGCCTTCTCAGTACGTGATATTGCGGTTCGGCTGCGCTTCTGATAGGTTTATTTCAGCCAAGGCGTGTGAGGGGCTGCATCTTAAGTTTGGCTAGTGTGAAGGCACACCGGAGTGATTCATTGATAGTTGTTCTCAAGATATACACAATACTTCCAAGTCCTTTCTTCATCCACTTGTGTCAATCCAACACGGAACACTGTCGTGCAAACGTGATATCATTACCACATAGTGATCCCCTTCTGGTGATTAGAAGTATCACGAATCTACATTCCGACCGTACCTTCGATATTGTTCACCACATGTTTTGGTGGAAGCGAGTTACACCTGCTCGTCTTGTCCGCAAACACCTGTCAAACCTGATAGCTAAACTTTGGCTGTCCTAAAGCTCAGTTCAAATTCTTCTTGCATTATATAAACTTTGACAAGTTTATTAAAACAAAGTCGATTTTTTTGGAAGGGACAGCAATGACACCTAAAGAGCTTTATCATACATAACAAATACTGTTTATTATTTAACGCGACGCGCATCATATTCAGCTTGAATCTCCTCCGCTGACTTGCCCGATGTCTCTGGTACCATCTTCAAAGCCACTAAGTAAAAGAATGCTAGCACTACTACGAACGGAACGAACGCGTAGTCGTTTAGAGCATCGGAGATGTACGGGTACGATATACCCACAACGAGATTGCATAACCAGTTGATACCAATGCAAAATGACGATGCACTGGCGCGGATCGAGTCTGGGAAAATGTCAGCTGTCATCACCCACACGAGTGGACCCAGCGTCACACCGAACACGATCACATATAACGCCGTGAACACAATCGACAGAGCTGACACGTCGACGATAAATGCCATCGTCATACCGATGGACATGACCATCATACCTGACAGGCCCCATAGAATCATATTACGAGCGCCGAAACGATTGGCCAGCACACCCGTGAAAAATGCAGGCCAGATGTTGATAAAGTCAATGATCAGCGTACCCACGCGAGAGTCTGAGATACCAGCGTCCGAGAAGATGGTGCCAGAGTAGTAGAACACGGCATTGATGCCCGAAAGCTGCTGGGAGCACGACAGTATGATGCCTCCTAGAAGCTGCATGCGGTAGCGAGAAGCAAACATGGACTCTCTCTTGGGAGCAGCTAGACCCTCCTCGACGTTCTCTGGCTTCTTGCTCACCTCTAGCCACGACAGAGCAGTCTGCACGTGCTCCTCACCATACAGGCGAGCAAGCACTTGCTTTGCCTCCTCCTTGCGGCCTTGGTTTAGCAGCCACGCAGGACTTTCCACGCACATTGACGGAGCAAACAGCAAATAGATAGCAGCCAAGACGACAGGGAAGGCAGCCAAGTAACGCCAACCAGAGCTTGTGTTGGCGAAGAAGAAGCAGATGGCCGGGAACAAAATACCGATCGTAGTGAAGATCTGCAGACCAAGACCCAGAGTGTTGCGCATATGCGGTGGTGACAGCTCATTGATGTAGCCGCCGATCGCGGCCGTGGCCGTACCCGATGCAATACCGGCAATGAGACGGCCCAGGGAGAAAAGCCAAATGTTTGACACGGACGCTTGCACGACACCGCCCACAATCATGAAGATACAGTTGCTCATGAGAGCTTTCTTGCGGCCATACTTGTCGCTGAAGTGGCCACAGCACAGTGATCCGACCATGGCACCAAAGACCCAGGCATTCACGGCAAACGTCCACTCGAGCTTTGAGTGACCAGGAAACATGAGGCACGTGTTCTCAGCCACGGGACGTGCATTACACTCATCCGTGTCGTTGTATTGCGATAAGTTCATTTGTGAAGTGGACCAACCACTCTGAAATGGCTGCAGCCATGACAGCAAGGCACTGGTATACAGGATAGCCTTGGGCTTAATGAGACGTGCAGCGGCCTTATTGGCTTCATTGTAGGTCGTGACGGGCTTGGGGGAGGAAGCTTCGACGTAAATGTCTGTCATACTAACTGACGTGTCCTTGATGCCAAATTGAGACGTGTTGGTTGGTTGGTTGTTCAACTAGAAAGTAAGGAATGATTGGTGGGTGCAGTTTACCGAATGCCGGTGGTGCAGTTTACCAGTAAAATACAGTGAGACTTTGTAACCACGAGACAGAGCTCGTAAATTAAGGCTTTGCTGAAGGTGCAACAATAGGCCTGTCTCTTGTCCAGGTATATCATACCGGATCGATACTACTCACATGCGGTATGTTACTCGCAGCAGCTCAGATGTTTCTATCTTGATGTTGTTATGTGACTAAGTCATAATAATAACCAAGACTATAATCATCGCCACTATCATAAATGTCTGCAACCTTGCTGCAATTTTATCGCCTTTTGGCGTGTATACAAGGTTTTGTCATAAATGCAAGTAGTGCACGAATTATGTGATCGTCAGATAGACGCTAAAGGATAATGTCTTCGTTTTTCAATATTCATGTACAGCATGATTCTGAATCGATATATCGCGTATGCTGGTAGTCAACTCAGGCAGACCGAGTAACCACAGACGCTTGTTAATTATTTGCAATGATAAATAGATTTCCGTATAAGGCATCGCTCTCTGATCGGTGGAAAATAGTCATGCGTGGAGGTGGATGAAAACGCTAAGAGCATTGCCAATATTACACGAAATACTACTGAGTACATCCAGTGTCTCTTGCACCGGTAGACGCGCATAAATTGGACTTGGAACGTCTATCTAGATACTAGAAGTGTCACTTCAATCAGACGAACATGTGGCTACGAAGCCTTGTAATGCAACTAAAGAAAGAGCAAGCATTTTGGTACGCTCTTTCTCTTGGGGCAGACACCTATGCCCCTTTGATTTACTTTGTGCGGCGCTCACGCAAGCGACAGGTTTGTTGCAACAAGACGTTATTTGATACTGTAAGCACAACATTGTTCCATTGCACTCCGTCTATGAATACCACATAGAACTTGTCTTTGTAAAAGCTATCTAATAAAATCTGAATCGAATTGAGCTTGCAACCGGTGTACAAGTAGCGTCTGATACGACCAGGCTCAGTGAGACTTCAGAGCAAGACGAAGCAGCAGGTTAGTGACCTGGCTTCAAAGCCGTAAATCAAGTGGCTGCACGATCTTGACGCGCGACGCCTGCCTGGCACTTGTCCAGTCAGGGTACAAGGTGATCTTAGGTTTTAGGAATGCACAGCCGTTTTGTTGGCCGTGATGAAGGCTGTGGATGGCTTCGGAAAAGACACATCAATGTAAGAGTCCATGATGCGTTGCTTGCTGGCAGGTAGACGATAGGTTTGATGTTTTTCAAGTTAACAATGAAGCATGCCGGTGCAGCTTCGTTGCCAGAAAAGAGCGAGCGCAGGTACAACGATACATGTATGGCTTTCAGACATTTTTGTTGAACAAGAGACAGCCGAACACCGCACTTCAAGGAAGGACCGTCTAAGTCGCACTGTCACATGATCTACGTGATTTAAATCGTTGAATTCATTTTTATGAGTGCTTTTCTGATGGATGAAACCAAATAAATACAGTGTGTGTGTGAGTGACTTTGTTTCTTTTGTTGCAGTGCGCACCGTGCTGCATATCACTCCTTTCATTGGCATGATTTCCAATGTGACGTTACTCTTGACGTCCGGTACTTGCAAACATCAAACTTCATGCCAGTTCCACTTGTCAAGCGAGTTTTCATGGGGTACATGCAGTCCAGTGGAGGAAAGGTGGCCTTGTATGCTACGCACAACTTTAATGGCGGTCGTAAACGATGAATCAGGTAGTGCTGTGTGGACTTATGTTCAACGTATGCTTACTTTCTTTCTGATTATATCAAGTACCTAAACTGATTCTATTCGGAGCGTGTAGAGCTGATTACAAGACACACGCGCGAGTAAAATACTACACTCACAAACTCAACCTTTGTCGCTAGTAAGCTTAACTTGTAAACCTTGTTCAAACACTGCTTCATAGGCCCTTGTATCTCATCATATGTAAGCTCAGGAATTGTTCCATAAAATAAGTGCTGGCCTTATTCTCTAAGTTATTACTAAATAGATAAATTGTCGCGTGTGCCTGCCTGTCTTTACGCCTCACAAGTCCAAGCTCTACTTGATCTTGATGTGTGCTAGTCAGGACAGGTGCAATTCTATCACACATCCTCAGACCATATGTCAATTGCTACAAGAGGACGTACAGAATGGCTCTCAAGTTCAACCAGTCAGTCATACCAGTACCAACACATCGAGGGTACGCTGTTCTATCAAGTAGCACTTGTGAAGCAAACGAAAAGCAGAACCACAAATTAGCAATCACTTTTCAATTTACCAAGCCCAGCTCAAATCAACATACCATGGTCGACTATACCGAGGTCACTACACCAAAAGCCAATGGAACGATCGCCTTTGATGAAGCCAATAAGGCCGCTGCACGTCTCATTAAGCCCAAGGCTATTCTGTATACCAGTGCCTTGCTGTCATGGCTGCAGCCATTTCAGAGTGGTTGGTCCACTTCACAAATGAACTTATCGCAATACAACGATACGGATGAGTGTAATGCACGTCCCGTGGCTGAGAACACGTGCCTCATGTTTCCTGGTCACTCAAAGCTCGAGTGGACGTTTGCCGTGAATGCCTGGATCTTTGGTGCCATGGTCGGATCACTGTGCTGTGGCCACTTCAGCGACAAGTATGGCCGCAAGAAAGCTCTCATGGGCAACTGTATCTTCATGATTGTGGGCGGTGTCGTGCAAGCGTCCGTGTCAAACATTTGGCTTTTCTCCCTGGGCCGTCTCATTGCCGGTATTGCATCGGGTACGGCCACGGCCACGATCGGCGGCTACATCAATGAGCTGTCACCACCGCATATGCGCAACACTCTGGGTCTTGGTCTGCAGATCTTCACTACGATCGGTATTTTGTTCCCGGCCATCTGCTTCTTCTTCGCCAACACAAGCTCTGGTTGGCGTTACTTGGCTGCCTTCCCTGTCGTCTTGGCTGCTATCTATTTGCTGTTTGCTCCGTCAATGTGCGTGGAAAGTCCTGCGTGGCTGCTAAACCAAGGCCGCAAGGAGGAGGCAAAGCAAGTGCTTGCTCGCCTGTATGGTGAGGAGCACGTGCAGACTGCTCTGTCGTGGCTAGAGGTGAGCAAGAAGCCAGAGAACGTCGAGGAGGGTCTAGCTGCTCCCAAGAGAGAGTCCATGTTTGCTTCTCGCTACCGCATGCAGCTTCTAGGAGGCATCATACTGTCGTGCTCCCAGCAGCTTTCGGGCATCAATGCCGTGTTCTACTACTCTGGCACCATCTTCTCGGACGCTGGTATCTCAGACTCTCGCGTGGGTACGCTGATCATTGACTTTATCAACATCTGGCCTGCATTTTTCACGGGTGTGCTGGCCAATCGTTTCGGCGCTCGTAATATGATTCTATGGGGCCTGTCAGGTATGATGGTCATGTCCATCGGTATGACGATGGCATTTATCGTCGACGTGTCAGCTCTGTCGATTGTGTTCACGGCGTTGTATGTGATCGTGTTCGGTGTGACGCTGGGTCCACTCGTGTGGGTGATGACAGCTGACATTTTCCCAGACTCGATCCGCGCCAGTGCATCGTCATTTTGCATTGGTATCAACTGGTTATGCAATCTCGTTGTGGGTATATCGTACCCGTACATCTCCGATGCTCTAAACGACTACGCGTTCGTTCCGTTCGTAGTAGTGCTAGCATTCTTTTACTTAGTGGCTTTGAAGATGGTACCAGAGACATCGGGCAAGTCAGCGGAGGAGATTCAAGCTGAATATGATGCGCGTCGCGTTAAATAGAAACGTCGTAATCAGCAGCAGTCGATTTTGTTGATGATGATCGACTGCTCTTTCGCTGAGCGGTAATCTAGGATTGAATGTTGTACGACTGGATATTCATTCAAGTGGCGTGTTGTAGGGTGCATATTGTGCTTTTAAAAAAAGAAATAAAGAAAAATGTTTTATATATCAAATACTTGATTTCAATCAATTCTTTGTATCTCATTTGTTTTCATAGGTAGCACATGGCACAAGTTCTGCTATAAACCTCCTGAAGCTTATATTCGTTATAACCTAACGGATACGCGGTAAAAAAGCTCTTTTTTCTGTTAGGGCCATGCAAAAACACTATACGTATGTATACATGAATGTTGTCAGGTGTAAACTCGGTTCATTATGTAACAGCATCATGTGCCACTTGCTTCTACATATCACTCGGCTCTTGCTGTGGACTGAAAAGAGTGCAATCGACTGTATGAGCTGAAACAAAATGAGCGAGACGTTATTTGAACACTATTGCAAGCTCAAAAGAGTGACAAATGGTTTCCAAATGTGCATTCCCAACCATCTCCCGACAAAAATGCTTTCATATGCTGTCACTTCATCGAAAACAACTCGCCAAAGCCGACCTTCTGCTCATCAGAAAGTGACTCGGGGAACTGCACGTGAAATTTAATGTGCAGCTGGCCTCTTTCAGATGGACGATGCTGCTTCGGCATGCCTTCATCTTTCAGCACCGTAACATAACGAGGCGGCGTGATGTCATCACGTACTACTTCCACTCGCCGTCCATCTAAGTGCGTAAAGGTTCTTCTAAAACCCACAAGCGATTCGCGCAGTGATATGTCCATGTCCATCCATAAATTGTCACCTTCGCGCGTGAAAATCGGATGCGGTGCAGTCGTTACCTGCAGACGAACATGACCTGCCGATTGGCCTGGAATTTGGTCAGCGTAATTTTCCAGTTCAATCTCAAACCCGTCAGGCGTGCCCTTGTCCAACACCACATCAAAGTCAAGGTCAGCCATCACCACCTTGCGACCGCTACACACTGGACATGTGCTCGTGTGGATTTTGCCCTCGCCATGACACTTTTCACAAGTAGTTTGAAACTGCTGGATGAAACCCGGACCCATGCGCCGAGTTACCATCTTGACACCATGTCCATCACATTCTGAGCATACTTGAATATCCTCCTCATGAGCCGCACCTTTGCCATGGCAATGGTGGCAAAGTGTCTATTCACCAATGCAAAACAAACACCGTCATGATTAACATCGTCTACCTTTTTCTTCTACAGGTCCAAATTTTCATCCACATCCTACCTCACGACGAATAGAAAACTGCAGACTCTTGCCATTGAACAGATCGGCCAGTGATACTCGCAATGGCATCACCACATCTGGACTACGTGATGGTTCCCGCTCTTTCCTTCTGCGTCCACCACCAAAAAACTGCGAGAAAATATCAAACGGGTCATGGCCACCATCTCCACCAGCACTATTGCTCAGCCCTTCTTCACCATAACGATCATACTGGCTCTTCTTTTCATCATTTGAAAGGACATCATACGCTATAGAAAAACACACAGAAAAAAGAAAACAATCGCCATCAAATCAGTGTATCAATTGTCATGAAAATCTAATGTCAAAATCACATTTCCAATGACAATATTTCAATTCAAAAACACACTCACCATTGGCCACTTCCGCAAATTTCTTGGCAGCATTTTCATCTCCTGGATTTTTATCCGGATGATGCTATCATTGACATACATGTATCTTGATATTAGGATCGGATGTGACACAAAGACTCATTCAAACTACTGTAAGACGGCGAAACGTTTACCTTAAGTGACAATTTACGAAAAGCCCGCTTGATCTCAACCGATGACGCATCACGAGTGATGCCCAATACCTCATAGTAATCTTTACCAGCCATAGCTAGCGCCATAAAGCACGCTAACATGAGCAACAGCATCACGTGTTGGCCACGTGTCATAATGAGCTTCCAGCGAGATGTAAAATAGAGTTAGAGGGCACTTGACGTTTTGAAGAGCCTTATAAAAAGACCCAATATAACACGATACAGAACGATGATTGGTTGATATAATAGATGAAGTAACAGGTTTCACAGTGGAAATAATGTGGTAAACACTAAAATGAAAGACAACATAAGCAGATCAAGCATTTCTTTCATCAGCTTTTTTACTTTGGGTTGATGATTTGTGTAGATTTTTTTCTCAAATAGTACCTATAAACGAATGCAAGCTATAAACGGTATTTAGTGTCTTACAACAAAGCAGTCTTGCAAACTAAAAAACAACCATATGCTTAAATATATGATACATCTCTAACATTATTCATCATCGTTCGTCCTATATAATGTCAAATACACAAAAGCTGATGTAAGTTACGTTTGCTGTATTGTCATTGACTGAATAATGTAACAGTGATGTAGATAGTGTAAACGACATGCTCATTGTCATTGCAATGTTCATGTTGTACATACACAAGTCAACTAACAACATCACTTCAACCGCAACTATCTCATAACGATCAAGCAAATTTGGAGCTGTATGACGACTTTCCATGGCTATTGCGAAACGAAAACAAAACCTGTCGCTTGCATCCTCATCATCTTACGCTAAAGCTACCATAAAGACTCTCTGGCTGTCATAGAAGTAGATACAAGACATTCATTGACTGACGTAATAAAGACCAGCACAGTGTCGACCTGCTTTAATCTCATGTATATCATACTCATCCGTGACGGTGTTGAAGCACAACCTTCTTGCAGGTGCTGTTACTTACTTTTTTTTTTAACCCCCCACACAAAACTTTTTTTTTTTTTTTTTTTTTTTTTTTTTTTTTTTGAAACCCCCTTTTTTTTTTTATGGAGCATTGCACCTTGTGTATGCTGTACGTCTGAAAATTTAAATGCAGTAGGCAATTATGGCTGCGTGTTCTGTTCAAAGGACTGTAGCGACAAGCACAATCGATTAAGTACTTGAGCTCTTTGTCGAGGCAAATAGTCAAGCATATCAAAACTGTCCAAATGCAAGCAGTGAGCATATCGCACCATCTCTCGACTGCTGTATCAATCGTTTGGTACGTCCATCAGCTGTGCGAGTATCAATGAAGGTTTGACGTCAGACTGAAAACAGTTGCTAGATCATGAAAGAAGAGCTAGATTTGAGGTACGCTACGAGCTTCGTGTCAGGCAAGAAAGGAGGGTAAGCCCAAAGGAACTGTTATGGGCACGATATTGCACGTCTGCTAGAACGTTTTTGTTCGGTCCTCAAACCTTTCAAAGACTGTGAGCGCCCACATACAAAGGTCACGTATGATCTGAAAGGTAGCATGCATCCAACTTCCAACTACTAAAATTTCAAAGGACTTGTAGCTTACGGCGTTTGCAACTTCTTGTCGCGGATCATGCATGTCACGAGCAGGTGATTTGGCCATATGTGGTGATACTTGTCATTCATGATCGAACTACTGAGCGATATGAGACTGAGGCAGAATCGAGGAATGTAAGAGCTGTTTTGAAACCGTCAAACTACAAGCTACAAGTCGGTTGGTTGTTACAGTTGAACGAAGCTTGTTATCGTGCGTTCTGCTAACGAACGTTCCACATGTAAGACGGTCTAGAAAAGAACCACACAATCCATTACTGTCGTGATGTAGAATGGTTAAGGGCATCGGTGGCGTCTTTTCTGAAGGAATCACCATTTGATTCCTTCAGAAAAGACGAAGTGATACTGCCATCCAAAAGCCGCTGCTGAAGGTTTAGCCAGCTTCCATCGAATTTGTCTGCATCACCCACGAATCCATCACAAAGGGTGATCAGTGAATCTTGAAACAAGCTCAGATCTTGTCTTCGCGCCACATCTTGACTTGATGGTAGCACAAAAATGTGGACAAGACCCGGATCAGTTTGCACCAAACGTTCGGTCTCTTTGATTTGAATACGGTTCATAAGGCAGACTCGAGTAGATCAGACGCTCTGCGCTACTTTTTTTCAGAAGTCTTTTCCAATATCCAGGTGAATCTCACTTGTACGCGATGTGATTTGACTTAGTATCTCAACAATGTATGTCCGCAGTGCTCATGGCACGTGAAGAGCTCTGTATTCACAAAGCTTTACTAAATGTTTTCATGGTACGGGACATACCTTGAGTGCTTTACTGTCAATGCTTCGTCTTTTGAATCTTGATACGTTCCAAAAAAGTCCAAGAGTATGACTGTAGCCATACTCGTATGACGATGCATATCCAACTTCTCTCAACGTGTGGAAGCAAATCAACCCAATCTGTGCTTGACATCTTGGGTTAATCATTCAAACAATGAACGCAAGCGCGACCAGCCCAGTATTCGAAAAAATGAAGCTAGTCAAAGACAGCGCTAGCTAGTAATAGTCTTTGTATATCTTAGACCAGATACTGAAAGCGTTGAAATGCTTTGGAAGAAAGACAGGAAGGAATAGCTTACGCTTGAAAGAAAGTCTGGATAGTGCGTAGGAAGCAAGATTGAAAAAGGCATGACAACCAGAAAACTTGGAAGCATGCAACGCACTTGATCGTACTGTATCTTGATCAATCCTTACCACCACGTATTGAAAGATTGCTTAGTCATCCAGTTTCATCCGTATGGACGAGATCGGTCCGTGTTTATGACGAATCTAGTATTGCCTAGAATCTTGATAGATTCCTACTCAGTTACTACTCCTTCCTTAGTCATAGCATGTTCCAGCTATTGAATCTCAAGAGCCAATGTCTTCCTCTATCGAACAGACTCTACCCACTTGACCAATTGCATCATCTTTTCTGTCCTGCATGAGGTTCTTTTTTGAACGTGTTGCTAATCAAACGGTATCATGGAGTCATTCTGAACCACCAAGAGAAGGTCTACGTAGCTGGTCTAGCAGAGCTACCAATCTCTCTTATTCTACAATTTACTTTGATCTTCGCACTCGTAGCTAGTAGTGGTTCCTTCTACTAGTCTCTTCTTCTTCTTCTTCTTCTTCTATCTTGAATTGAATCAAGATGAACCAGTTTTTAGTCCGAGGTGTTGGTTTTTTCAACGATTCCTATGACCTCTTTGTTCTCAATGTTGTCAATGTTGTGCTCACAGAACAATATGGCAAAGACGTCTATACGTCCACGATGAAATCATGGGTATCTGCTGCCGCACTTGTTGGTGCCGTTGTGGGTCAATTGCTATTTGGGTTCTTGGGCGATATCTTTGGTCGTCGTCTCAACATGATTGCCACGTGCGTACTACTTGTCCTTGGTGGCATTCTCTGCACAGTCGCCTATGCCGGTACACCTGAAGCTACACTATGGTTCATGGTTGCAGCTCGTTTTATCCTTGGCATCGGTATAGGCGGCGAGTATCCGTTGGCTGCTTCATCAACGGCTGAGGATGCTACCTCCGTGGCCGACCGTAACCAACGTGTGTCAATGACTTTCTCCTTGCAGGGTATTGGTTCTCTTACTGCTGCTATTCTCGGCAATCTCCTCATCCAAGCTCTTGCCAGTGGCGCTAAAGACACGAACGATCCCTCGCGTCTTGAAACTGTGTGGCGTCTACTTTTTGGCATTGGTGTCATCCCAGCTATCATCGCGTGCTACTGGCGCATCACGGCGGAAGAAACGGATGCTTACAAGGCTGCTGAAGAACGTCGCCAGGCTGCTGCTGTAGCAAACCCAGCGACTGCTTCGCGTGCTCGTCTCACGTTCATCATTCGTCACTATGGTGTAAGTCTTCTCGGTACTGCTGGCACGTGGTTCCTCTTCGATATTGTCTTTTACGCTCAGAACTTGTTCTCAGCTAGTATCCTGTCTGTAGTTGGTGTTGAAAACGCTTCTCTGCAGGAGATCACGACGCAGAATGCTTTCGTTGCTCTCATGGCTCTACCAGGTTATTACGTTGCCGTGTACTATATCAATCGTCTTGGTCGTAAGGTGATCCAGCTTCAAGGTTTTGTCGTCATGACTGTGATGTTCCTCGTACTCGCCTTCTTCTGGATCGACATTAAGCAGAAGCCTGTGCTTTTCATCATCCTGTACGGTCTTGCCCTCTTTTTCTCCAACTTCGGTCCCAACATGTCGACTTTCGTGATGCCAACTGAGATGTTTCCAACACCAATTCGCTCGACGTGTCACGGTTTGTCTGCTGCTGCTGGTAAAGCTGGTGCTGCTATAGGTTCATTTGGTTTTTCCATTTGGGTCGAGAATGAAAGCTTTGGCTACGACGGTGCCTTCTACACCTTTGCTGGTATCACACTGATCTCGATTTTACTTACCTGGTTTTGCACGTTTGACAATGAGCAAGGCTTTGATGAGATGGATGCTGACTTTTACCAGAAACTTCATGGTGCTGATGACTTTACACGTAAATCCTTTGAGTCAGTTGCCAAGCAGATAGATGTAGAGAAGGATAGTTACAAGTCTTCTATAACCCCATTGTAATTTCAAAGTGCTCATAAATTGCTGCATCTAGCCATGAAAGTATTCATATCTCCTCCTTCTCATAATGTACATCTTCATCACAACAATAACAACAATTCTACGCTGCTTTGCGATATCATACGACATTCCTGCTATTGTAAGCTACTAGCCCTCATGCTCACCACTGCTATCACTCGGATCGTTGTTGAAAACAGCTCGTATTCTTTCGTTTATTCTTCATCACTCTCCTTGGCACGGTTGGCTGCATCGTAATTCCTTTCGTTCATTTTCTTGACGACAAGAACTTGTCTTTGCAGTTAGTGACGACTATACAAACGCTTTGGTGGCGTTGCTGTCCCTGTCCGATCATGACGTGACGCTTAGCAAAACGCAAGACAACTTGATTGCCACGGATGATGTCTTCCAGTTCCCTTGCCAATTACTTGTACCGCATGTCGGACAAGTGCTAGCTTCAGCTTGAGCATGCATTCTATCTCGAGACTTAGACTTGCGTTCTAATGCACAGAGCAACATTTCTTCATGAGATGTTAGGCTTGCCATCTCATGAAGACCGTGGCATCGCGGCCCTGCATGAATCAAAGTGCGGCACAACGCTATCAATCTGCTAGCTCGTTTAAGCATAATGGTCAACCAAATGCCGACTACCTCGTCAGAGCCCAACAAGCTTTTACGATCCTCACTCGTCCTGCGCTGATGCAGGATATCCCGTCACGCACCAGCGTTGAGCTGCTTGTGCATAACGGTGACAAAATGCCCACACGGGATCAAAGCAGCATGTGACAACGACAAGTTAAAGTTTTCTACGCGAACAAGTGCCACCCATTCCATTCCGCCACCACATTGTAGAACTGTTGCCGTTGCTTGAGTGCAATGAGTTCCAGCGGTGCGAGTTCTATCGTTGTTACGTTGAATGGACAAGACTGTGGTAGCTTGCGTTCTGTGAAGGATCCAGGATAGAGCTCGGCTGGACGAGCAACCGTGCGGTACAAATGGCGAGAATCTCGTCCCCACTCCAAAATGTGGTCGCTGTTCATATAGAGTGGTGGAACGTCTTGTTTTGAGCCCTTGGTCGAATCCAGCTGCACTGGGTAGTAATGCAGTGCATCTCCGCATAGCACACCGTCGTTCTGATGACCAACAGTGACAAGATCCCAGCCGATGGCACCAACACCAAAGTCTGAAAAGGAATATGCAGTCTCAGCAAGCTCGCACGCCAGCCAGTACAACTCCTTGTCACCATAGGACGGCGGGGGCAATAAGCCATTTAACGAGACGAAAGATGCCAAGATAGCTGTAGCACGAGGTTGGCGCGCTTTGTTCCATAACACCAGCGATGAATCCATCTGATGGCCACTACGTAACCTCCAGACGTGCGAGTTCAGTAAGAACGTACTAGGCTGGAAGCTAAACTCCAGTCCTAAATGACGTGTCGGGACTTGAGACCACCGTAAGTGACCGTCGTTAATGATCCCAAATTGACGGTACGGAGTGACATCAAAGTTCGACAAGAACTGATGTAGTGCTCCCACATTGGTATCAACTTGTCGTTTGTCATCAGACTCCATCCTCTTGGCCAAGTATGACACGTCGTAGCTGATCCGATCATTAAAAAAGAGCGTTCCCGTGTTCTTGTACTGGTTTGTCTTCCACAGTGACATTGGATTCTGAAAAAACACGGTATCAGCATCTAACAACATGATTTCCTGGAACCGAGAGTACACGAGTGCCAACACTTTGATTTCAAAGCGACGGAATTTATCGTGACAATGTGCCAAGTCGACACAAAAGAGTGGACGTGTGTCACTGACTGCATTGACTGCTAGTTGACAAACATCAATGAATCTCACATTCTTATCTTGTCGGTGCATTTTGCGTTGAAACGTCATACTCAAATCTCCACAATGTGGAATCTCTACTGGAAGCGTCACTTGGAGATGTCGTAATTCCAGTAGCAATGAGAATCCCAGCAATGCAATATCATCATATAATGGCAATACAATCCCTCTTGGTTCAGTCATATCCAAACCTCGTTGTGTTTCGAGCCATAGCGAATTCGTAAACGCTTGAACCTGTTTCAATGGTAATGGGGCCATTTGCCACGCTAGACGACGATGAGAAATCCATCCATTGTAATAGAGTCGATATAATCCACATAGGATCATAGTGGCAGTCAATACAATGATAAAACGAGAATAATGATGTGAAAATAACCACATACGTGTCCTCCATCGATGCCAACGGGGGCGACGTCGAGTAGAAGACGCTCCTGGTAGCATTTTGAACAATCGGACCGAGACCCAGCTGATTGTAATTAATGTTCTTCTATATCTTATAAATTATGTTCTATGATATAACGTTATTGTTGTGCTTCTGGTACTCTTATATCTAATAACCCTGTTGGAGTTTATATCTGATTGTATTCACATAATGATGTTATCGTGGTGAGAGGTACTTTGACTACGAGAAATGTCAACATCTTCAAGTACATGTCATTTTACTGCACGAGCTTGCCACTCTTCTTCTTTTCATTCTGTACTGCTGTCTTGACAATAGAATCCCATGCTTGATTGAAAACACGTTGATGGGTATCTTGAATCCAATTTTGCAGCTCTGTCTTGAGGAAAAACTTACCATTCAATGTACTCCATTTAGCAACAAGTGCTTGACGTGATGCGACGCCATTCCGTTGCAGTGTTGCAACCAGTAATTGAATCTTCTTGTCAAACTTCTTACGAATCAACGTTTGGCTTGACTCCTTCAAAGTGGTCGAAAACGGTAAGAGACTGCTGATGACCTGGCCATCCAGCAAAAACTTGGCAAACCATCGGTACTTAGTTGCCAAAACGTCCGATCCAGCTTCGTCCGGGTACGTTATTTGCATCGCCGGTAGTAGCCACTGGTGAATACCATATTGAGCTTTTGCGTAACATCGAACCTCGTCCGATTCAGTGTGGTAAAACGGTGCAGGCTCCGCGAGCGGCGGCGCGTATTTACACAGTGGTGTGTCTTTGCCAATACCTGCAAGCCACTGCGGTTCAATAGCAGTGACCATCTTCATATATGCACGCGTAGTACGCATAATGTGTTGGTACACGACATACTCCGGCAGTTTTGTCGGGTTTGGCGTGAACACACACGAGTGTGGGTGGATGTACACAGGTTCCCGCACATTACCAGTTGCAGTAACGTAAGCGCAGTTCCGCTCAATCTTCGTGCCTTCCGTAATAGTGCCAGCCGGCACACGCTTTGCTACTTGGTCCAAGAACCCAGCGGCCACGATTTGCCGAAGAACATTCTGCGTCTCATGGTCGGGAGGCGGCATCTTGGGCTTCACCACGACAGCTGTAAAACCCTCTTTTTCCGTGTAAAGCTTGTTCACAATCCGTGTCAATTGCTGTCGCAGTTTCAGCATATTCTGCATCGTCTTCTCATGCAGGTGATTATCCTTGCAAAACTGTCTGCTGCCACCAGTATATGCATAGGCACCAGCAGCACGCAGTAAGCTCAGTACGTCACTTTCTTGATCGACCCACTGCGCGTGTCTACGCATTTCCTCGGCCTCTCGCCAATCCTTCTCCATTTCCTCAACCTCACTCTTCATTTCGTCGCCAACATTTTCATCTTTTGCATGTCTCTCCTTTTCGCGACGATCCAAAGCCTGAATGAACGGCGAGTGGCCTGAAAGACCGGCAACGATCGCAATCGTATACTCCACAAGGTTCAACTTCTGCGCAAGGAGCAGCATCTTTGCAAACCGCGCGGCGACTGGAAACTTCACAAGCGCACGACCTAGCCCAGTAATAGACTCATCGTCACGTGGGGAAACAGCACCCAAATTCACCAACGTCGCAAGCGCATTTTTCACGGCTTGCCGGTCTGGAGGTGTTGGAAACGGGAACTGCAGAACGTTGCGAATGTCCATGGCCTTCATCTGAAGCACCAAATCATCAATTGGTTGACAAAGAATTTCCGGTGATGAGAACTTCTGGAACTCTGTGTTATAGACTGCGGATGAATACAAACGGTAACAGTGACCCGGACCAGTACGGCCTGCACGGCCAGCGCGCTGATCAGCGCTGGCCTTCGAAATCCACTGAACATCAAACGAAGAAATGCCACTGGCAAGATCGAAGACACGCTCCTTAGTACGCCCAGCGTCTACCACATACTTGATACCAGGAATGGTCAATGACGTCTCTGCCACGTTAGTGGCAACAACAATCAGCCGGTGGTTCTCCGGTGGCGTATCAAATACTTTCATTTGCTCATCGTTGGGAAGCAGAGAGTACAACGGAAGCACATGCATGTACGGTACTGCCAGGTCATTTTTCATGTCTTCATCTTCGTTATCTTCTTTGTCAGACACCTCCACTTCGTCTTCCAGTTCATACGCGACATCTTCATCATCAACTTCATTACCGTATACCTGAGTGTCTTCCATATCAGCCTCTTCTTCGATGTCGTCGTGTTCTTGAAGAAGGTAGTCCTCCTTACTTACCGTGTTTTCTTGTTTACGTTGCACACGGAATGCTTGGCTACTCTTCAGAGCAGCAGCCTTTTTATCTCGTGCAGCAACCGAGTACGAACGACTGAGTTTGCGACATAGCTGCAAGATCTCCCGCTGGCCTGTGAGAAATACCAGTACACCACCCTCAGGCAGCTTCTTATGGATTTTGACTATTTTCTTGTAAGCCTCGCCCACGTAGTTATCGAGTTCCGTACGCTTGTTAAAATGAATTGTCACAGGGTACTGACGAGCATCTACTCGAAGCACAGGCGGTGGAGTCGGGAATAACCGATGGTTTTGCGTAAAGTCCTCCACGCGCAGAGTTGCTGACATAATAACAAGTTTGAGGGGCTTAATAGGCTTCTCAGCAATCTCCTTCTCCTCTTTCGACAGCAAATTGTACTCTTCTTCCTCCTCTCGCGACATTTGAGCTCGCAGCGGAGCAATGCGCGACAATAGACCAATCAAAATATCAGTGTTCACGTTGCGCTCGTGAGCCTCATCCAAAAGAAGAATCGAATACTGACGCAGCAAAAAGTCCTGTTGAATCTCTTTTAGCAGAATACCATCCGTCATAAACTTAATCCGCGTGTGCTCACTCATATGTTCGGCATCATATCGAATTTGGTAGCCAACATGACCCTTACGTGCACCAAAGGGCACATTAAGCTCTTCGGCCACACGCTTGGCAGTGGAGACGGCAGCGACACGACGTGGCTGCGTGACACCAATACGACCGCTGTTGGTCGGATGATCTGGGTGACCATAACCAGCTTCATACAAAAATTGTGGCACCTGTGTGGTTTTGCCGCTCCCCGTCTCACCACACAGAATAACCACATCGTTCTCAGTGATGGCCTCCATAATTTCCTGCTCGGAGCTGCACACGGGAAGCTGCATACGTGCCATTTGGATCTTGGGCTTTCGCGACAACGTAACAAGAGTGGTCTTGTATGACATCTTCGTCGTCTTACTCAACTCGCGCCGTTCCTCTGCGGTTTTCATCACGATTGGCTTCGGCACATACGCATTCGCAACATCCATTGTTGACTCTTCTTTGTTCAAAGCAGTTCCACCTTCACGCACTGCGGTCAATTCCTTTTGCCGGCGTTTTTCCTCGTTCTTCTTGCGTAAAATTTCTAATTTAGTCATAGCTACGCTCTGTGAACTAGCAGGTTTGGTCTCCTTATCATTTTCTTTATCTCCGACTACCATCTGCTGAACTGTCACATCAGAAGCTGCAGCATTGCTGTCATTAGATTCGTCGACTCCTTGCGTCGGCAGCATTGGGACAGAGCGACAAGCTACTACTGCTTTTCTCGTGCGGCGCTTCTCCTTACCACCCTTCTCTTCACTAAATTGCTCATTGGTCGCAGTCTCATCACCCTTACCAACAGACAACGTAGCCGTCACCTCATCTGTCTTTTCCTTTGATAGCACTGCAGTTCTCTTCTCGCTCTGCACCTGTTCTTTCACCTTCACCTTCTTCATCTTCTCCTCCTCCTCCTCCTCATCTTTTCCTTGCTCGTTCTCCTCTCCTTCACTCCTGTCCTTCTTCTTCAGTAGCTCATTCAGTGCATCCTCACTGATTCTAATACCAGCCTTTTGTCGGTTCAGTGATCGTTTAAGACGCTCTCGTAATGTCTCTTTGTGGCCCATTTGCGATGTGCTGTATAAAAGCTTCATCTGATCCTTTGTAAGCTGTTGCGTCTCGAGTGATTTATACAAATCCACACGTCTTGATTCTTTTAATTTTCTAGCAGCAATTGCCTCCATCTTCTTTCGTTTGCTCTTGCTCATGCGTTCTGCTTGTTGCAGCAGTTCCTCTGGTATTTTTTCCGTCTTCTGCTTCTTTTTACGACGACCAGGAAGCACGAGCATCCCACCAGTATCTTGTCCACCCAATTCTTGCAATAATTCATCACTAAGTATTCCCAAAGTCGCACAGTTAACCGTAGAAACAGCATCTTCCGGTTCAACTGGTCCACCATCGTGTGCTGTCTTTGAATTGATCTCCTGCATCTCCTGCTGCATCTTATAATTTCGTTCTTGCACGATCGTCATCTTCTTCATTCGCTCTTTCTTCTCCATACTCTTTCGATTGCTCTGCTTTCGTTTCTTGCCCGTCATTGCCACGTAAACGATGCAACGTATATGTCAATCACAATACCACTGACTGACTACCAACCATAGCTTTATACAAACTCAAAAGCGGTACAATGTACCAAGCATTACTTCATTATCATCCAATCATCATCAAGCAATAAATAACATTTTATTATCCAATCATAAATGTCCTCACTGACCCAAAAGAGCTGGTCAAAATGACTGGAGCTCCTGCGTTCACACATGTGCAGTAGATCCTTCATTTGTCATTTCTTGTCCTGGAAGACGTGAAGTGTGCTTCAATTGCCTCGTGATCAATCAATTCATCCATCATGCCAACAAAACGTGTCAAGGGGAAGAAAAAGCTCAAGTCGATTAAAGCAAAACAAACGGATGCCATGGGTAGTAAACGTCGTTTAGCTAAATTTGGTAAAGAACAACGCAAAGGAATGCGTGGATGTGCTGCAAATTACATTACAAGGAGTCAAGCATTGAAACGATTACAAATTACATTGAAGGATTTTCGTCGATTGTGTATATTAAAAGGAATTTATCCACGTGAACCCAAGAAAAAGACAGGAGGCAAGGAGAAGACGTATTACTATCTGAAAGACGTCATGTTCGTAGCTCATGAACCAGTTTTGGAAAAGTTTCGAGCGTTTAAAACGTTTATGAAAAAGATCAAGAAAGCAATGGGAAGAAAGGATTATCAAGAAGCGAAACGAAAACATGAGAATCGACCACTGTATGAATTGGATCATCTTGTGAAAGAACGGTATCCACGCTTTATTGATGCACTTGGTGATTTAGATGATGCCTTGTGTCTTGTACACTTATTTGCACTCATGCCAACGGGAAATGGAATTCATGCAGAAGCCACGAGTATGTGCTTACGTCTTGTACGTGAGTGGCAGAATTATATTGTGGTGACTCGATCACTTACAAAGGTTTTTGTAAGTATTAAAGGGATTTACTATCAAGCTCATGTACAAGGTCAGACGATGACGTGGCTTGTACCGCATCAATTCACACCAACTGTGGATAAACGAGTGGATGTGAGAGTTATGCTCACGTTTTTAGAGTTTTATCAAGTACTGCTCAAGTTTGTCAATGCTCAATTGTATATGCAGATTGGAGTCGCGTATCCTCCAAAGATTAATTTACATCTTGATTCAGCAGGTGCTCTACTTGCTGCGATTGAATTGGAGAGAACGAAGGAGGAAACGATGAATGATACTGACGCGAAAATGGACGAGGTCATGGAGACTGACAAGGATATTTCGGAGCAGCAAAAGGAGTCGGAGAAGCGACTCAAGACGCTTGGTGGTGCGATTGCAAAGTACACTGACCCTGTGGAAGAAGATGAACATGATGAGGACGAGACGTTGTACGGCAAGATGAGCGAACCGCTAGAGGCTGCCTTTGCATCGAATGAGCTGGCTGCACAAATCTATAGTGAGCAACGCAAGGAGCGCAGTGAGAAGAGTCTCTTTAGTGGTCTCACCTTTTTCTTGTCTCGTGAGGTTCCTTCGGCTTGTTTAGAATTGGTGCTACGCTCGCACGGCGCTACCTTGGGCTGGGACGGCGCTGGTTCTCCGCTTGATGAGAAGAACACGTGCATCACGCATCACATTATGGATCGTCCTCATCAGGGTCACCGATACTTTAACCGTGAGTATGTCCAGCCGCAGTGGGTGTTCGACTCAGTAAACAATGGCATCTTGCTGCCTCTGGCGCGCTATGTACCTGGTGCAGACCTTCCGCCTCACCTCTCACCTTTTGTAGACGATGCACAGGAAGGCTATACCCCTGAATATCGCAAGGAGCTTGAAAAGCTGAAATCAGCCTCACAGGTGCTGCGCGAGGTTGGCGCTGTTGGCGTCGAAGGCGCATCAGACTCGGAAGATGAGGACGCTGAGGAGATGGAAGAAGCATACGCTGCTGGTCTTAAGGCCGAAGTGGACGGCAGGACTGTTGAAAAGGAAGGTAGTGACAGCGAGGAGGAGGAAGCAGAAGAAGAGGATGGTAAGAAGGAGGACGAGGTTGACGACGATGATGATGAGACCGTTGAAGAGGAAGAAGACAAGTCGTTGTCTCTTAAGCGCAAGGCGGACGTGGTAACTGCAATCAAGAAGTCCAAGCGTGTTAAGAAGGAAGAAGATGCCGCCGAGCTCAAGGAGCTAGCAAAGACCATGATGTCGAAGAAGGCCAAGCGTCTCTACGACCGTATGCAGTACGGTCTGGGCAAGAAGGCTGACAAGATTCAAAAGCTCGAGGACAAACGTGCCAAGCTAGAGGCCGAGAAGGAGAAGAGCAAAGTAGCCGAAACGTCGACCAAGGTGGGATCCAAAAAGCACAAGCGGAAGCACAAGGGTGTGAGCGCCAAGTAGAGTTACGTTCTAATAGATTCGTGCGTTATTGTCATTTGACTGGCTGATCGAAACAATAGTGACGTAGCTGCACTTTGCCTCATGGCAATCACATGTTATATGTAGATATCTGATGCCCATGGACACAATAGATACAAGACGTAGCTCTAGCAACTTAGCAGGAATCAATGATGCACACAAATGCCCTACAAAACGCTCAAGAAAAAGAAAATGGTTTGCTATTTTCCAAAGAAACGAGCTATCGGCTATCTCCTTCGTCTACGTTCCAGGTAAAAAATAGCTGCGAGCAGCCGCATGGAAGAAACGGAGGACGAGAAGCTCCAGCACGACTATTTTTTCTCCAATTCGTTGCTTGCATAACCGTCATTTTCCTGCTCTTGAAAGCTACAAGAAAGCATTGTCATGTTGTCACGCCATGTCCCTCTCAGATCGTTTACGCAGTGGTCTTTTTCTTCTTCTTCTTGTTCTTCTTCTTCAAAGATAAAGCAAGAATCTTGGCCGTCTCCTCATCCACAGTCTTGTCCGAGTGAATACGGTCACTTGGGAACGCAAGTCCCGTGATCTTGGTCGTACCACTAGGCAATAGTAGTACAGTGACCTTAAAGTGTACCACCTTATCACCAGGACGAGCTTCTAGAATCGGATACGCCTGTAAGAGATCATGCTTGACACACTCGACGACACCCATTCGAGCTTGGGTTTCATCGTCAAAAGCACGAATCGTAAATGGTAGTGTCGGGAATTTCTTGTTAATCTCTTTAAACACATACCGCGATGCTTTCATTTTCAATCGATATTGTTTCTCCACTTGACGTTTAAACACCGTTGTTCGACGTTCACTAGTGACTGGTTTTTCACTTCCTGTCGTGTAGCACACATCAATTGTATAGACTTCATTCGGTTCAAAAACCACCTTGGGGGTCCGATTTTCCACATCCATTTTCTGAGCAATCATCTTATTTCCATCAATCACAAATCGTTTCAATTGATGCATTAAAGTACCTTGTAAACTCTTGACACCATAGGATTCTTCTAAACGTGCAAGTGCTTCCGTTACTTGTAAATTCGTATTACCAGGTTTAATCAATCGAGCACAGAGTGCAATCGCATCATGTGCACATTGAAATACATTTGCTTCTTCTCCATTTAATACTGGAAACGAACAAGCAGGAGCAGTCGCAGGAGCAGTCACACTTGTTGTCTTCTCCTTGGAATCAATCTCAGACTCTGATACTTTCTCCATGACAATAGCTGTATGCGCAACGACTGCAATGTAGCCATCAATATGACATCCCAGATCAATTTTCACCCAATCCCCAGCTTTTAACTTTATACTTTCATTACATAGAGGGGAATAATGACAAATGATTTCATTAATTGAAATACACGTTGGAAACGCCACTCCTTTTTCAATCTTCTTGTGCTTAAAAATGACACCACATCGTTGAGCAATGATTAAATCACTAAATTGACACAAGTCGACCACATTTTTACCCGCTTGTAATTGCGATAAGACACCTTGTAAAGCGGATTGCGCAATCTCAGCTGCGAGACGATACTTTGTCACGACATTTGAATTACTACAGTCTTCAGCTTCATCAAGACGTGTTGATACTGCTTGATCTTCTTCAACGTCACTGATACTACTGCGTTCATCATCTAACGACATGATCAATTCTCTCGTTTGTATTGTAATAGTCGACTGTCCTTCCTCTCTCTCTCTCTCTCTCTCTTCTTCTTCTTCTTCTTCTTCTTCTAAACTGAGAGATACGACTGTCTGTATCCGAAGATATGCAGAGGCGAAGAAGAAGATGGGAGAGAGATTCTTTGCCAGCCAGTCAATTCATGGAGGGGCTCGATGTACCAATATGATGGTACTGTTACTTCACAGCCTTTCCCCGTCCCCTAGATTGGTATTTTATTTGTATCGGCACAAAAGCAACCAAAACAAAAAAAGGACGTTTTTTGTTTTTTTTTGTTTTTTTTGTTTTTTTTGTTTTTTTTGTTTTTTTTGTTTTTTTTTTTTTTTTTTTTTTTTCACAACGTAAGTTTGGACCTTTATGACGGACAAAATTGTGCCCAATTCGGTTGGATGGTATATTCTCGAAGGATTTCCATGGTGGCCCGTATATATTTGTGACGTACAGAAATTACGTCCTAAATTACATATATTAGGTAGTGGGCATGAGAAAATCCTCAAGAAAGCACGTGATTTTCCATCCGACTTTACCGTCGTCTATTATTTTGGCTCCCATGACTTGTACGTTAAAACCACTGACTATTACTAGTTAAAATAAAAAAATAAAAGACATTTTTTTCTACTAAAAACCACTACGACAAAAAAAAGGGTCAAAATCCACACAACCCGACTAATGTTTCTGTCGTGTCAATGTCTTATGATGGTGTCATTAGTTCGATTGTCGGTCTGAAGAAAGGGGTCTTACGACCATGGGAATGTGCTGAGAAGGACCAATTTCTCAAGGGTCATCCAAAACATTTGATCAAGAAGAAAGGAATTCTTGAGGATCTAGTAGGTGCCATCCATGAAGCAGAAGAATATCTGTCGCAACCGGAAGATATTCGTGTCCCACAATATATGGTGCCATCGGATTTGGACCCGACATTAGAACCGCCACCGGCACTTTTATTGTCACAAGAAGAAACCGACGAGGAAGTGGCGAGTCGACATGATATTGAGCCAATCACGTGTTTTGATGAACCACAGGAGGAGGAGGAGGATCAGGAGGAAGGTGGTTTTCGAAGGAAAAGCAAGAAAAAGGACGACAAGAAACAGAGAAGACTGCGAGAGAAGAAGAAGAAGAAGAAAAAGAAGGACGAGGACGAGGAGAGTACGACAATGGATGGTTGTAGTGGAAAAGTGTTGAAAACATCACTGGAAAGTGATGTCAAGAGTGCTAGTCAGACGGGCACAAAAACAAGTATGGACAAGGTTTTATCACCGAGTGATATGTCAATGGAGACACTTTGTATTCTATTGGAGAAAGAAATCCGTTGGATTCTTTTTAATTGTGTTTTTGAAGAAATGACGACGAAAACGGTCCGAAAAATGCTGGAAAAACGACTTGGAATGGATTTACGTCATCATAAAGCATCGATTAAGAAAGGTGTTGCACGGGTGATTGCATCAATGGAAGAGGAAGAAGATGCAGGTGAATCGATCATTTCAACAGTGCCCGATGAAAGTGACGAGCAAGTGCAGCAGTTGCATCTTAACACTGATGTTAATGAGATGAAGGCGTCTACTATTTGTGATACTATAGTGGATAAAGTGGACGTTCCCATGAAGGACAAAGTGGATGTTGCAATGAAGGAAGAAGCGGCTTGTGTTGACGAATATGCTGCAAGCATGAAACAGGAGCTTGAAGCAGCATCGAGAAACCTCTTGTTGGCATTGGAACTAGAACCAAAAATCATGGACGCGCTGAGCTCGCTGAAGACTTTGGACAATGTAGACAAACACGTGCTGGCCACGTCAACGCTCCAGTCTCGACTTGTGAAACTAAGAGCACACCCGTCATCAAGGATTTGTGAGCTTGTGGCCTTTTTGGTGAAGAAATGGGACGTTGAGGAGTTGATTCCAGCACCCAAGCCTATCACTAAGAACGAGATCTTAGCTCTCAAGGCGAAGTTGGAGAACCCGGAGACAATTCACGATGAGTTATTGGTGACCTTAAACCAGCTGGGCGAGGTGCGTTTTTGCAATGTAATACACATGTGTGTTTGTTGGTGATGTGATGGATTTTGTGAAACTGTTTTGTAGATGGCCCTGACTATCGATCATTTGAAGAAGACGAGAATTGCACGCACAGTGTCCAAGTTACGCCAACACGGGTATGTCATCATTTACTCTTAAATTCATTGTGTTGCGGGTTATTGATGATTGTGTTACTTTTGACTCGCCCAGCAATGACAAAGTTTCTGCTAAAGCACATGAGCTCCGGCAAAAATGGATCAAACAGTCAAGTGAACAGTCTACCGACAGTGGTTGGTTGTTATCGTGATGGCTGATGATTATCAACCCATTAACGCTATTATAATATGTCACAGATTTGGACTTAAATCCGCTCAAGACTCTCAAAACTTTAAACCGCATCTTGGAACAGCAGAGCGATGGCACAGACGAGCAGAAGCTTCAAAGTAAGCAGTTGGCTGCGCTCGAACAGCTCCACAGTATGTCGTTGGATACTAAAGACATCATCGATTCCAAAGTTGGCATTCCTGTGTCCAAACTGCGCAAGTCGAGGTACGTAAACTATATAGTCATGTCATGTTTGTTGTAGTTGAACTAATCTGTGTTGTGCTTGTATTTGGTCTATCTGGCAGTAACGAAAGAATAGCAGAATTGGCGAAGAAACTTCGAATGAAGTGGCGAGCCGAGGCAAAGGGGTAGATAGCGTGACACATTGTTGTCGTGTCGACGCACTAACGAACCGACGTCACGACATTTGAGACAAACTTTCGACAAACAAAACTACATATTCGTAGCTGTACACAATCCAATGGTGCATCTTGTGATGAAAGAGCGCTAGTGGTGGTGTATTTTTACCAGAGCGAGGTTTCGTAAATGGGACATCTTTGGTGTGTGGCGTTACTCTGGAGGTCATTTACGCGGCAGTTGGCTCAGTAAAACGAAAATACTACGTGAGTGTTGAACGAATATGGCTATTCTTACAAACATTGGATTCTTTAGCGAGCATTTTGTGCGACCAGATCATCTACAATGCCTTGCGTCAAAACGAACGAGTGGTGCATATACTGCAGTGCATACCACGATGCCGTCACGATACCGTCGTCGCTTTGTGCGTGAAATTGCCCGTCGTGATTTTTCACACAAAATGGCACTTCTGCCGTTCGTGTCGAAGAGATCTTGCCACCAAAAGTGACCAGTTCGGGTCAATAAGGCTGGACAATACTGACTGGGTAACGCTGGAGACGATGACTCGTGTCGGTGCTGCTTTTATTGTTGCTTCTGATCGTTATGTGTCTCACCAATGTCAGTGTGCGCTGGATCACAACGATGCACTTGCGGACTTCGTCTTTGTTGATTGAACTAGACGACAATCAGGCCATCACGCTTTGGGTGACGTCGTCATCTTGTTCCAGTTGCACTTGTCTGCGTCTCCAGCATAGCACAGCTACCGAACGAGTCGTGTATAACCACACTGGCAAAGCTGCACTATACCTCATGTATGTTCATGTTCTTGAGTGCATAGATTTGCTTTTGAACGTCGTCGGAAGAGCTTCAGACGTTACCATGGTGTGCTGACGTGATGGAGATCGAATGTCGTCACGGTCTCACTGCAAGTAGAATTCAATCTGAGATCTACTGTAGAAGACACCACTGATTACCTGGACTCTGCAGCAACCGCATACAACATTATGCGGCACACAGCTTCTGTGTGTCCGTAATTGCAAGTACAGCGATACCAAGTAGAACAAGCCGTGGCTGTTGTGACCTCCTGTGATAACTAACTATGAGGCGACAGAGCGTGAAAAGGAGTGTACGGCAGGACAAATGTTAGCAGTTTATGACGATGATCTTAAGCGGGTCTAGATGGCAAACTTACCAGCAAACTACTGTGCGTATGCTCACAGTTGTAGCAACAATGAGAGAGAAGACAGAATCGGTTGTCGGTAGTAGTCCTGCCTACTTGCGATTCTTGTTGACGAGATGCACATGTTGGGAAGGAAGTTGTAACATTCTTTCAGGGTTAACTTTTAAATATGAAGCACTAAGTTCTAGTGCCGTGGCGTCTTTGATAAACTCTATCAACAGCACAACATTCAAGTGCTGTGGCCTTAGCGGTACATGGTAAGCGATGGCAATATCGGTGCCCTATGGTAGTGGTGACCCGGGAAAGCAGCGTACTCACGTTGTGGAGATGGCACTGTAGCATGAGGCTCGAGAAACGATAGCAATGAGCGATGGTTGCCCAAAACCTGCGTGTCGTATCGAGGATTGCAGCCCATACTGGCGGATGTAAACGGGTTAGCAAGGCGCGTAATGGGGCGCAGACGTGGGGTCTGCATTTGCTCATGAGGCTGAATCTTGTCGCCAGTGGAGGTGCTGCGTGAAAGCAAAAAGTTGATTGAAAGCTTGGTGCTAGTAGGAGATACGACGGCGAAACTTGGTGGAGTAATGACGCATTGAGATGGAGAGTACGAACTCGCTGCAAAAAGCTTCGAGTGAGACTTGCAGCGGCCTTTGACCTGCGAGAACTTTTCACAATTGGGAGCCATGCAGCGGCGACCGCCACCGTGTGATATGCAATAACCCTTAGACTGGGCTAACTTCTTACAGCCGTCGAATTGACAACGACGGCCTCCACCGTGAGCAATGCACAGACCACGACTTTGCGCGAGTTTGTTGCATTGTGGATCGCGACAGCGAGAACCACCACCGTGAGCTTTGCACAGACCTCGAGTCTGGGCAAACTTGTCACAACCAGCAAACTGGCACCGAGCACGGTTGGCATTACGACGATTACTGGGTGTTGGCATGATGGATGGATGACCAAGTGAGGTTTGAGATGATGGAAGAAAAGATGATGTAGTTTGAAACACAAGCGGTCACGTGTGTGTGTGTTTGAGTGTGTTCAAGTGCCGATGCTTGCAGAAGGCAGCGAAATGGAAAGTGAGGATATAACGAGATGGAAAACAACAAGCTGAGAGAAACTGTCTGGTTAGTCCAAGCAACTGCTGTTTACCCTACAATCGGACTGTCCGTACCACGCCAAGCTCTGCTCTGCTCTAGAGGTACAGGTCAGATACCTGATGGGTCAGGAGAGACAGAAGTTGTCGGGATCGTGTGCCAGATAGGCTCAGCATTTGAGCTCTGCACTGAGACAGCTGGGTTGAACAGAGCTAGCCCCAACTAAGGTGACAAACGAACGAGATTTTCATGCGACGGAAGGGGACTGATTAACAAAGGTCTTTCTCCGTTCATCCCAGCTGCTCTACTCTTTGCAAGAATGGGTCTAGTGACATGCCCAGTCGGCGCCAAAGCTAACGTATCAATTCATTACCAAGTAAGCACTAGATAGAGTTGTATCTACTGATTTCATGGACGTAGCACACGCGGCTCACACGTATGCATGGAAAGTGCTTTGCATACATTAACACATTGGTATACATGCATATGTACAAACAATGTCGAACAACTGAGGGTCCAGACAGACAGACAGACACACACACACACACGAGACTATGTCACGTACGACTTTGTTACAACACAATGCAGAAGCTACGAGTAAAACTGACTTGTGAAACCGATCTCTAGTGCATACGTGGTTTTGAACGCGTTTGAATGGAAAAGCTCCAGTCTTTTTTCAATGTATTGTGGCTAGAAAATGCTCTTTCTTCTTGAAAAAGCTTTGTCCATGAACTTTTCGTCTGCAATTCCATACCAAGACATGGTTAAATTTGATATAAAACGTTGTCACGACCAGCAACACTAGCCAGCGCGATCGATTGATCAATTTGCAGATGAGTCTGCATCTCGCTCATGCTGTCGTCTCACCAAGATTGCCACGAAAAAATTAGAGAGGCAGTGTTTTGGCAACGTGACAGGGCATTGCCAGATCGCATTCGAGCAGAAACATAGATATATATTCCGACGTCGTCGCGGCACAAGAACCAGATGGAATTTGGGTGATTACATACGCGACAAGGCAAAACCACGCTGCTTTTTACCTTGAACATGTGTACGTCGTCGAGCTCGGCTTATCCAACGCTCCTATGCTCCACCGAGTTTTAGTAGCCAGATTCCTTTCATCATGGGATCCGCTGTTATAGACGATTAAAGATGTGATAGTCGTCAGGGTGTTTCACGAATCGTGTTTTCAAGCATGCCGATAGACCGACTATACCTGTGCTTGTACTCCTGAAGGTGTCCTATAGTCTGAGTCGAATGAGCCGACGTGTTGACAGCAATGCCTACGTATTCCCGCTTAGCTGAGCGCACATGCCGCGTCTGCAGCTTTGGACCACGACTTGAAACGTGGTGAGATCTGATCTTCTCTCCGTACCTTTATGCTTAATCATATGCTTCTCTTGTCGCTTCGTCGCAAACAATCATGGTCATCTCTCGTGTAATCGCCAAGACCTTGTGGTATCTGGCCACGTGGAATCGAAAAGTAGACACCAAATATTTAGACCCATGAGATCTCACCGTAAGGTTGAGAGACTCAGTGTTTGACATGTTAGGCACTTTGTAAGCAATGAGAGACGTTCTAGTGACGAGCAAGCGAAATACTGATCATTGTGATGTTATAGACGCATACATGAATGACTTGATGAGAGCTGTTTAAGCTAAATCGGAGGTCTGGACGTGCTGAGCTACTGATGTGCGGATAGCGAGCAAACGGCCAAACGCACAACAGCTTGCCCTTCATGAAGACCAGCAGCTGGGAATGCGGATAGCGATTGGTTTGACTGGCTGACAATACAGTATTTTCTGCTTCATCTGGGGAAGCTTTCACCAGCTTTGGCCTGGCTAGCGTGCTCATGGGCACACTCATGGTGTCGGCTCATGTTGATTCAAAGGTAATAGTGCAAGGGCTCAACGTTCTAGAGTGCGTTTTCCCCAAAGCGGTAAGCTTATCGGTCGATGCTGTTCAGTTGCGTCGAAAGCGTAAGTTCTCGAATTCTATCCCTATGCAGTCAACACTTGTGTTGTTGACGTGGTGGTGGATTTACCATTAGCTAGTAGAGACCCAAGCAAACAAATGGTGCTACAGTTGCAGTCGATCTTGTTTTCATTTTGTTGATACCAACTCTGTCAAATATATCTGCGTAGTGTTCGAGACAGCGCTGCTGTTTTCCACTCAATGCGACTACGAATGTTGGGCAGCGCGTGGTACAACGATTGGCAGGTAGCGGGATAGTATCATGGTGCTTCGTACGTGCGTACTCAGGATGGTTGTGACTGCTTTTGCTTGTCCGACTTGGACACTGAAATATCGACGTTCGAGTGCTTGAAGATGCTAAACGAATTGCCAGCTAGTCGATCAGTACTACCTGCTATGTCGAGGCATCTACGAGTCTAGCGGAGAAGTGAATGAGTTTACATGTTAGCATTGGCTCCCATGACCGCTGGTTTCCTGACAGTCTGTAGCAATGAGATCCAGATTCAAGCGCACGAGCGTTTGAGTTTCTGTGAGTTTGAGAGAAGCTGTGGTATATTAAAGTTTGGGTGATTGTCAAACGGACCCGAAACAAACATGTATGGTTTTCACTTGCATGTATTAACGCCATCTACGAGCAATTCGACAGCTTGTGTGGCCCATTGCACTTGCCACGAGACCACTAGAATCTGCATCAACTGCTAACGTTTATCCGTATGGTTGTTCTCCAGATGCGATAGAAAATCATCGAGTGAGCCAAGACATTCCTTCGTGTACTCTCATTCTTGCTCATGAGGTAACAAACACACATGCCTAGACGTTGTAATCGAGTGCATTAGCACACACACACACGAGAGAGATGTACTCTACAGCCGTGTTTTCTCTCTGCTTGCGTAAGAGACATCCTCTTTCACATCTTCGCCATCGCTCTTCCAGTCACCGACTTGAAACTGTCGTGCTTGTTTTCAACACTTCCATGTACATGTTTCAAATGTAGCGAAGCTGCCACATGTGATTTGGTTTGGAAAGTCGCGTTAGCAAAACCATGATGCACAACTTTCAATAGCCGGCTGGCTGGATTCGGTGAGTCGACTGTGTCGACCGATTCATGTACATGTCACGTCGTGCTGGAACCGCTCAAGCGCTACACAACCAAATTTGTATGGCATTGTTTGAGTTAAAGAGACCTTGAGGTGCACCCTTGTCGAGTAGGATGGAAGTTGGTGTCATCGTGTAGAATCTGTCAGTCTCTGTTGGTCACCGTCAAGTTGATACCGATTCATAGATGTAGGAAACATGCATTGCCACACATGTTCATGGGAAATCTCTTACCAGGCTATTAAGAAGAGTACGAATGGAGATTTGCCTGACAAACGACTGCGTCCTCATCGAAGACTCATGACGCTCGAGATTGTGCATTCCAGAATTCCAGACTGTATGTACATAGCATACGTTTCTTGCAGTGTTAGAACGTATTACATTGAGAGCTTATCGTGCGGACGAACTCCTTCAAACATTACTTTGCCTATCGGTCATTGATTCGAGGCTAGTTTTCTAGCTGTGCAGCATGAATTAGTCCATGTTACACGTCCCGTTGAGTAATTCCTCTACTATTCGATTTCAGTGGACGAGTTGTGAATCGTATAAGCTCTTTCGCGTGGGTATTGCAATCGCCGCAAACCTGCGAGAACGTGTCACAATAGGAAGCAGCACCGATAATGATGTCGTTGTCATACGATGTCCTTTCGACTTTGAGTTGTTGCAGTCTTTGACCATGTTGCTGCGAGCCCTATCATGGAAGATGAACAAACCTCGACCGCGAGCGAGCGGCGACAGTCAGAGGCGACTGCTATGAGCTGGCGTGGTCAAGAATAGGAAACAAGTATGCTCTAGTGGTTGCTGGTTGGTAGACTGGAGAAGAAGCGACGACGACTAGCGCGACCTCAGGTGCCTTGATGAACAATCGGATTGCTGACGAGCCTCGTTCGACAGTGCCCACGATGTTGCAGCAAATTTGAGTCGATGGTCCTAGATGTCAAACGGCATGCTGTCTTGTCGGCTATTCGTGCATTCTCAACAGCCAAACGGTTGTAGATGCACTATGTCTTGCACGCTCCGTGCGTGTTTGCCTAGTCTTTAAGCTACACGATCGATGCAAGCGCAACCATGGACACGTCCACAATTGTATCATCAGAATACAGGCGAAGCGTCGAAAAAATGTGCGAAACGGCATCAGCTGGAAGAGAAGAGCGCGTGCAATTTTAGACTGCATACGAAGCTACCACGGTTCCTAGAGGTGATATTATCAAACATTGGTAATCGCGGCTCAATGTGCATTATTGATCTCGCGCAGCACACTGCACCGCTACGCTTGACATGGCGCAATCAGGAATTGACAGCCGTTTGGTTGCGACAAGACAGATCGAACATCCGCCAGAATCGTCAGGTTCTGAGACGCTCGCTGCAGCGAGAGGATGTTTAAGAGCTGCAAGGTCTCTTTTAGAGATATCATTGGCACTGAAGCGCAGGTACATGTCATTTTGCATGGTTAAACAGGGGTGAGTCATTAGCTAGCAGTGCAATGACTTTGTCATGCTCACATCATGAACATGCATACCGAACTGCTGGAACGAGAGAACTAGTCATTGACCTTGGGTGTGTCCTATAAGTCTACAAGTTCTTTGTTTTGACAACGCCGAAAGCGCTAGTCAGCTCCATTTGCTGTAGATGTAATCCCTCGCGTTGGTTATCCGAAGTCGTCCGATTGATGTGATACGTCGACGAAAAGCCGTGGAGTTTGAAGCTGCACGGTGCACTACCCGGTAACATGTAGCAGCGTGTATCATTGATCGAGCTGTTCCAAGCTATTAGCTACTCTTCTTCATCTTCAACACAAGTCACTTGCTGTTCGTTACGTGTTTGTTTTGGTGCGTTTCTCAATTGTTCTGCCAAGCATCATGGGCACAGTCTTTTTCGGTGCATACCACCTCGGTTTCATAGCTTGCAGTCGGCAGTTAAGACGTGAACTTGTGCTACGTCGTAACTGCCAGAGTGAGACGTCTTGCAACAACTTGTCCGAACCGTCGCAAGTGGGACTCGCTGCTTCACATACTTCATGTAAGGCATATCTTTCTCTATGGCGCCATATCGAGATATCTTGAGTCGTTTCGTGCGTGTCGTCTCGAAGGGAGGCACTTGTTCTTCTCTTCAGTTTGACTCAGACGAGTTCCATCAGTTTGTGAAAATTCCGTTCGTGTCTTGATCTCAGTCAAACTTGTCGGTCTTCAATGGCCTCATCGTATCATTCGAGTCCATCTCAATCTCCGCCATCTCCAGTCCCTTTTGTACCGTCAACTAGTGCTGAAATCTGCACAAGTCCCACGTGGGACGAATACTTGACCACCTCTTCCAAGGTCTCTTTTGAATTGACAGAATGTACTTTTCCACTTCATATGAACTTTGATGACTCAAATACGATCGAACCACGAGGTGTTCCCGTGCTAAACACGTATCCTTCAACATCTAACTACGCTTCAACATCAACAACATCCAATGGCACAACATCACACTGTTATTCCACGCGGCCTCCTATATCACACCATCTTGGTCCGATACCATTAAAGATGACCCCCACAAATCAAAGGCGTCAAGCTTCTCCATTACTATCTCCAGTCTCCTTTCCACTCACGACAATGTCACCAATGACAACAACTTTTCCACTCAACGTAATGCGACCTTATGGCATCAAGAAATTTGTCCGACCGAAAATGCACATGCCCGACACCACTCGGAACACGCAAATTGGACGCTGGACCAAAAAAGAGCACGAACTGTTCCTGGAAGGTCTGCAACGCTTTGGTAAGTCGTGGAAGAAGATTTCAAGTCTTGTACACACACGAACATTGGTGCAGATACGTACTCATGCACAAAAATATCTCCAGAAACAATCACGTGCTGCTATCAAAGCTGACGTTAAAGCTGCAGGAGTCACAACTTCGCAAACGAAACGATCGCAACAACCTCAACAGCAGTCAAAGGTGAATGCTACTGGCCGGTCGATATTCCAATCAAACACTTCGTTGACTTTTGCTGTCACTCCACGGCCGTGGAAACCACTACAATCAGGAGATGGCGACAATGGATTCGCTCCTCTTACTTTTCCAAATTCCCTGTCATCTTTGACGTCACAAACATTATCGTCGACTCCACCACGCTCATCCTTTCAGCCGAATAATAGCACGACTCGACTGGACCAGTTACTACAGGATGACAATAGCACCATTCCAGCTTTCATTGATGAGTACTATACGAGTCCGACCGCAATTGAAGATGGCTTGTTGAGACCATTGTACACTAGTGATCAATGGTTATCTACGATGGAGACATCTGTCAACCATGTCAATAATCGTCGCCGTCTCGAACCTTCTCCTTCGACTTGTTCCGAAACTTCAACTGCACTCGCATCGCATCCTGCGTTCTGCAGCACCGCGTTCGAGCCACTAACAGTTCTTGACAAGTTGTCATCGCCAAGCAACAGCCCAATTCAGCACCATTCTGCCGCTGCTGCAGTCCTACTAGCCGCCCACGAAACTGACGGGACAACCACTCATACCGATGCATGGTCGTAGAATACGCTCTCCACTTTGTTACGATGTCCTTGAGACTCCAGGGCGTTATTGCGTTGAGGCACTCGTGCCTTTTCTTCATTGCAATTGTTTTCATTCTACTTACTACTCATGCCAAACTGGACACGCATGCATAAGCGAAAAAATAACAAGCATGTTGTACTTCTAAGCCGTTTAAGGTCATTCATTCTCTCTCGTGTTCTTTCATCTCGCAGCAGTCCTCGAGTTGTCACAGACATTTACTGGAATACAACAGCTCGATCGTCTATGTCGATGATGTATCAACAGATATGCTCAAGCAGCCCTCGTGAAGACATTTGTGCACTCAACCTCACGTTTAGCGCTATCTTGAAAGCCGTTATTTGCACATAAAGCTCATGAGCGAACTATAGCTATACACTATCTATCTCTTCTTGCATTAGTATCATTATGGTCATTGTCGTATTGACAAGTTATTAGTTCCCTAACTAAACTCTCTTCCTTTAGACACGCTGTTAGGACCTTATCAAGCTGTTTGGGGATATATTGCAATATCTCAATGGTCACTTCACCAAGAATATACCGTTTTTCCGCACACGAAACACAGAAGACGAACGTCAGACCGAAAGTTGATGATTTGCGCATGGACAACACGTTCAGTTGAGTGAAAATGTTGCGCTGACACGGAGTGATCGGCATGTGAATGGAGCCATCAATACTAAGCAAAGCCAACGTGGGCTGCTTTTTGTTCACCATCTCGATTAGTACCGTGCGTCATGATCGCCATTCAATCCAATTTGTCTGATGTGGACGCAACGCGCATGTGAAGCCTTCAATTTGGTCTACCAGCTTACTTGACATCCCTGATGCGTTTTCTGTGAATGGCACTTGTAGCTGTTCGATTGCAGCACCGATCACTGCTAAAGAATTGTCTTGAACAAGAGCTAGTGGTACATATCGTCTGTAACCTGGCGCTCAGGTCCCATCCAAACTGCCATCTGATGTCTCTTACCGCGCGTGCTTTTAGCTAAATTTATCGGCATTTACGTGAATATTTATCGTCTCCAGTACTTTCATTTTCGACGTTATGCGTCAATGAGAAGTAACCATCCATATTAATCTCGCAAACGACGTGAATTGCTGCTATGAGCGCGTCATTGCTAGCAATAACACATAGCGCTCCCACAGCGTGAGCTAACTTATACTTCACCGATCCACAGCAAAAGGCAGATACGAGTTCCTGACAAGCTCTTCACAGTCGCATATGTTGCCTCAGATTCTTACTGCGACGGCGTCTAAAGCAAACATGGTGCGTTGACAGGATTTGCAGCAGATCACTTCTTTCACCAAGCATGGAGAGTGCCTGGGACACCCGGTGTAAAAAAGCCACAAAACTGCATTCAAATTGGCAGAGGATATCGAATTGTTTAGCATAGTCCGTGCCCAAAGAAGATTGAGCCGAACTTTGGCAATACTAATACAGCTTTCGGTGACCATCTTGATCTTCAATCGGCGCCGAGAAAGTAGAATTACAGTAGCATATATGTATGTGCCTTCTATTCTTCACGAAAGCTACTCAGTGATGCACCAAATGACGTAAAATGTGTCCCATGTTTGCGCGTCAACGCCAACTTCGTAGCCAAGGAGTCCAGCAACGCGCACACCTCAGAATCTCTTCCATCTACTTCTTGCCGCTCGTCCATGTAAATGAGCGTGGTTCCAGCAACAAAGATGCGTCCAATACCACTTAGGTTTTGCTTCCACTCCGGTTCCAAGATGTCAGAATCATCAAAACAGCACCCGACACCAGGCAATAAACGCGAAGAGTACTGATTGAAAACCATCCATCTATTACAGTAGCGCCGACGGGATTGCGGGGGATATCACAGTCATTATGAAGAAACAGCACAGCTGCCCAGCGAAAGTTTGAGGAGGAAATGTTGCGTCACAGATATGGCCTCACATCGATCGATGCAGACCCATTCAAGCCTTGGGCTCACCGTAACACGAATCAAAGCAGAACGTCTCAAATGCAAACGTCTGCTATTTCTGGCTGCGACTACATAGAGAGTTTCTTGATTGGGCATCGTGGACAGTACCAGTTGCCTGGTGGGATGGAAGTTAGAGGCGGCTGGAGACAGAAGGCATGATACGCTGCATCGCAGCTATCGCACAGCAACATGCTCTCTTGCGCGTTCATTTGACCACATTGCCTGCACAATTCCTCCGAGGCAAGATGTGTCACCGGGGTGTTGGGTGGCACTTCAGTGACCCACTGCTCAAATAGCCGATTGAAGATAGCTGCGAATTATGAAGTGCATAGACAGAATTAGTTTCAAGTACGTGGCACTGACATACGTAGGTGTGAACACTTACATCGCAATCGATTTGCACACTTGGAGATGTCAGCATCGAGGCGATTAAACGTAAAGCAGTTTTCCCAAACAAGGTTCACATCCCGCACAAGCATTTCGAACCGTTGGTCGTAAAATCCACGGCTCAGCCTTATCCTGATCGTACCCAAGTCCATAGGGTGCTTGATAATATTCGCGTACCCAGGTACATCATTTACGTTCACTGGCGCAGAGAATGCTAGTGCCAACTCATTTCGCAACACTATATCCATAATACGCTCTAAGCGCGACCGCAGTGTTACATCCTGTGCGCTTCCCATGGGAAAACAGTGCTGTGGAGTCTTCATTTGAAAGCAACGCAGCTCAACATATTGCGTCTCCTGAGGCGTTGCCATTGGGGTGGAAGCGTTTGATAAGTTTTGGGCTCGTCGCTTTCGACTGGAAATAGAGCGCTGGCCTGACGTCCCGCTTAGTTGAGGGCCAGGATGTTTTCGCTTCAGCGCAGCAGATCGTCCGGATACGCTCTGAAGCTGTGCTGATGATGTTTGGGCTTGGTGAGCCGAGCTTGCTTGAATCCATCGTTCGACCTGGTCCTCCGTGAGTGATGTAATTGCAGCGACCTCACTCCGAGCCTTTCGGTGTGCGTAAATTGTCAAAGACCGTTCTCGCTGCGATTCCAGGATGTTGTCGATCATTTTATTAGCCAATCCAATTACACCAGGAGACAGTCGGTCCATAAAAAGCAGCTTCGAGGGGGTCTAAAACAGGCTCGGCTGCGTTCAGTTCCTGGCTAATTATTGTTGTCTTCTGGATCACACCAGGCCGACTAGAATTCGCAGTTGCTGGTGCGTTTCGCTGCTTACGCTTGCCTCCACGCTTCATACGTCCGTACGAAATTGCGTCGTCCAACGAATATAGCCGCATTGCAGCAGATGCTATCGTTGCTGTGGTGATCGCATTTTTCGCTGATGGAAGCGGAGATGCCTTCCAACTCGGGTCAAGCCATTCCGGGTCAATGCTAGCTTCCAAGAACACGACTGCTTCCATTAGCATAGCCGAGGTATCGCACGCATAAACCATTTCTGCCCATGCAGCACGAATAGAGCGTCCCCATCGACCCGAGCGAAAAGCATCGCGCGGAATTGCTGATTCAATAGTAAGCAATTGAGCTCGAAGAAGCAGCAACGAACGCGGGAGGTCCTTTTTTCGTGGACGGATTGTCGCGCCAAATGCTTCTAACAACTCAGTTGCTAGCTCTCCAACCTCTCCATCCGTCGGTTCTTCTGTCCCTGCTTCGCTGCCTCCTTTCGAATGGGTCTTGGCAAAATCGGGATCATACATATCAGCAATATTAGTAATTTTGCGAGACACGCGTGATGATCTCCTGGATACACTAGTCTTGTCGGTTACACGAGGCTCCTTTCCTCCAGTTTGAGCATGAACCGATGCCCTTGCAGTTTGCAGTGGGGGGCTTTCTTCGGGAATTACTACAGTTGCTTGTTCTGACTGGGATGTCGAGACGGTAGGTGTTGACACCACTACCGTTGTGACCGTTTGGCTCGCCTCCGCAGCCGCAAGTTGAGCCTGCGCATTGGTACGAGATCGCTCAGAAGTCGAACTAACATCTGCCGAGCTGCTTTGTAACCCTCTCGACGCTTCCTGCAATCTCGCTAACTGCACCTCGCGGTCACGCTGCCTTTCAATTTCGCTACGTTCTGCGTCCGTATCGGACTGTGCTGGTGTCGTCACCTGTGAGATCGACGGTGACTCAGGTTCTGTATCGACATCCGCGATTGTACTACGTTCTGTAGTCAGAGCTGTTGTCTCGTTCGATGTGGTCGCACTTGTGTCGATATCAAAGTCTGAAGTCCCGCGGTAAGTCGTTTCGTTTGCATCATAATAATTTACCTGTGATGGATCTCCATTTGGCGGCAGTTGGGAATCATTCCCTGCTACAAAGTTCAAAAACTCACCAGTCGAACTATTGCTGTGATATGAGACCGGAGCTCCAGCTATTGGCGGTGGGGCTGACGAATAGCCCATTCCGGATGATGCGTTTGGCAACAACGGCTCAGAATCCATTGATTGCACATTTCCACTTTCGTTCACATTCATAGCATTCAGCACGGACCCTGGAGGAACTGAATGAGAAATTATCGGGTTAGGTGCATGTTGCCAGCCTCCACCTGTGTTTTGAACACTTGCAGTGCTAGCCACATCATCGGTGTACGCATTTGGCAATGTGTCGTAACTCGTATTGCACATGGAAGGCACAGCAGGAAAAGTTTGCCCGGACATATCACCCATGAAATCTGACAAGTTACCTGCCGTTTGTAGATTTCCGTACTCCAAAGATGGATTTCCCATTTGTTCACTTGAAGGCGCTGATGGAAAAGGGAGCAAATTGATATTTTCACCCATGCCAGGAAACTGTTCTGGGTTTGCGCCTTGGAAACCTTTGCCTGGATTCAAATTACTACTTCCCATAACCATCGGTTCACTTCGTGGTTGCTGGTTGCCGTATAATCCGTTGCTGTTCATGCTTCCTGCTGTCATCGGCTGATTGGAGGCACTTGGTTGCTGTGCTTGGTGGTTTATTGCAGACGCAACTTCAGCAGAAGGTATCGTCCCTTGAGTAGTTGTATTTGCCGAATATCCCATGTTGAAAGTGGAACTTTGTACCTGTACTGCCCCACCAAGAGAAGATGGCAACATTCGCCGGAATGTCACTTGTAGCGGTCGCTTGCTAGTAGCAACTGCAGTTTTGAATCCCTCCATACCAAGAACCTCCAACTTATTACCATTTACCGCATAGACTTCGTCACCCACCTGCACCTTTCCGCTTGCCTGAGCCTGACCCATCATGTTGTTGCTGTCGTTAGAGAACTCTGTAACAACAATAGTTCCTTGGTTAGAGTAGTTGATTACAACACCTAGTGGACCATATCCAAACTCCACGTCCACAAGTGTGCCGTTGTTACTGGCTTGGTTTGAGGTCTGAGGATTGCTCGTCAGGTTTCTCGGCATTGAAGTCGATCCTGGCATCACTCTATACGCCGGAATCGGAAGAGACGGCTGATTTTGACCAGGAATGGTTCCGCGGGAAGCAATGTTGATTTTGCGATAAAAAGCTTGCCGAATGTTCTCGAGTAAATTAATCTGCTGCACGAACGATGCAGGCAAAGATTCTACGCCTGGAGTTGACGGCGTAAATAGCGGCCGGCAAATGCTTAGGTCGTCGAAACTCGAACCCGACAGGTATTGTGTCGTTCGCAAAAACATTAATACAAAATTTGCAACATTGTGGAGCTCAACTGACAAATCACCAGCGCGTTGAGACGGTTCGCACTTTTTCGCTGCAGTAGCAAACCCGCTGAGTGCCCGTGCGCGCAGCATGTTCGATGGATCCACGCAACTGAGAATAGCTGTCGCGAACGCGTCTGCCACTTGCTTTACCAAAGCCGAGTCCGAATGTGTTTTCTGGCTGGTTGTGAGTGCCTGCGTTGCCATCGCGCAAATCAATCCCATCACGTACGCGTGATGGAGGCACACAAATGTTTTGGAGTCCGGATGGGTTGCGGTGGGATCAACAACGATACGCGACACAACCTTTTTTATCGCTTCAAAACTGGACAAACATGCATAGGCCAGCGCATTTGTCGTCTGAACAGTAGCAGAGGCAGCAAATCGATTCCAAACTGCCAGCATTGATCGCCCGTGATCCACTAGCGCCTGAAGCGACCGCTTAAAAGAAACAGCATTGTTGGGCGCGCCAAGTGCAAATTGTTGCTGCTTTCTTGCAGCTTCATTTGAATCTGCATATCGATTCCGCTTCGACTGTTCAGTGCTTTGGTGTGCATAAAGGTCTCCTATTTGTGTATGTTTCCGCTTCAAAGCGTCTTGGTAACGCGCTTGAGCGGCAGCATACGCAGGCAACTGTACGTCTCCTTGCATTCTCGGTACCGCAACATGTGGCACCCCAGTCTGGTACACCCCGGACCTTGCCACATCATGAATGCAGTTTAACATTGCTTTGTCCGACCGAAGACTATGCTTAATGAGTTGATATACATCGTGTGAAATTGGAATGGGCTTCACCTCTCCATATCGATCTATCGCGCTTCCATATTCGTACTTCCGCGATAAAAGACGCTTCACCACGCTCTTTGCTTTCGGATATGGAGCTACAATTGACAAAGGAAAATTTGCATCACGCAAAGAAGTAACATCTGCTGCTACCACTGTATGGAATCCCGTGGAGCAAATTGATGTCTCAGCACGTAGTAGCGAGCGTTCGGCTTCTTGCTGCGTGTGGAATGACCCGAGAAAAAAATTGCGTCCGTGGTAGCCCACCATCGATTCGTATTTCTCCGTATCTCCGTCCATGGCCAGAAGAACTTTCTTCTTAATGGAAAAAGGCCCGTCTCGGATATAATCTTCGCTAGAGTATTCGCAACACGTGAAACCCTGTCGGAGCCGATGCCGTGTACTTTCGCTGTGAAGGACCCAATGAAAGCACCACCGAATTTGAGTAGCAATCTTAGCGTCTCTCGAATCCTCATCCAAATATGAAAGCAGCTGAACGAGGTGATCTTTGGTGGCACACAATGACCACTTCTTTTCTGGAGATAGAACAAACAAACGGTTATGATCACAGGAAAACCGATAGAAGGAGTAGCCATGTCGGCACTTTCCGAATGCTAGAGTTCTTGGAACGATTGACCATTTGATAAAGCTCTCCATCTTTCGAGCTTTCTCAATTCGAGGAAGCATCGATCCACATTCTGACCATGCAACATTGGCACTTTCGACACAAGACTCGTGAGCTTGTAGCAACGTCATTGGTTTAGCAAAGCGTGTAAAATGGATATAAACTGGACAGGTAGATGACATTTCTGCACACAGCGCATTCACCGTCGCCCAGCTCAAACCGGTGACAGGTTTGCCGTTGAGCCCTACAATACGATCACCGATCCGAACAGTCGATACAGATACCTTTTCGTCCGGTTTATTTGAGCTGGCATACTGTTCACAGTACACAAGACCCTTTACTGCGATGACACCGAGGTACTCCAGAAAATTCTCGACTTCAAACGGCAGTGGAAACGACTCGACGCGATATGTCTTAACATCGCTGAATGTAGGAAGCTTCAGCTGTTTATAGAGCAGAGATGGATTGCTCAACAACTCAGCAAGACGCTTATTTGCCTCTTCGGGGGTCACAATCGGAGTGCCTCCTCCAGGTGGTTGCCTAGAAAAGGTGATTTTTAGGGGCCGCGGCAGGCTTAGCAGCCACGACGTAAACTGAGATAAATCATTCAGCTGGCCATAGGATGCACCATTGACACGTTCCACCAAGTCTCCACGCAAAATACTCCCACTCATTGATGCTTGACCCAGTGTACCGTCTGGATGGTCATTCAACGATTTAACAACCACACCTCGAGTTTCAAGCGCTAATGCCAAACCAAGCGGGCCGTCTTGAAAGATCACCTCATACGAACCCATTTGTGGTGTAATCAAGCCAGCTCGAAACGCTGTCTTCCTCGCGCGTTGTGAAGGCGCATCATGTACAACACGTTGCCACTCTTCATCAGCTTTTCTCATTTTTGCGGAGGGGGGACGGACGAAAACTGCATATATAGGTTCGACAGGGCTCTTCGTAGAAAACAACATTTTGATATCAGCAACATCCTTACCGCGTGTCAAAGTACCGTTCACCATCAGGAGCACGTCACCCGGAAATACTTGCCCGGAAAGCTCTCCAAATCCTACCGGGACGTCTTCTGATGAGCGATACGACTGAACGAAAATAAACGATTCATGGCCATCCAAAACCAACATCAGTGGCAGACCATGACATTTTACAATCGATGCCGAGGCACGAACAGCCTCCCCAGGCAGTACTGTCAGGTAAAGCAAGACTGGTTGCGTAGCAGCTCTCAGATGATCTTGGATAGCAGCACGACTCATTCCAAATACTACACGGTCATTGATCGCGTAAACGACTCTCTTTGTGCTTTCGAGTTGGGATTGCCGGCTGTCCAATTCATCCTGGCTTAATGAGTAATTTGGTATGTCACAACTGCTCTCAGAATATTGTACACCGTCTGCCGTATCTTCCAAAAGCATGGTTGCAAGGTCGTTCGTCGTAAGCGTTCGCACAGTCAGCATCTCAGCCCCTCCACCTATCAGCAGCTCCGGAAGTTCGTAATGTTTTAACAGCGTTGTGTGGGATGTCAATGCGGATTGCTTGCAAGAGCGTAACGGCCCATTCAGAACCCCATCCTCCAAACCGCAAAATGCACACACCGGACGTGATAACACCGCACCACGCACGTCATCACAAGCATTGTTCACGCTTGACGCTGAGCAAAAATTGATCACTAAATTCTTCAAGAAATATCTCTTCGTCCGCTTCGGAACTGTCGGAGGGATCATCCTCCGTTGTCAAAGCCATGGGTTCCTCCTTTACTCTGTTTGTATCGTCGCAAAGCTTTTTCCTAGCACTTTCGGGTAATACAGGAATGGGTCTTGATTCTAGCTCTGCCTTTGCTTTGTCCTCCAGATACGTCAATAGCTCGTCCGTCAGCTCACGCTCTACACCATCAATGATAAACTTCTTAGTCTGTTCAACACCGTGCGACGAGTGTGGCGGAGTAAACTGATCCCACTCGCGCTCCAAGTCAGCCAGCGATTCTCCCAGCTTCTTTCGTACATCATTTGCTTTTTCGTGAAGAGAGTGATACACTGACTGTACTGCGGACGCCTCCTCCATCAACTCGCACAATACTCGCAGCACTTTTAATCGGTCACTGATGGTTAGTTTGGAGTAGTTTTCCTGTGATAGAAGGTCAATTGCAGATAAAAGTTGCTTTTCCAGCTCTGTCAAGTCGTTTTCGTTTCGCTCACAATTGCCCGTGTTGTCACTTGAGTTAGCCATGTCACGGATCTTTTTTTGAAACTGTTCGGGTAAAAAGGAGGGGTTTGCATGGCACGATAAGCAAAACCACTCGCGCTTAGGGATATCAGACAATGAAGGATCAAGACAAAACGTGTGATAGGGCGCGTCACAGCGATCACACAATAACAATTGGCCCTTCGCATGAATTGTTCGACAATTGCGACAATTATCTTCTTCTGCAGCAGCCATCGGTCGATTTGCTGTCGTGTACACCCATTCTTTCATTAATCGCTCAAAAATCGCCGACAATTTCTGAGCCATGTTCGAGATTTCGGCTTTCATTGAGTTGTATGTGTAGCAGTTTCTCCACACTAGCTGTATATCATCAACAAAAGACTCGACGTCATCGTTTTCGTAATCTTCGTCCTCGATTTTCTCAGAAATCGTGCCTAAGTCCATTGGCTCCGTGATATCGCCGCTAGAGTAGTAGTCAGGATAAAGCTCAGCATCCACTGGTTGATTGAACGGTCCTGCAATTTCTTTTGCTCGAAGAAGCTTTAGCACGAATCCACAGCGCTTCATTTTTGTCGCTCCTTGCGTTGTTGCAACATGTTTCATGGGATTCCTAACCACAGGAACAATCGAGGACAGTAGCAAACCGTGGGGAGTCTGAAGCTTACTCAAAAGACAGTTGAATTCATCAAGTGATGTCTCGCGGACATCGTGACCGTTGACGCACAAAAGGTAATCCCCAACTCGTATTCGATCAGCACTATCTTCCTTTTGCTCAGTAGCAGTGGACGATCCCGCGTTGTTTGCAGAAATATTTTTGGCGATGATTTCTGTCACGACGAGATTCTGACCCTTCTCCTCCATCTTAATTCGACTAAATACACCTTCAACAAAGACAACACCGTAATATTTGCTTAATTCTGATGAATAATTTGCGTCAGAAGCCAACCCGTTCGAGATTGTTTCATGCGAGCTTTCAGCCTCTGGTTCCTCTTTCACTTCCTCAAACTGAATCCCGTTCAGCAAGTTGGTTCCTCGCCGTTGTAGCTTCTGACGCAGTGGATGCGTAACTGAATCATCTCGGTATGATCTGGCACCCTTTATAGATTTCAGCAGTTGTTCATCTGCGCTGGGACGCTTGAACTCCATTGCAAACTGACATACTTCGCGTGCAAGTTCTGGCCAGCTAAATGCGTTCATAGGTCGTGTGCGATAAAATTCATCTATGGTAGTCCCCATTTGAAGCAGCGGGAAATATTCGGTGATCAACACCTTTAACAGCTCTGCATGCAATGATGCAAAGAGTGTACCAATCGAATCATCATCCAGTTCACCGTCCCCAACAGGGCTCGACCCGTCACTCAACGTCATCATTTTCACAAAGACGCTGAGTGAGGGAAGTACCGGCAGTTTCAAACAGTCTGAGAATGTCGAAATAAAATCCCACACGAAAAGTAAATCAGCCTGACAATCCGACGGGACCGCATCCAAATCAGCGGCTTGAGAGATTACCTGCAATGGAAATTTGGTATCTTGATTTTTTAAAATGTTGTACTCATGAGGTTGAGGATACTGGTCATCAGATAAAGAGGGCCGGTTCTGTAATTCTAAAGTATAGCGTGCTTTTACGCGAGCCCAAACTTCCCTCTCCACCTCCTTCCTCTTCTCCCATAGACAAATCTGTCGTCGCCGCTCTTTTTCTTCTTCGACAAACTTTAGCAGCACAAGCTGTTGCTGTCTAATGGACTGCGCATCGGGTGGGGCCTTCCTTTTCCTTGAGTCGCTAAATCTTCGCGGAGACGATGACGTCACGACACCATTCTCAAGAATCGCTTTCTGCTCTTCGAGCATTTGGCGACGCTGTCGCAGCTCATCTATTCTTCTCTTCATAGAATTTTCCTTCTCTTCTAACTTTTTGCGTTTTTCCTCTTCCCGTAACGCACGCTTTATTTCCTTTTCTTCCTCTCTCATGCGCTTCTCTTCTTCCTTCGCGAGACGTAATGCCTCCTTTCGTGCCTCCTTTTGCCGAGCAGCTTCCATCTTAGCTTCAATAATTGCGCTTTTGCGCGCTTCTTTTGCGCGCTGCTGAGCTTCTTTAGCATCTGCTTGAGCCTTCATTTCGATTTCTAAAAGTTTACGCGCTGCTTTCCGAACAGAACGTTTGTCAGCTTCACGTTGTTCCTTTTCTTCCTGCTGCTTAAAGCGCTGCACATCGTCAGCATCATGGGAATGCTCTTCTAATAATAATTCTTGTGACAGCTGATGACTAATCTCATCCTTAGAAAAAGAAGTATGAGCTTGAAGCACATCCGTTAACTGCCCTTTCAGACGCGAGCGAATCTTAGCGTGAACATCTGGCGTGATTGAATGCCGCTGCTCCCAAAATTGATAATCTCTGCATAACAGTACTTGGTGCAGTCCTTCTAACACGCGGGTGATACTTCGTCGAAGTAGACCAAAACCATCCTCACTACTAGCAGGTGTCAGCACATCAATGCTTTTGCCGTTTTCGTCAGTTTCTACGAATACCACCGACCCGCATACTAGAGTCATCAAATCGTCGGCGGACAGACTCTCAAAATGCACAAGAGCCTTTTTCCAAGCTTTGCTCGCCACATACGACCTAAATACAATTTCAACTATAATATACTCAGTCACATCAACAATTTACCATGCAAAAATCTGCTACGCATCTTTCAAATCCGGCATACCTGCGCTATTTTCGAGTTCCACCACAAAAATCGGAGACTTTTTTTTGTTGCCATGCACAATTTCTGTCGTCAGTCATATACCAAAAGAAGTATGTGAGATGCCACCTGTTCGTGAAAACCACCCTCACCTTTACGTACTGCATCGTAATCGAAAAGCAACTGGCACGGGATTCGACAGTTGCACCTTGACAAGCGTCTCGTAGCCAATCTTGTTTTTACCAGACACACACACATACACATACATACTGTCAGTCTCCTTCCTTCACTTCATTATACCCATATCTTTCACAAACCGGAAACAATCTCTTGCTCGTGTAAAAATGTTTCTCTGGGACAACATGTCCAAGTGCTATGACACTAATAGGTCCATCCACCAATGGCAATACCATCTGTGCCAATTTTCGTCTTAAAATTGCAAGATAATATATATCTTCTCTTGGAATAACACCTTGTAATAGGTACGTATACGCTCGTAATGCGTCTCTTAATCTTCGATATTCATGATGATCTGGATCTAGTAATTTCCCATCTTCCTTCATACTCCAACAACGTAATGCTGTTGTATCCAGTCCTTTCTGTTGTGCTACATGTTGTAATGACTGAAGCGATACTTCCAAATCATCAATGGGGTCATAATCATGACGTTGTTTATGTAAGCAGGAAACATCAGGTACATTATGAAATGATCCGTAACCAATAGCCATAACAGCTGATGCAGCATTCATGTCTTCATCCTCATCATCTTCATCAATATCTTCCTCAATACTTCTTGTTTCTTCATCATCTTCAGCCCACGGTAAAAGTGTATCATGTAATTGCTTCTCTATGTCTTCATCTTGTTCTTTTTCTTCTTCATTACTACTATATGAACGTGGGGCAAGAAGTAATTCAAGACCACGCGGTTTCGTAGCAAGAGAAGACGAAAAAAGCTCTACTTTCTCTTCTCCTTCATCTTCTGCTGCTGCTGCTTCTTCCTCTTCAAAGAGATTACTACTATCATCATCATCAGAATGGAATGGAGATAATTCCGTAGCAGAAGTAAATACGTGTCCATCGCTGTAAGAATGCTGCTCCTTGGACAAAGGATCCATTTCAGGGCGGGGGCGCACTCAGAGTGATTGTTTCGACAAAGCTTTCCTTTCCGTCCAAAGGTCAACAACCAAAAGACAAAGTTTATTATGTAGAGCCACATGAAATATGGTATTTTAGGCATTTATGTCCTAAACATACGATACGTGTACCACATGAACTGAATGTGCAAGCTGAGATCACGTAATCATGACAATGAAAAGTTACTCTGTCAAAATGCAATTCATGAGGTTTTAAAATCTTTTTTCTTTTGACAAGGATAATTTCATAGGGCAGGCTCTATAATCGTCTTTTTATTATTCATACAGCAATAGTAAGTACGATCATCAGGCTTTTCCCACGCACAATGTACCGATTCGATTTTTTTTTGCTGTTATCCACGAGACTTACATTGCTAGTTTTTGTGCGATGAAATTTTACAATTGAATCAAGAAAGTTTTGAAGCCGGTGAATTGTCAATCTTTGCTTTGCATGGCAAAGAGATGCGTCGTAGGACAAAAAACGTGCCCTAAACGTACCGCTAGACACGTTGTTATGAGATTGCACCAATGCAACATGGTCGCTAATGACTCATGTTGTACATTTAATTTGGTACGCAGTAAGTGGCATCGCGCGTAAGGCAGAGCAGCGTTTCGATCTGAAACCATTGTCTAAACACGAACGACTTCTTTTTGTTTGTGGCTGCGAAGTTTAGCGCCATAGAATTAAAATACCAGAAGGGACCATTGTAATACCGACGCAGTTGCGATAGCAATCACATGGTGTTTTCTGCATGTACTGTGGTAGTCAATGCAGCGGAATCGGTTGGACTACAAAGAGCAAGTTTCAACGTGGGATAGTGTTTGCAAATCAAACATGACCTCAAGTAGAAATCTGAATGTGGTAATAGTGTCGTTCAGGGTTCTAGATGGCAAGTAGTTTGTTATTTTTAGACATGGTTGTGAATGCAATAAGAACCTCACCATCTGACCCATTCAGCTTGGTTCATCGTCCGCTACTTTAAATGCTCCAGAGGCAGCAGAAATTCAACCATCAACGTCAACTTGAAAATGACTTTGCTTCCAACAATCAAAAGAGACTTGCAATCGAGTGAGTACGTCTGATGAAGATTTGTTTTTGATATATATTGAATCTCTCGTTGTTTCCATGTCATGTCATTGTCGTCCGTTGCAAAGTAGCCAATATATACAGTAGAAAAACCGACACATCGCATTTGTTACATTCGTAAATACCTCCTCACCTCTTATACGCAAAAGTACCGCAACGGATGTTTGGACAAGACGAAATCGAACTTCTCACTTTCCAATTTACCTTCATACACAACATACTGTCGTCCTTCCTGATTAAGTTGATTCAATCACCTCCAACCAGCAATGAATAAGTTCCTTGTTCGTGGCCTTGGCTTTTACAACGATGCCTACGATCTCTTTGTCATGAACGTCGTGAATGTTGTGCTTGCGGAGCAATACGGCCATGATACATACTCATCCTCGATGAAATCTTGGGTCTCGGCTGCTGCTATTATTGGCGCTGTAGTTGGCCAGCTGGGGTTTGGCTTTTTGGGTGACGTCTTCGGTCGTAAGGTGAACATGATCTTTACCTGTTGCTTATTGATCGTTGGTGGCATTCTTTGCGCTGCGGCTTACGCAGGCGATGGCCGTGCCACGGTTTGGTTTCTCGTCATTGCTCGCTTGATCCTTGGCGTCGGTATTGGTGGTGAATATCCACTTGCTGCCAGTACGACCGCCGAGGATTCAACAAACTCTGCTGAACGTAATACGGCCGTGGCCAAAACATTCTCGCTGCAGGGTGTTGGTCAAGTGACAGCCGCTATCTTGGGCAACCTCCTTGTACAGGCATTAGCCGACGGTAAGCCTGGTGAGAACAGCGACTCACGACTAGAAGCTATATGGCGTCTACTCTTTGCCATTGGTGTCGTCCCGGCCCTCGTGGTGTGCTACTTCCGTTTCACTGCTGAAGAGACTGAGGCGTACAAGAATAAGCAACAGCGCGACCAATTGGCTCAGTACCCGATGCAGCAGCAAGCTCGTGTCAGCTTCATCTTCCGTAATTACGGTGTGAGTTTATTGGGCACAGCTGGAACGTGGTTTCTCTTTGATATCGTGTACTACTCGCAGAATTTGTTCTCAGCCAGTATCTTGACTGTAGTGGGTGTGAGTCATCCATCCTTGCAGCAGGTGACAACGGAAGTTGCGTTTGTATCTCTCATGGCTCTTCCCGGTTACTTTGTGGGAGTATACGCTATCAATCGTCTTGGACGCAAGAAGATGCAACTTCAGGGCTTCTTTTTCATGACAGTGCTGTGTTTAATTATTGCCATCTTCTGGGAAGACCTCAAGAACCAATTGACCGTCTTCATCATTCTGTACGGTCTCACTCTATTCTTCTCTAACTTTGGTCCCAATATGTCCACGTTCGTACTGCCGACGGAAATGTATCCGACTCCCATTCGATCGACATGCCACGGTTTCTCCGCTGCTGCAGGCAAGGCCGGTGCTGCCATCGGTTCCTTTGGCTTCTCAATATGGGTGGATAATCCCAATTTTGGCTACGCGGGTGCTTTCTACACGTTTGCTGTGATCTCTGCTATTTCAATTCCTTTGACATGGTTTTGCATTTTTGACAACACTAAAGGCATTGAAGAAATGGACGCCGAGTTTTATCGTCGCCTTAATGGTGAGGAAGATTTTACGCGAGAGTCTTTTAATTCATTGTCAAAGGTTGGTGGTGATGCTACAACACCTAATGTCTACAACCAGATCATGTCACCCGGTGTTGACATGATGCAAACGCGCAAAGGTGGAGAAAAGTAGACTTGATTCGAGTATGCTACAAGTGGTGTAGGACATGACCACACTTACTATCATGCACAAATGCCTGTGTAAAGCCTATAGTGTAGTCTATAGGTATACAACATAATTACATATCGCGTCGTACGCATGTTTCTTCTCTGCAAGACATGGTGATTGATTTTGTTTCAGGAACTGTGACGGTATCTCTATTTTCAAGCACAGTCGTAGCTCCTAAGAAAGCAATAATAAAAAGCACTTTATTTGAAAATCCTCGTTTGCTAGCAAGTTTATTCGCTACATCTTCCAAGCTTACAATTGCAACACATCTTGTAAGAAAACGAAAGGTCTCTCTCTGGCTCTTATAATAGTTGGATGGCTGACGATGTGTTATTATTAAATGAGATTGTTAGGTGCATTTCTAATGTAAGACTTGTCTTTTGGTCATTATTCTTTCCAGCCAGGCAAAACCTTATAGATACTATAGATACACACCTATTGTATGTCATATAATAGGTGTAGTTACGATTATGCACATTTCTTATGTGGTATATAAATATCTCTACTTGACTATTTTTGTTGCCGTTTCAGAGATTTTATCTCAACTTTCAGCAACATTATGACTGAAACATATCAATCGGAGTTATTACCATTATCAATCTACATTTTCCTAGTATATATATTTATATCAATCTATTTAATCTGAAGAGACTATCGAAAAAAAAATACTTCACGTAGCTCCTCTAATGCCTTTCAACTATACAAGTCATAGCTCCCATATCCAATAGTATCAATAGATATCGAGACTTGAAGCTTTTTTTTAACTTGTTCATCCCTCTCTTCCTCCTTTTACCACTATCAACAGTGAGAAAGTCCGTCTCCACTTGATGGAAAAGACTCTCTTCCTTACTATCGTAGCTCCTCGCTCTTCTCTTTCAACGTCTTGCATTCTCTCTCTCTCTCCTTTCCGTGCCAACATAACAAAGAGAAAACACTTTCCAAAGGTGTCAAATTTACTATTGACACGAAATCCCGTTCGTTGAGTGACGCTACCAAAATGGCAAACGCATATCGACACTCCCTCCTCAAAGGTCCTTCATTCCACCACCTGTCTCCTCAACGAAACAATAGCATAAATCATCCACCATTACACCATCAGGAACAACCGATGACAACGTTTACAGCACTTTTGTGTGCAGCGCAATCTGCTGAACTTGCTTCTCCTGGTACGAAAGTCCATCAAAATGATGCTATTGTGGTCCCCGATGCATTGGCGACGAAACGCCGACTACGCAATCGTGTCTCGTGTCGTAAAACACGCCTTAAGCGTAAACTGTACCAGCATTCACTTGAAGTTTTAGCTCGTGAACGGCACAAACGCCATAAATATCTCACACAATTGTACCTCTGTCTTGGCTCTCATCCAGACCGAGACAATGCTCTGTTCCGTGAATTCGCGACAACAAGCTTACACTATGCATTGGTTGATGCCCAATATACCAAGTGGCTTGACGCTGGCAAGGATCAAGTGACGTTGCCTTGCAGATCGACGGTTGAGTGTGACGACGACGAATATGACCATTTGCCAACGAGAAAATGCAAACGCACACGACGTGTCCATGACAACGATGTCTCGACTGCACCTGGAAATAATTCTCGAGCTTTGCAAACTTCATTGGTCGAACAATGGCGACTGATTGTCGACGGACTGCAGAATATTGACTTGCAACTGCACCGAATGGACGAGCATGAGATTGCAACTGGTATCGTTGACCGACACTGTTACTGGAAATTTGTCGGTGTTAGCTCAGCCAAAATGAAACGATTTGGTGAGATTGCTGCTGTTGCAGTCTCCGGCATTACTCGTGTGAGGTTTCATAATCATCATGTGGAAGAAGTCAACATCAGCAACGTTCGACGAGAAGATAATGTCCCCTTTGATTGCAATATCAGCTGCAATAACACCAACGAAGCGTGCTGAACGACAGAAAAAACGAAGGTGCCATTACAAACACATCATCATATCCTCCTACTTACCGTGACGTTCGAGACAGTATTCTACACCGTCGAGCAGATAAGAAAAGCACAGCACGTTTTGCTTTCCAACACGCATGTGTTCTTCATCATTCTTCGTATTGTTGCTTGTAATTCTACCACTTTATCCTCCTCCTAAAATCGCGGGTTGTTCGGGCAGACTTCTTCCAGTAAGTGGTGCTGCCAGCCTTTCTTGCCTGGAGCAATATCATCATGGCAGAGAGGGCAGCGGTTTGCACGATTTAGTGGTGCATTAGGGGGCACAATCGTTAAGAGACACGTGCCGCTCATAGAATTTAGTCGTAATGGCTTCACCACAACGCAAACATTTCCGGTGATTCTGCCGCATCTCGCACTCTACCAGTAAGTGCTCAGTTAGAGTCGCAATCTCAATTACTTGACCACACATCTTGCATGGCGTTAGCATTTTACACGATCCCCAAAAATGCCGAACCAAAAAGTCTGAGTCGCAGCTTTCGTCCTCAACACCACAAAATGGACATGTATACTCATTCCCAGATTCTTTGTCTTCGCTATCACTCGCATCCTCAACTTCAAGCTCAAACCGCAATTGAATCTCGCATTCTTTCTCGTTGCAACGAACTATGCCACCATTGCCGTTTGAAGCACTAGTCACACTACTATGATGGTTCAAAACCTTCGCCTTCTCGACTGTCTCAAACGCTGCTTGATATTCTTCTAGCTGTTTCGGCTGTAGAAATTGCAAGTAGATTTCTACTTCAGCGCCTATGGCAAGATAAAGCGACACAACGATATCCTTTGCAGTGTCTCGGATTTCACGACACTGATGCGTGAGGCTGTTGGTGTCTTCAAGGAATCCAATGATACTAGGTGCCGAAAAGTTGGACTCACAGATCAGCTCAAACTTTGCCAGCAGTGTTTTTAGCATCAGCAATCGACCCCGCACAATGCCAAGTCCTAGCGGCGTGTTAGAGCGTTTGGTGAGATGTGATGACACAAAGGCCACACCTGCGTTATTAGCGGCTGCTAGATGCTCCAATACGGCCACTGCTTTGTCACGAACCCTTATCTGGGACCCACCTAGATTATTGACTAGCTGAGCCATACTGTTGCCAAGCTGCACAAATGCAAGAAAATGAGTTAGATGGTATCCGATGTCGACGCACAATGTATATATATATCAAACGTACGATCCGGCACATATCATCGTGGCAAACACTTGCACCAAACGACACCATTCGGTCTAGCAGACCAAAAGCAGAAAGTACGACCTGAACATTGCCGTCTTCGGCGCCATTTTGCGCTAATGTCGCGCACACTTCGAGCAATCTTATCGGTTCAACCGGATAGTTATTGATTTCCATGGTAACTTTGCGAATCGCAGCGTCCCGATGGTTCCACACGTTACTGTAAAAGCATCGCATGAGGAAGGGTCCAAATACTGCGATAAGTTCCTCGCTCTTCTTTGCAAGTTCTGCAGATATTTCCTCCGAATCGGGCAAGTTAGCAGCATCCGGCATCTTTCCAAAACACAATTTCAAGTCTTCATCATTGCCGTCTTCTTGATCAGTATCGTTGTCACCATTACAGGGATCCTGCTTTTTGCCGCTCAAAGAGCTGCCTTGAGCAGAACGCCGCAATGAGCCATTACCTTTATCTCCACTAGAACCCTCACTCTCTGCGAACTGCAATGGTTCCAAACACATCTCTCCCGACGCGACACTCTCCACCTCTTGACTCATCAATAATGAGTTCGCCCTGACTCTTGGTAATGGCAGCATCTGCTCTGATTCATTAACACTCTCAACAAAAGCTTCAAGCCTCTCCATTTCCAATTTAATTGTCTTGGCAAGATCAAACTCTTCATACTTGACTGCTTTTCTCTTCTGTGCTTCCAGTCTTGCAAGTTTTTGACCAGTGCTCTTCAACTGTATTTCCATCTCCTTGAGTCGTTTTGCTTGGTCATAATCTTCACAAATCACTGCTTTTTCCTTTGCACTTTGTATCTCTTCCATCCTCCTTGTTATCTTGTTGTCAGGCTCAATAGGAAAGCTCCAATTCTCCACGTTTCTCGTCATCTTCTTGTCATTTCGATGAAAAATCTCCACCTTTTCATCTTTACCGAAGCTTCTGAATGGTTTTCCATACAAATTTATTGCCACAAGTCCCACCTGATGGTATACATTGTACTGATTCATGTAACATCCATGGATTCGTAGCTTTAATAACGTAAACGCTCGATCAATCTCGACAGTTTTCAGCTCTCTTGCGTGATATTGAGTCTCCTTATTGCTCTTGAATGTCAAAAAACCCAATCGATGGAAACGAGGTGTGGGTTTTTTATATTCTTCACTTTTTTTTGTCGCGACAAATAATTCAATCTTTGTTGTAATATTCACGTGATGCGACAAAATTTCAATTTGATTGACGTGAGAAAAGCCGTCTTGCAATTGTAATATTAATTCTTGAGGGTACGTGCAATTTCTATAAGTAATAAAACAATATGACAATAGAAACAAGAAAACTGTTACATGTCACATAATAGTCATTTCGATAGGATTCATGGTATTTTTTTTTTGTCATTACTTTGCAGTCATATATCCTTGATTTCTTCTTGCCACATGATGTACTAACGTTGATACTGGAAAACACGAGTCTTCACTTGTACATGTTGGTATCGAAAAATGTAGTTTCTTCATAGGTTGTCAAGGTTGCGTATGCTTTATTAGAGACCAATGATTTTGTAGAGTGAAGGTTCCCTCGTTTGAATAACATGTCACTTGAAACGACCATCATTCCGGTATAGAGACAACGACACGTAGATGTTACTTTTACACACTATCCGTCAGTCTATCAGTCGTCAATTCACCGTGTAGAAAAAGAGAATAGAGTTTCTAATGGCAAAAAAAGTAGTAGAAAGCAGCGACGAGTCCGATGGCGGCCATTCAAGTGGTTCAGGATCTATAAGCTCTTGTTCTGGTTTTGGATCAGGTACTGGTTCCGATTCAGGTAGTGGTAGTGGTTCTGATTCAGGTAGTGGTTCTGGATCTGGTAGTGGGTCTGAATCAGGATCTGATTCAAGGTCCGGATCAGGTTCTGGCAGTGGATCCGGGTCTGGATCTGAGTCAGGTTCGGATATATCAGGATCGGAGTCATCGGGATCAAAGAAGAAGGTGAAAAAGCGACGTGTTGTGCCAGTGAAGAAGCCAAAGACGTTTGTACCTAAGGACAAGAGAAAAGGAAATAAAAACAAGAAGAAACAAGTTCAGAATCAGATTAAGGCGGAGACTGATGCAGATGCTGATGATGAAAGAGATGCAGGTGCAAAACGACGTCGTAGTAAACTTCGGATTAAAGAAGAAGAAGAAGACGATGATGATGATGATGACGTTGATGTTGCTGGACTTACGGAGGTGGAGAAAGAGAAACGATTATTGGAAAAATATGAAGCAAAGGAACAACGAAATAAGGAACGAGAGCTGAAGAAAAGATTTGCTGCATCTCAGGGAAAAGCTGAAGACGGATTTTCACAAGAAGAAGAAGAAGGACAGGAGGAGGAATTACCATCAACAAGACGAGGTGGACGCAGTCGAGAAAGTGATCGACGGAAAGAAGCGTTACATAATCTCAAGGTCAATAAATCCAGTGATAAAAGTCGCTCTATATTAAGCAACAGATTTGGAGATGACGATAGTTCCAATGATGAAGGAAGTAGTAGGAATGGACGAGATTTGGCAGAAAAGAGACGACGTCGAAGAGATTTGCAACGTGGAAGCACTGGTCGACGTCGAAGTCATGCCGATGATGATGATGATTATAGCAATGAAGATCGCAACCGACGCAAGTCAAAAAAGTCAAAAGAAGCGGACATGGCTAAAACAGCAGATGAGGAAGAGCTTGCGGCAGCAATTTGCCCGGAGGAAAATGTGCCTATGAACTGGAACCAAGCGAACCACTATTTACTGAAGAGAAGAACGTTTTTTGAAAAGAATTTCTTTGAGCCGTTCTTCCCGCAACTTGTGCGAGGCGTTTACGTCCGCGTTCCAATCGAGATGGTGGATGGTGGAATGGTTTATCGCTTTTGTGAAGTGGTGAACGTTTGCAAGCTGGCGCGTAGTTACAATTTCTGTGGCGAGTCGACGCATACCGGCATAATTTGTGCGTTTGGTAAGAGCAGACGGGAGTGGAAGCTCAACGGTGTCTCAGGGCATTCATTACGCGAGCGTGAGTTCTTGCTATGGCGAGCAGCCATTAACAAAGACCGACTTCACTTTCCCACACATGGCGAGGCAAAGCGCTTGTATTCGAAGAAGCAGAAAATGATCACTCAGCATAACTATACAGAATCCCAGGTGGACGAGATGGTTCGGCGGAAACAGGCAGTGGGCTTGTCAACTGTGTCCCTTGGTGTTCAGCGAGTACGTCTGGAACGCGATCTCCGCGCTGCCCAGGACATGAAGAACTTTGAGAAAGCTATGATGCTCGAGGAACGACTGCAGAGGTTGTTAGCTCAGAACGAGGAGCGTAAGAAGCACAACTCGGACGACGTCCTTCGCATTAATGAGATCAATCGTCGCAATCGTGAAGCCAACATTCAGCAGGATCTACATGCTCAGGAACTTAATGACGCCATGAACCAGAAAATGACTAGTGCTGAGCGTTTGCAGTTTGTTCGTGCAAATCAAATGACCATGTATATGTCTAGAGACAAACTGGATAAAAATTTGGCGGAGGGTAAGCTAATAAAGCTCAGCGACGGTCGAGTAATGACCTCAAATAAACTGCATGCGGTTGAAGCTCTGCCTGACGATCTGTTAGACAAGGTTAAGGGTGTTGGCGAGAGGAAGCAGGTTGGAGAAAACATGGAGATTGACATTGATCGCCTGTTAGCGAAACAGCAAGAGCGCAAGCAGAAGGATGTTGAGCGTTTGGAGGCCAAACGCAAGGAGCGTGCGGGCCAGGTTGAGTTTGTGGGCGTCGCTCCCACGAATGTTCAGGAAATGGTGAATGCAACTGTTCGTCTGAAGGACGATGATGGGTCGTGGATGACGCTGCGTTCACCCGCTGAGATTATGAAAGAGAAGCAGAACAAGAGTGTCGTTTCGGACAAGGTCAAGGCCTCACGCAAGGGCATCACTGTGAAGGAGTACTTTGACCGTGTTAAAAAACGTCGCGTTGCTCAATAAGTGCAACCTGGTGGGCGGTTAACACAGAGATATTGTTAACAGACGGGCACCAATCATCTTTTTGTGCGAAAACACTTTAACGTACCAGTACATGTATGTACACAACCAGATCCACAAGGTTTGTCGTGAATGCAGTCACTAGGATGAAAGCGAGAACTAGCAGAACTCGAACGCAAAATATTTAACATCCGTAGTACATGAGGTTGTCGATGACATATGTGGGCGTCGAAAGCATCACAATGCCAATTTATCACTGATCATAGCGGAGTATCATGCTTAATTACCACGCATCACTTGCTTTCAAAATTTCCGTCGTTCTGTAAGGTGGTTGATATGAGACTTGTCGAATCTACCGATAGTAATATGAACGGACACTCCTGTGGCCGCTTGCCAAAAGCACCAGGATAATGAGCCCATGGTCGTGCCCTCATGTAATAAACAGGTTTTACGTCCGGCTCGAAATACAGGATACGATCGCTATTTAGGTAGAACAAAGGTACGTCGTCGTCTGGCATCCATCTTGACGAATCGGAAATACTTGAGCCATGTCACCACACACCGTTAAATTCTTCGGACCGTGGTCCTCAACCTCTGTGCCAACAGCTCCCATAGCGTGATCCGAGAACGAGTACTGCGTCTCTGCCAATTCGCTCGCATAGAAAAATAGCTCCTTGTCGCCGTAAGATGGAGGTGAAGCGATGTCGTTGTTCGCAATAAAAGATGCTAAAATTGTCGTCGCACGAGGTTGACGCTTTTTATCCCACATCAGCATCGAAGAGTCAACTTGATGGCCCGAGCGGCGATTGAACGAGTGGCTGCTTAGCAAAAAGTCGCTAGGCTTAAAACTTAGTTTGGCAGGGGTCTTGTTCTGAACAGTAGCTTTTGGTCGCTGAAGTGTTGGCAACGGCCTAAATGGGGTCACGTCAAACTCTGAAAAGTATTTCTGCTCCACCGACAACTCGGGGGACGACTGCTCAGCCATATAAAACCAGTCATGGCTTATGCGATCGTGCATCAAAAAGATGCCCGTAGTCTTAAACTTTTTCGAGTCAAACAAAACGGTTGGATTGACGAAGAACGTCGTGTCGGCGTCAAGCATCAGAATCTGCTCGAACTGCGAATAAGTAACAGCTAGGGGCTTGATAATAAAAGACCGAAACTTGGCATAGTAGCCATCAATATCATCGCAGAAGACAGGACGCGAAGCGTTCGTAGCGCTTTTAGCATTGGCAGCAAGATCGCAAACATCATAAGCGCGAATCTCACCCAGCTCTTTCTTCGTTTGAATCAATCCAACCATCTTAGGTGTCAGATCAGTGCAATAAATAGGCTACCTCAATAGGTAAGCTGATTCCCATTGCACGCAGTTCCAAAATCAAAGAAAATCCCAAAAGCGCAATATTCTCGTAGAGTGGTATCACAATACCACGCTTCGTTGATGTACGCTGTGTGATCTGACTCAGGGTGTAAGCAAGCTGCTTTCCATCATCATTTGCGTTGTCAACCCTATTTAATTAATCTGTTTACTCTCCCATGGTAGTTAATGAAGGTGCTGCATCAGCTGTACTCTTCCCTTGCATTTCTGCAACCACTTTTCGCAAAGTCTCGTCAACAAAAGCATTCTCTTCATCTAGATTGTCCGGCTTTTGGCTTGCAACACGATCCCATGCATCCACCACTTCATACAGGTGCTGTCGTCCTGTAAGATGCCTCTCCTGCTATTCGGAAAGCATTCCGACAGTAATGCCAAAGGAACAGTTCTGTGTACGTTCATCAAACGGACCCGGATAATACGCCCATGGCCGCGCCTTCATGTAATATATAGGGTCGACGTTCGGTTTAAAATCCAAGATACGATTGCTGTTTAGGTAGAATAGCGGAACATCGTTATCAGGCACGCCATCTTGGTGAATCGGAAGCACCTGAGCCATGTCGCCACATAATGTTGAGTTCTTCGGACTGCCATCGATAAAGTTCGTGCCAATTGCACCCATAGCATGATCCGAGAACGTATACAGGGTTTCAGCTAGCTCACTAGCGTAGAAAAAATACTCGTTGTCACCGTACGATGGAGGAGCAAGAATGTTATTCAACGCAATGAACGATGCCAAAATTGCAGTTGCTCGCGGTTGTCTCTTTTTGTTCCATAACACCAGAGAAGGGTCGACGTGACGACTAGCGCGGGTGTTAAACGAATGACTAGTCATAAGAAAGTCACTGGGCTCAAAGTTAAGCGTCACAGAGGTCGGGTTCTTGAGAGTAGCTTTCGGTCGTTCAAGTGTAGCGAGCGACCTAAATGGTTTCACGTCAAAGTTTGACAAGTATTCCTGCTCTATTGAGACTTCAGGTTTCCCAGCCACTCGTTGTACCATATACGATGCTTCTTCAATAATTCGGTCGTGCATGAAGAAATTGCCTGTCTTGTTGTACTTCTTCGTTTCCCACAGCTTTGCGGGGCTCGCAAAGAATACCGTGCCTGCGTTTATCATCATGATTTCCTCGAACCTTGAAAACGTCAACGACATAGACTTCATCATAAAGTTACGAAACTTCATGTGGCAAACTTCGATCTTCTCGCAGAATACTTTCCGAAATGGATCTATAATGCTCGTTGTTTCTTCCGCCTTCGCGCATACGTCATAGAGCCAAATTGTGCCTAGCTGCTTTTTGGCCAAATACGTCTTCTGAACATCCGAGTTCAGGTTGCCGCAATGCGGCATCTCAATTGATTCCATAATGCCGATGGTGCGCAATTCCAATACCAGTGAAATAGCCAGTTTGATATTGCCATCGTACACTGGGATTACTATCCCGCGTTTCACTGTTGTCTGCTGCGCGATCTAATTCAGCGTGTAAACAAGCCGTTTCTCCTGTTCTCTCAGTTCGTCCGTCTTACTTTCTAAATCAGCCGCTTTCTTCGCTTCCTCCTTTTTGTTGTAATGATTTAGAGGAGGATCAGTGGCATCTTTAAATGGTGGACCATTACTTATCCGGTTCATTGGTGTCTTCAGTTTCTGGTATGTGAGCGTATCTGCTGCCTCACGCTCAGATACATTTAAGCTCTTGAAATTGCCTTCCCATTCTTTTGCAATTTCAAAAAAGTGCTGTCTATGATAGATCTGCTGCACTTCAGCATCTGTGAACTTCACACCCGTGAAATCAAAGGGGCATATTATCGGCAACTTTTGCTCTTCAAATGTACCAGGGAAGAAATCATGCGGGCGAGTAATACATCGGCAGCTCCTTAGGTTTGTACTTCATAATATAGTGCGAATTCATGTAGAGGAGCCTTGCTTCCTGGGTGAAAATGCCATCGGATAGCTCTGGAAAGTGATGTGCCGCACTGCCACAGACTATTGACTTGTTTGCACCGTAGTTTCGAAAGTCCCAGCCAGCAGAACCCGTGGCGAAGTCAGAAAAGGCATACTGGGTTTCTGCAAGCTCGCAAGCTACAAAAAATAACTCCTTGTCCCCATAAGATGGTGGTCGTGGTACATCATTGAGCGAAACAAATGAAGCTAAAATAGCAGTGGCGCGTGGCTGCCGCTTTTTATTCCACAACAATATTGATGAGTCCACTCGGTGTCCGCTGCGTCCGTTCAATAGGTGACTTTTAAGTAAATCCGCGCTTGGCCGGAAATGTAGCATTACTGTTGACTTGTCAGCTGCAAGTAGTGCAGATGGCGCACTCGGTCGGCTAAGCGTTGGAATATAGCAGAAAAGATTAACATCAGCTTTGGACATATAGTCCTCGATTGCCATAATATTTGGACGGTTTGCTGGTCTATAACCGAGTCCCTCGGAAAAGTTAGCCTCGGCAATCCGATCATTGAAGAAAAGCGTGCCAGTCGTTTGGTACTTCTTCGTTTCCCACAGCAATGCAGGTGACTGGAACAGTAATGCGTCTGCATCCATAAGCATGATCTCGTCGAAACGTGAGTACACTGTACCCGCCACCTTAATAAGAAAATTCCTAAAGATATTGTGGCACTGATCCAAGTTGTCACAAAAAGTGATTTGCTGGGATCCAGCAAACTTTTAGCAGTTGCAGCACGCCTGCATGCATCGTATACATACACTTCACCTAGCTGATCATGTTTCCTCATCATCGTTTCTCCGTAACTTTCATCAAAATCGCCGCAGTGCGGTACCTCAATCGGTAGATCCACACCAAGGGAGCGCAGTCGCAAAATTAGTGAGACACCGAGCGTCGTGATATTACGTTACAATGGAAGTACAATGCCACGCTGCATGCTCGTCGTTTGTTGACTCAACGTGCTGAGCGAGTGAATCAGCCTCGTCTCCAATTTTCGTTCTATCTCGGCGCGTTTAGTTGCTTCATCCATGTACTCGGCCCGTTCTTTTGTTTCTTCAGTCACTAGAGACTTTAGTGACGTTGGAGTAAAAGCAGGATCAGTTGCACCTGCCATTGTACCAGTTTTGGCATAATACTCGTCAAATGGTGCCCCGTTCGACAATTGTTCCATGACAAATTCAAGCTTTGTATTAGCAAGATCATCTGCTTGAGTCTGCTCAAGTTCATTTTCGATTGTTATGGCGTTGTGCTCCCACTCAACTGAAATGTCGTAGAAGCGTTGCCGCGCTAGCACGCGCTGGACCTGAGCTGCCGAAACGTTTCCCTGCTAACATTCAACGGACAATCCTTGAAAAATTTCCAGATGCCAGAGGACCGGGGTAAATGTCTGCAGCGCGAACGTACGCAAAATACAAGGGTTGCGTCTTCGGTTTGTAATCCATAATAGAATTCACTTTTATAAATAGCAAGCTAAAACCACTCTCGTCTTGTAATTTCTCAGGTAAAATTGCGCTGGCTGACCACAATATAGCGAGTTAAATTCACCGTAGCCCATAACATCATCTGCAGTAGCTCCCACTCCGACGTCCGAAAATGCGTATTGTGTTTCGGCAAGCTCACAAGCGACGAAGAAAAGCTCCTTATCGGCGTCGGAAGGGGGTCGATCAACTTTATTCAGTGAAACGAATGAGGCCAACACAGCAGTAGCACGAGGCTGCCGTTTCTTGTTCCATAGTAGCAAAGACGAATCCATCTGGTGACTGCTCCGGTCGTTCCACACGTGGCTATTTAACAAAATGTCGCTCGGTTCAAAGGGCAAATATCATCTGACACAACCGTCGTCTTGTTGCGTGGAATGGTAGAAAGTTGTCGAAAGACGCTCACATCAGCGTCGAACAAGTAGTGGCGAAAGTCCGTGACATTCGGATGCGAAGCCGGTCGATACCCCAGCGACGTGTTGGTCTGACTGATCCTGTCGTTAAAGAACAGGGTGCCAGTCGTTTGGTACTTGTCCGTCTCCCACAGCGGCATGGGACTATGTAACAGGAGTATATCGGCGTCTATGAGCATCACCTCTTCAAAGCGCGAATAGATCAATGCCAGCATTTAATATCAGACGTACGAAACTTATGATGACACTCATCCAAGTCCTTGCAAAAGATTGGTTTGCTATCATCCAGCAAACTCTTCTCCTTGGCAGCTAATGCACATACATCATACACATAAATTGATCCCAACTGTTTCCTCTTTTTTTCAATCGTTGCCACCAGTTTCTGGTTTAGATCTCCGCAATGCGGGATCTCCACTGGCAGCATGACACCCAGTGATCGTAACTCCATTACTAGTGACAGTCCCAACGACGCGAAACCATCATGTAGAGGCAATACAATCCCACGCATTTCAATTGTATTTTGCGTCAAGTGGTACAGTGAGTGGAGTAATAGCATCTCAAGATTCTCAATCCGATTCTCCTGCTTCATGACTTCCATCTCTCCAGCTTTGAGCTGTTCTGTCTTCATTCTCATTGTGTCCTCCTCATTTTCCACCTTGATTTGTAACACCTAAAGCATTTGTCATAGCAAGCACAGCAAGATCAATCGTGAGCAAAAGTTTACAAGCTTCACTCGCACTCACACTCTGGTGACATAAAAGAATGCAAACACATGTACATTAAACGTGTCATTAGCTCGAGGCAGTGCGTCATACGTGGCTGGAACGTTGAAGCGGCTACGAATGGATGGAAAGGATAAGGGCGAGAACGACGTGGTGAGCTGTTGCCACGTAAAGAGAAAGTCGGAAAGTACAATGATGATAACTGCAGCAAGGAAGATTAGAAGCCACCGAAGCCGCACGGACGAACCAAGTGAGCGAGCCATGGCAGAGCGAGGAAACAGAGTGATGGTCGATCACACCGGTGTAAGTTTCCTTTTTGACAATGCGGATTGGTGAGTGCGGAATGACGTCACAGGTGAGAGACAATGCAATATTGATGACGGAAGATCGATGAAATATGAATTAGTATAGGTTATATGTTTATAAAAGGAGCAAACACAGCAAGTAAAAGAAACTGATAGGTTTCAGCAGAGTATCGGATGTGATACTTTATTTATATAAACAGGGACGAATGGCAATGCTGTGGCTCTCTACTCTTCGTAGCTTAATAGTCTCGGTATCATTGAATTTACTGTATCACTATAATCTTCCATGTCGTATTCATCCCATTATGGCCTTAGCAATCTTAATAAAGCGTTGACGCATCAAAATCAAGTCTTCCTGCGCAGAGGTTAAACGTACGCCCGTGATATCAAAAGGACATTCCTGTGAAAGTTTATGCTTTTTGAAAGAACCGGCATATACCTCGTACAACCGCGCTTGAGTGTAGTAGATAGGTTTTTTAGTAAAACCGTCCTCCACAAATGGGTCTTCACAGTTCACATATAGCAAGCTTGTGTTGACAAGATCACTAGTGTTCATAGATTTCACCGGGTAGTAGTGCATGGCACAACCACAGAGAACCGATTTGCCCGGGCCATTATCACGAAAATCCCAGCCAAAGCTACCTACTCCAAAATCAGAAAAGGCGTATTGCGTTTCAGCAAGCTCAGCGGCTATGAAGAACAATTCCTTGTCGCCATAGGATGGGGGTCCTCTGATACCGTTTCCTGCCATAAATGCTGCCAGAATCGCAGTTGCTCGCGGCTGCCGCTTCTTGTTCCACAACACCAACGACGAGTCCATCTCGTGGCCTGCGCGCTGGTTCCACGAGTGGCTTGTTAGTAGGTGCTCGCTAGGCGAGTAATTATTCAAGCTCACTGGAATCTTGTTCTTGCTTGTTGCTTTTGGTCGCTCAATATTTCTTAGCGGTGCAAAATATGCCACATCAAACTGCGAAATATATTGATTCAGTCTGCTCACATGCGCATTTTTACCAATCCGTTTACCCAAATATTGGTTCTCCTGACTCAGACGGTCGTGGAAGAATAGCGTACCAGTCGTGCGATACTTTTCCGTCTCCCAAAGCATCATTGGGCTTTCAAAAAGCAACGTGTCAGCATCAAGGAGCATAATCTCCTCAAACTGCGAGAAGACCACAGCCAGCAACTTGATGTTGAAGGAGCGATACTTTTTTTTGACAGCTTTTCATGTTCAAACAGAACACTTTACGCGACGAATCAAGCAAACTGGTAGTTTCGAAGGCCAACAAGCAAACATCATAGAAACGAATAATACCCAAATCTTCCTTCTCGAGTACTGCGCGTTGCCTTAATACGTTCCAATCCCCACAATGTGGTACTTCAACTGGCAGCGTTACATTCATCGCTCGTAGTTGCATTATCTGCGATACTCCCCACGTTGCAATTTTGTCAAACATTGGCAGCACAATACCACGCTTCTCACTTGTGTTTTGCGCTATCCTGTGAAGCGTGTACACGAGCTGCTTCTCCATATGCTTCATATTCCTGGAAGAAATAACCGGATTATCAACCAGCGGTATCCTATCAAATTTTTGCCCCAATGGATTCCTATTATTCTCCTGAAAAATTGCTACATGGTCTTGACCTTCAGTACCTGATGTGGCTTGCCATATAAACACGAAATCGGCTGTCACGACGAGCAGACCAAGGACGACCAACACTATTACAATAAGTACAGATTGTGGAATTTGACGAAACTTGCCATGTAAACGACTATAGGAAGAGCGAAAGCCACTGCGAGCAAGAGTCGGGAGCTCAGTGCTGTGAGCTCGATGGTTCATGGCTTGGTATATGCAGTACAAAGTATTTGTACTGTACATTGATTGGTCAAAACTTTGGATTTCTTTAAATAAGGCCTACACGTAATTATTGATACTACGGTTCATCAAGTTCATACCGCCATAGCACAATGAAATGGAATAAATAGGGCTATGCAATTTAAGGATCTCTATTTTAAGTTTACTCTATCTATCTCTGCCATTGCTAGGATTTTCCTCCTAATGTTGTCAATTGTTTGCTGACTGTAAATTCGACCGGTACATGAAGCGGAATTGTACTTCAACGTCATGGTCAACGCAACCGTGCAACGAATCTTCATCATCACCATAAGATTAACAAATACTACGTCATAGATATATGTATGTGTGTATGTAGACTCGTGCAAAACAACACATGTAACAATACTCTAACAGAAGTGCAAGCATGCAAAGCAAAGTGCAACAACAAATCTAGTACTAACACAAGGAGATAGGTGAAACTATTTCTCATTTGAAAAAATGCAAAGATCCGCATAATGTTTTCGATTCAAATTGTGCTGCAATGCTTTTACTATCTAACGTATTTTTCTATGCAGGATAAAATGACTTGACTAGAGGTGGAACTGCTACGATCAGCGATATTAAAACAGTTGCTACTATCAGCTCCTTCTTGATAGCAGGATTCTGAGCCAAAAATTCTGCAATACGCGTTTTTTGGGTCGTTGCCCTATCCCGGACAAGAGCGACGGCCTTCTGGAGTTTATCCTTCCATCGATTTATACTAAAGATGCTTGGAACTGACATTCTCTCCTCTTCCTTTAACTTTGTCGTACTATCGTCAACACTAGAAGGCACAGTAGTACTTCCCTTCAGAAATCGACGCACTGGTGGTAGCTCAAACATTGGTGTGCGGCTGTTAGTCGTAATGATCATGTCTTTCGCGACAACAGAAGAATCATTTCTCCATACGACCAAGGTGATTGCGACAAGTAGTACTACAAAGCTAGGACGCATTGTATCTATCGTGTCAAGCACAAGTGACTCACGTTGGCCTATGTATATTCAAGACAATGTACAAATAAATTGCCTGGTTCCAAGACGTTTTTCTGACCAGTACATTTGACATGGCAAAAAACAAAAGATCACGGTTCTGTTCTGCTATAGCTTTTATGTGCTATCGAGCAGTAACCTTCTTTTCAGCTTGACTGATCACTACTTTCAATGTTAAGGCCTAAATGAAAACAAGGTCATGAACAGCGAGAGCATCCTTTTTGCACGTCATTTCAAATAGAGCCAATTAGAAGCTAGTTCTGCTTCGCGTCTACAGGAATAGGAATCTGATCTACAGTTTGTGCCCAGCTAAATATCCAGTCAGATAGGAAGATTGTTTTCATTTCATTAAATAGCGCTCAGTCGTATTGTTCTTATTATGTCATCGTTATGTGAATCATATTATCCATTAAAAAACGATCCAAAGCAATATTACTATATGCAAATTACAATACAGTTAATTTCATATCTAAGGCTCATAAATGAGGCATTGATGATATGCTACCGCACCAATAGATAAACCCTTGAATCTCTCTCTTAATGATGATGCTGCTTTGTAGTATCAACGACGTGTCCGTCTCTCTTACTGCTTCTTCCTTCTTTTCCTTTATTAAGTGTATGCACTGCGTGTAAGAAATAGCTAGTTGGATGAGGGTAAATTTGATTCTGTCGTTATTGTTATGTCTATGTGCTTGCTAAGCTACCGTTAATGTTTACCAGCTATCTTGCCGTTTACTAGCTATCTTGCCGTCTACTAGCTATCGTACCGTTTACTACTTCTCGTACCATTTACCAGCTCCTTTCTATACCACTAACTTCAATGTAAAATCAGACGAGATCACAATTATACGCAACCGTACAGAACTGACAGACGCTCTCTTGCAAGCATACGAGCCTTCTGCAAATATCTGCCTCAAATACGTTATCTTTTTCAACCCTCCTCCTCAAATGCCAGGTTCTGGACCGCAGTCGTACCACCATCACAAATCTTCATGGCATCTTCCTTCAACCTTTTGCATCGTCAAGTCCCTGCACGACTACGTCATGTAAATAAGCACGCGCAACCTCGCAAGCTTGACCGGGTCTAATGCTTTGGTCAACAAGTCTTCAAGCATCTCCTCGAAGCGCACGTATTGTACAATCACGACGCCACGTCTAGCATAGTCGCAAAAGAACTTGATTCGCACGTCAATGTGCTTGGCCTTGGTCGATGAAGCTTCTCCTTCGAATTGCTTGATAGTCGCCTGATTATCTACATGCATCAGCATGGGCAAAAGCGGCGCCATGTTTATCTCGCAAAGCATCTCGCCCTCTAATTCGTGGTGTTAACCGCAGTTCCAGTCCTCGTGTTGCTTTCAAAAAGCGCGCAATTTGCTTAGCCAGCTTCCAGTCGTAGGTGGACGCGTGGCTTCTTGAAACGGGGTAATAGTCCGTTAATGTCTTGCAACATAAGGGAACTAGAGGAAGCGCTGTCCTTGTGTAAGGTAAAATTAACTCAGTTTATATTTTTGTTTTGTTTTTAATTCGTACTAAGTACGAAGGAGTTCTCTTCAACCACTCACAGTGGGTCCACTAGGATGTCAAAGATAGTTGATAACTCCTGAGTAGAAGGAATCATTTGCGTAAGGCTTAGCGATCTGAGACCGAATTGATAGCACAGGTGTCGAGATCATTGCCATGAGCCCCAGCTCGATACAGCACAAACAAATGTCATCGTCTTCGCCATCGGCACTACCTGGCTGATGGTCCATGTCGCGTCAGGGATCGTAATCGGGAAGCGGAGAAAGCTCGTCAGCAAGGATGTTATTCTTTCCGGGCTTGTAATTCACCACGAAGTTAACTTCTGAGAAGAAAGGCAACCAACGAGTCATACGCTGAGACAGGTGAGGGGTCTTCACGGCGGTACGCAGTGATGCATGATCTGAATATACTGAAAACATCTTCTCACCGAGTAAATATACCCTGAGCTTGATCAGCGCATAACGCATAGCCAGACGTTCTTTATCATGTACCGGATAGTTCTTTCGGAAGGTTTCATCTGTCGCGACTGACAACTCACGACGCGTTCTCGGCCCTCATCGTCACATTGCATGAGGGCACATCCAATCGCAAAGCTGCTCGCGTCACAAACAACGTGAAATGGCTTGGAAGCATCAGGCAGCATTAGCACTGGTGCCTCAGACAACCTCTTTTTTACGTAGTCGAACGCAAATTGATGTTCTGCCTTCCATGACCAAACTGCGTCTTCCTTCAGCAAAGTCGATAATGGTTGAAGTAACTCGACGTAATTCTTCGTATACTTATGTAAGTAATTAGCCAGGTCGAGCCATTGTCGTAATTAAGTTTGGTTCCTGGGACGGACACCTTCCTTGCTGACATAACAACCGAGTACTGGAATCTCGGGAACACAGAAGACACACTTTTTCAAATTCGCACATAACTTGTTCTCACACATCACTTGAAACACCTGTTCAAGTGCCGAATGTGAACCTCCGTGGCGCTAAGCTGTTGCTCAGCTCGGCTGTGTACAAAATTGTCGTCGAAATAGCTTTATGCAAAATCGCGTAGCGGGAGAGGTAGTTGTGTCAACATCCGGTTGGTTGAACATAGCTGTAGCGTTCTTAAGGCCTTGTGTCATGACTAGCCACTCTCATAGTATCCCACTGGGGGTGCTGACCGCAGTGAATGTAGTATCACTGTCTCTCATTAGGATCTGATAAAACCCGTCTGTCAGGTCAATGGCACTGAAAATCTCGCTGCCAGTCATGTTATTCGATACCATGTCTTTGCGCAGGATTGGCGTTTGAGCCGGGATCGTGGTTTCATTTAGCTTGTTGAAAGCATGTACAATGCGCCAACCGCCGGTGGATTTCTTCACACAGAAAGTAGGGCTCGAATGTGGAGAGACACTCTCGCGAACATGGCCTGCTCTACGGCGGCCCTCAAAAATTTCATCAATTACGATGACTTGATCACGAGGTAACGGCCACTGCCGCGTTACCCAATACTTCGACCTAGGCACGAGGTCAATATCGTGCCGCACTCCACCATCAGCTGGAAGCTCAGCAGGAATTGTCTCCGGCCAGATATCGGCATACGCGAAGGCGATAGCGTAGGCAGGGTTGCCCAAAGCAAGAAGGGCTTCCCGGGACTGTGTTTCGAAACGTTCTTCGCGCGCTGATTTGGGCTTGGCGCTCGTTGGGAGAGCCTCCAAAACTTCTTATGTAGCTGATTCGGCGGTAGATATGATGCACACTTGCTTGATGTCGCCGATCTTGAGGGCATGTAGAAAATCTGTCCATGCTAGGGCTGATAGAGATGTGATCGCAGCAGCAAAGCACGGAGGGCTAGCTACTTGAATGTAGCGACCGAGATGCGGAGAACCTTCCACATATTCGAGCGCGCATATGGATTCCGTCACTACGGCATCAACGTCGTCTACATGCCGACGAAGGTTTTATTACATAATGACATAAGTAGGTATATGCAGTATCCGAATAGCAGATACTGCACGTTATTTACTATTGGCTATTATTGGGCAGTCGAACCTCTTTTCAAAATACTAGAGAAAATTATTCAAGCTTTCTCGCTACCTTGTACTTTGTTGGCGCCAAGAAAACGCGGCAATAGTTTGAAATAAGGTCGACGAAGCTGACAAGGCACCGGTTTCCAAGCCGATTACGTGGTGTCAGTAGACCTTTTAGGTCCGACCAAATTTCACCGCCAATACGATCGATCGGAGCATGTATTCCACTGTCGACCTACGACTGCTTGTTCTTCGTCTGCTTCCCTATTTTGCACATCGTCTTTTCATGATCGGTAATTTTGATATCGGATCCTGATACCCTCGCTATGCGCTCGACCGTGTCGAGAGTTAGATGACCGAACCTAGCGTGAAAGTGCATCAACGATCTACGCTGCACATCCCTATCTGGTGCGCTCGATCCCACATTGGAGAGCACAGACATGAGAACGTCCGATGGTTTTTCTTGATGAGCTTCTGTTACACTTGTCTGCACGTACAGCACGTTCGTGTGCATAGAGACGTCGAAAGCGATTGTATTATCGCCGCGTCGGACGAGTGCACGACTTGATCCGTTGTACACCCAAATCGAAACCCTTTCTGCTTAATCCTTCTATACGAGATTATGCTGCGCGCAAAGCAGCGGCGCCAAGGAAAAGTCCGTCAGTTTGGTGGTTTTTATTTCTCCATTCGCGATGACAGCTAAGCGCACGCTTCCATGAATTGTTAGATTGAGGGACTTCTCATCTGCCATGCAAACTTCATGGTCGCAGATGTCGATATCTTGCATCAATGACACGTTGTTCACCAAGTGACGACTTGATCCATGACCAGGATCCAGTCGCTCAAGTCACTGTTGTCGACGACACCGACCGCATTCACGGTCTCAGCTGCCGACTTGCGCCCTTTCCCGACGCGCGTCCTTGTGCGATTTAATTTCGCCCATTGCGAGGACTATATCGTCTTTGCTGACCTTCTGGTGACCATCGCCCTTTGCCTTTCTGACAGCGCCTTTACCCTTCTCACGACAATTCGCTTGGATGTGTCCCGCCTTTCCGCAGCCAAAGTATTTTCGCGTATCTTGGCGGTGTGGAAAAGCCTCAACATGCGTGTCGACCGTCTCACGTCCAATTGACCCTCTCCCAAGCTCGATTGAAGTTTCAAAATGAGTCAGCTCTCCGGCATGTCGTAAGTAGTCGGTACGCGTCGGATCGTACTTCGCTCTCATGACATTCATGAGCTCGGGCGACGCGTGGTGCACAATGTTGTCCAAAACCAGTAAGTCTGCACCGCCTCTTGCGTTACTGACCGCAACCAGGTACAGAAAATGCTCGGCCCACGATCTCTTTCTTCTTTTGCGCATCGACTGCATAGCCGTAATCGTTCTCTTGAACGTCTTCAAAAGGCGCCCCATAAATAAATCGAGTGTTGCTTACTGGTTCCACCAACAGTCAACTGGCTTATGGTAGTACCATTTTGCCGTACTAGCGAGGTAGTGACCGAGCAAATTCACCTTGACATCTTCGCTCCAGCGAAAACCACAGGATGCTTCGGCCAAATTGACCTGTCTCAGGAACGTCTTTCCCCAGTCGTAAAATCAGATCTCAACCCACGATAGAGTTCAGTGCCGTCAAACTCGCGAGTCGTAAGCTGCCTCTGAGCTGCCGTAGGTGTCGCGAAGCACAGGCCTTTTTGATGGCAAACTGGCGGTAAAGGTGTTTACCCTTCTGCACGATGAGGTGCATCGACATTCACAGCGCGCACCTGCGCCTCTTGGTGATACGTCGACATTTACAGCGCGCGCCTGAACTCTGGTGATACGGTATTGTTGATGGTGTCACAAGCGAGGAAAACAACGATCCCTCAAGAACAAGCAGTGGTACAGGCGCTCGCGCTTGACGAGCTGCTGGTTTGCTCTCTGGGTGTCCCTCAGCGCATCGATTGTCATCTTCTTAGCGCCCATGTTCACACCAAGCGCTGATGCAAAAAGTCCACTCTCTGTAACGCCGCGCATGAGCTCATCCTCGTCAGCTTTCATTTGGAAAACTTCATCTTCTCCATGCGATCCGAAAGGGCGGCGAGGGCCGCGAGAAATTATCTTCGGTTACCGAGCTTCTTTCGTGAGCTGGCGGGTCTCCAACGACAGCTGCAGCTTGCGGTGGCGTTGCCGCACGCGATGGCAATTTTCATCCCGGCGTGGCCCTTGCGTGACCTGTTGATGCCGGTGCGACATTCGTGTTGTTTTGTCCAGCCATTGGGCTCATAACTTGTAGGAAATAGCTAGTTGGATGAGGGGAAATTTGATTGTGTCGTTATTGTTATGTCTATGTGCTTGCTAAGCTACCGTTACTGTTTACCAGCTATCTTGCCGTTTACTAGCTATCTTGCCGTCTACTAGCTATCTTGCCGTCTACTAGCTATCTTGCCGTCTACTAGCTATCTTGCCGTCTACTAGCTATCATGCCGTCTACTAGCTATCTTGCCGTCTACTAGCTATCTTGCCGTCTACTAGCTATCGTACCGTTTACTAGCTATCGTAACGTTTACCAGCTCCTTTCTACCACCACCTTCAATGTATGGTCAGACGAGATCACGATTACACGCAACCGTACACAACTGACAGACGCTCTCTTGGACGCATACGAGCCTCCTGCAAAGATCTGCCTCAACACCTTACCTTTTTCAACACTGTGACGCTGGCTTTTTCCCGTTGCTGGTCGAATGTGCAGATGTGACGGACGATACATGTAGAGATCGCTTCACAGAGACAGAGACAAGAGCAGATGTGGATCTCTGATAATAAGTCCAACTTGGCCCTCTTGTGAAACCTTTGTTGTTGTATATGAGATCATCCTGGCCGGGTGGGGGTGACGCCCTCCCGGAAAACTTGGGCCAGCATGATGCTAACTCAGGCCTTCCGACGAGTGCTTCACCGCATCCGTCAGTCTTTAACGCACCTCCTAAAGAGTAACGGAGGTGTACAAAGGTAAGCTCAAATTGGATAATAATATCAATTGTAGAATGTAATGGTAAAAGCTTGCTTGACTGTAAGATAGACATATCAAACAAGGACGAAAGTCAATGCTTCCGACCATCGACCACTGATTGATAATCCTATGGAGGCAGATATTGACGATGATCTGAAAAACGCTACGATGCTGCTGGTTGAGAGAGCCCCGCTGCCTCGACACACCTCTCTCTACCCTATCTCACTCCCAGCCGCCAGCCAAGCCGCCACGACGCTTGCAGCCACGCCCCGGCATCTCCGCGTAGGTACGTTTAATGTGCAAACCATTAGTTCCCAGCGCAAGCAGCATGAGACGCTTCCTCGGAACCTGTCGACTTACAAGATCGATATCGTAGGGATTCAAGAAACTCGCGTTGCTTTCCAGAGCGAGCAGAAGACCGGTACGTATCATCTCCTGACACTTCATGATCAAACCGTTAACACGGTATTGGTTTTCCGTTGCCCCCACTACGCAGATTTTTTTTACAAATACTGGGCCCAGTCTGACCGAGCTGGAGTCCTCCAACTACGTCTGCCTAAAGCCCAACGAGTGAACATTGTCAATGCATATGCGCCCCATAGTGGGTATCCTGTAGCAGCCATCAACAGCTTCTACGTGAACCTTGACCACAGCGCTCTCTAAGCTCCCCCAACGCGACACGACCATTATCCTTGGTGATTTTAACGCCAAAATCGGTTAACGCCGCGAAACAGAGTCATTTCTCGGGTAATGGGACCGTGGCCGAAGGAATCGCAATGGCCACATCCTCGCCTCTTCCGTGATGCTAACGAATTATTCATTACTAATACAGCATTTCGAAAACGCGCGCGCGACATCACGACATGGACACTCCGACTCAAGGACCACTGCATCTTTAACCAAATTGACTACATCATCTGCAGCCAACGAACGAAGAAATTATGCAGCAACACGCAATCCTGGGGTGGCACTCTCACACCATCGGACGACAAGCTCGTCACGCTCGACTTCGATCTCCGCGCTCTCCGCGAACTCCGCCGACGTCAAGAGCAAGCACGTAGCAGCGAAGCTGAAACGCGCTTGGCGACACATTTTCTTGCCCATGCCAGCAGGTATCGCACCTTGCATCGACAAATTCTTGACAAAAACCTTGCTGACCTCCCGCAACAACGGAAAATTGCGAACCAACACTTGGACAACCACTCTTCACTCTACACTACAGGCTGCGAAAGACTCTTTTGGCTACATGCCGCTCGCCCACCATACTAAAGTGGTGGTTCTCGAGCTTTCCTGCCTCTCGTACGAACAACGACACCTTCGGCAGCTCATCTACAACGACCACACGCAAGACGGCACGGCTCTACATACTAAACGCAATCGACTTTTGCACCGAATCCAAGCACGCAACAAAGCTCTCGCTGGAGCTTTCATCGACGAAAAACTTGCCATCATTGGACAGTCGAACCGCTCGACTCACATGTTTGAAGCGATAGTAAGCGCCCTCTTCCGACGGCGCTCACCATTGACCTCGCTATGTAACACTACAGGTAAATATATTCTCAGCCGCCAAGAAGCAGGCACCAACATTAAGCAAAACTTCACCCAGTTCTCGGACTCCAACAACGCATGCCCGTCGCCGCCAACGGCCTTACACGCCCCCTAAAGAACCCGATTACCACATACGAGCTCGAACGCGCGTTTCGTCGCTTACGCAATGGACGCGCACCGGGCCCGGACTCTACACCTGCCGAGTTACTCAAGTATGGATCAGAGCTACTAGCTCAACCCCTCACCAACATCATCAATCACGGACTTGCCACAGGAGACAGCATCCATCTGGGCGACGGAATTCTTCTCGGACTCCCACAACCAAACATGCCGGCTGGCCAATTCGCTAGCCTTCGATCTATCGTCCTACTCAACAGCATCCGTAAAGCGATCTCTTTAGTGGTGCTTCGTCGCATCTTCCCCAAGGTCGAACGATTTCTGTCCCCGCACCAAAGCGGGTTCAGACCCAGTCGCAACACTACTGATACAGTGTGGGCCCACAGGTGGGTAGCAGCACGTGCTCAGAGGTACAGAGAACGATTCTATATTCTTGGAATCGACCTCTCCCGTACTTTTGACACCGTCAACCGCGACAAACTTCTCCCCGTGCTCGATCCACTTCTTGATGATAATGAAGTTCGACTGATCCGACTACTACTACGGACACACTGCTCTCCCTCCGACTCGGCAATCGCCTGCTCTCACCTTTCGAGAGCAATACAGGTACTCCCCGAGGTGATCCACTGTCCCGTGTTCTTTTTGTTGTTTACGTTGAAGCAGCTTTACGAGACCTATGTCAGCCAGCTCAACGTACCCCACGATCTCCTCGCTGACATGATCGTGTACGCCGACGACGCCGACTTCGTCTGCCAAAGCGCTGAAATAGTACCCTGATCGAGACTGAAGCCCCTGCTGATTTGGCCAAATGGTCACTCCAGATGAACATGTCCAAGACCGAAACAACGCAGCTCAACAGCGCAGTCCAACCGAATTCACGTGCCAAGGATGAAGACTGGCGCATTATGCGCAGACTAGCTTTTCTCCACGGCGACGCAGAAGACGTCTCCCGTCGTAAGAATTTAGCGTTCGCCGCGCTCCACCGCATGGGGAAAATCTGGCTTCGGCCATCGAAAACCTCGAAAACTACGCGCCTTCGCCTCTACAACTGCTACGTCTTGCCGATCCTGCTATACAATTGCGGGACTTGGGCCCTAACCGTTTCCGTGCTACACACGCTTTGAACGTTTCCGTCGTCAACAGCTCCGCAAAGTGATTGACGTACGTTATCCAGACACGATTTAAAATGCCGAGCACTACGACCGTACCAAGACAGAGCCTCTCCGATTTCACTTGCTTCGCAGCCGATGAAGCCTTTTTGGCCACATCCTCCGCAGACCAGCAGGCATCCAAGCCAATTGCTTCATGGAAACTTTCTTCAGCCCCAGTGAGACCGGCAAATGGAGAGGCAGACGCCGACTAACGCTACCGATGGTTCTAGATGCCGACCTTCAAACACTTTCCGCAGGACACCCACCGCCTTCAACGTGCCTCAGACTTGTACTTCCTTCACCTATGTGCTCAGGGCCGCGCAGTCTGGAAGAACCTTAAACCAAGGCGATTTTATCGCACGCGCCGCTTAATGGACTTTGGCCGAGAGAAGAGAGAAACGTAGAGAATGAGAGATAACCCGACGCATGCGGAAGTTGATGGCATTTCGCAATGGTGAGTTTAGTGAGAGACTGAAATGAAATTCCCGTTTAGTGAAATTACAGTGGATTTTTATATGAATTTTAGGTTAAGAAACTTTAAGTTAAGGTTTTTTAATTTACATAATAAATCCTTTTTTTCTAACGAAGACACGTTCGGGCTTGAGCAACTTCTTTGCAACACGTCAGGCCGCTAGTTGTAATCGCACGCATTACCTTGTTGATATTTGCACTAACCGGCATGTATTAACTCGATTATACCCATTAGAACACTAACCGGTTCCTAGTGTGGGCATATACAAGGCTACGTGCGGTGTGGTTTTCCTACACTTTCGTTGCAAGACGGCTCGCGAAACACGTTCACATACATACATATGAGCTCGTGAAGAGTAGCCATCACCATTATCTTGATAATTAAAGACAATCGTGTAGCAACATGTGAGGAGCTCCTACTGATACTACTTCAAATGAAGCGTAGGAAACAGTGTCAAGATGAGCAACATTAATATAACGCTGAGGTCGTACCACCACCTTAGTATCATAACAGCAACACAACAAGTCTTTAGATAGAGCAAGTATATTTAGCTAAAATAGATGCTGCAGTGATCGTAGCTAACACTATACAAAACAAAGAAGATCAAAAACAGTATATGACAAAAGCATTTAATTTTTAGGAGCATTCAAAAGGTCACCAACTACCACTACCCTCTTCTTCCTATCATCTCCTTCAACCTGAGGTGTTTATCCGATTTGATTCCCATATCTTTTCATATACAGCTCCTTAATTTCTTTCAGCTGATCGATTGTTTCTTTGTCGATTGGGCGATTAAAGTTTTCAGTCACAGTCCTTATAAAATAAATTCCGTTTGTGTTCCGGTCCTTAATCCAAGCAAGTTGTGCATCTTGCAGATCGCGAGCTATGTCCTTGAGCTCCTGTGCATAGTCCTCGCTTTGTAGTTTTTCCTTACCCAATACATTCCTCTTGACCTTAATGTTCTTGCCAACATGTCCATTGCTGCTTACTTTTTCGTGAGCCAGCACCGGTTTCTTGCCTTTAATTATATTGTCCAACTTTAGCGTAACGTCTAATGCATTATACTTGTTCTTCAAGAATAAGAAAATGAGTCTGTTCGCTACGTTGTCAAAATGAATTAATTTTGACCGGACCTTTTGGACCCAACTAACAAACGCAGGGCTTTCAAACAGATCATCAAGGGTCTTCTTCTTTAACTTAAACTTGGCAAAATATTTTTTTACCATTTTTTTACTTGGCGGGCGCAACGTATCTGTCTCTACATCATGCGCACGAGTTAGCATTGTTTCCTGGTTGGAAGTCACTTCATAAAGTGCCATCTACTTACGCATCGATATTTCTTTCCCAAATAACTTCTGTTTCAAGCGTTCCCACAAGGAGATACTCGTTGCAGCCTCAATTAGCGGAGAGTCAACTTCCGTTGCCATAGCCACGTTGGACCTCAGGTGCCGCTTTAATAAGGCGATGTCATCAGGCGTGTTTCGTGATGTTGACGCACGTGAGCTATCGATCGCAGCACCCTTGAACATCAATTGTGACGTAGCCACGCTCGGAGATGAACAGCATCCGAGCAGTGCGAAAACAACCAGGCTCCACTTGATAGCCATTCTAAGAATCTCGAGCTTCATTGGTCTGGCTACAAATGAAGAATGAGGAGGTTAAAAGACTTGGACGAGCACGGAAGTCGAACCCTTATCCCTTGTCCCAGTTTTAACATATGGAACCATTCAGGATCAGTTCATCATATCACCATTGAAACTGACACTGGATCAGATCGTACATTCTAGCATCACTTGGTTAGACTATGCAGACAATCCTGTCTACGTCTTGAAGCTTGACGCAATCCAGGCGAGCAGTCAGCTAAACGATATGAAACAAATCTCTTCGACTTGGATCCACGCAATCATGTGTCTCATGACTGCGTGGATCCAAGTCCTGTGAGACACACGCAATCATGTGTCTCATGAATCCGTAGATCCAAGTCCTGTGAGACACACGCAATCATGTGTCTCATGATTGCGTGGATTCAAGTCCTGTGAGACACACGCAATCATGTGTCTGACAGGACCAGTCGCACCAAGAAAACAACGATTCACTAGACTACTTCTTTATATTCTACGCAGCCAAGTCGACTTGCCGCGTATTGAGCCAATGGTCGATCTATGTCATTGAATACTGCGTCGAAAAACCTGGTCTGTCAAGTTTTTGCAACGTTGGTCCGTGCATTTCTGGTCCGGAACTGGAAAACATTGCACTTGTACCGTTTCTCAGACGAAGCTGCTGGCTGTTACCAAACTAGTTTGGTACGTGCCACGATTGATGATACGCGGCTCTGGACAATGACGATGCAGTGCACGTCCTAATGTTTACTGTCTGCTACGGGGTATGTATGTTTTATTGCTTGGTTCAACCACAAACAAATGAACGTCATTTCTTGCCGTTGCACACAAACTTTCCAGTCATGCGGCACTTTATTGCATCTCACTGTGCGCCTACACGATCCGCTCTCTTCCGTCTTGTCAGCATTTGAGACACGACTTTTGCAGTGTGACCTGTCGAGGAAACACGAGCTCAAGGTAAAAAGTTTGAGCTTTACCCCGTGAAAGTATCTACTTTAGGGCAAAACTAAGATGCGCTGGACGATGTTACAATGCATTTCGAAGCAAGGACAAGTCAACTCGTTACTGGACGCGATCTAGCTTCCATACTGCCATTTCTTTGCATATTTTGAATCAATGCTTTGTGATAAGAAAGTGATGCTTTGAGCGCATAACTAGAGTGATGGCGGATTCTTACGTCATGGGTTGTCTGGATCAGATACTGAGGTTGGGTGCCCGATGAAGGCAGCTGAAATTACCTTGTTTATTGGAATTTGGTCTTGTGAGTATCATTTGAAAGCACCAATGGAATGCATCTCGTGATGTTTATCACGCACAATGAAATACTAGAAGGTTGTAATGAGCCTGGCGTTGCAGCCAGTTTTCAGCTCAGCGGTTCCTCTTGGAATGTTTGTTTGTGAGAAACTCCATCAACTCCATGATGAGATGGTGGTGTCTCGATCTACAGCGTCTATAAACGGCAAAATAAAAGCTCATTCAACTCGCATGAAACAGCAAGGTCGATGTCTTTTGTAGCAGTTTTGCATATTCAACAAGCTCAAGCATCCCATCAAAAGGAGACCTCCGTATTCTTTTGCATGATTTTTAACATAAGCTATCTGCGTCCCAACAGCAGTTAGATTGGAGAGATATTCATGCAAGCTCGATATACACAAAATATTTCGATTCGTTCAGAGTCGCATTCTTATTCCATTGTGCAGATTTACACTAGATAAGCATGTATTCATTAGCTACGAGCATCTCTAACATTGCGTAGATGCCGATGATACGAGCTCTAACTTTTGTACTTGGAGTGTTCAAGTAGTGGAGGTGTGTGAAGGTCAAGCTACACACATGAACAGCATTTGCACTTTCCGTTCTCTTAAGAGGTCAACGCTCTGTATCGTGGAAAAAGAAAACGGCTTTCAATGATAAGTGAGCTCTTCATGATGCGAGCGAGCGTACGTGCTCGCTTTGTTATGCTGACTCATCAAGTGGTAAATGTAGTCTCAAGAGCATGCTGTTGTATGTCGAACAAGCACCATCCTCGCGACGATGTAAAGGTTGTAAGAGGGTCACCTCGAGACAGTACAACTGAGTTGGATTGGAGAGTGTGTGCTGCTGCTGACGACAGTGAAAACGATGGTGGTCCTGGAAGTGATGACGACGACGTGCTCACTTCACTTGGTGCGTCATACCGAGCGTGGTGCGTGTTTCATCGAGAGAAGAGAGCACATGAATATACTAAGAATAGGTTAGTTGAATCAATCAGACGAGAAGCTACGCTTGCAAAGCAAGTAGCGTGTCTTCGTGGTTCTATGGAGCAAACTGAATGCACATTGATGAGATTGGAAGATTTGGAAGCTATGGCGATCATCCTGGAGGAAAAGTATAAAGCTGTAGCGACTCGGCAAGGGACGGAAAAAGAAGATGAGTTCGAGCTTGAGTTTCAGTGCCCACTACACACTCACCGTCTTTATGAAGCAGAAGCTGATGCCTTGCGTTGGAAAACGCAGTGTCAACAACTATTACCAAAACTAGCATCGATCAATTTGGAGAAAAATGGATTGACGGAAGAGCTCCGAAAGGCGAAGAAGGCTGCAGTGTTAATCATGAATCGACAGTACAGTCAGCTTGAGACGCTTAGCGGTGTACCGCATATTCTTTCACGCACCGCTCGACGCCAGAAAAATGATCTGAAAAAGCGATCGTATAGCGACATTGAGATTGTCTGAGACTGACAGATGTCGAGACTGTGTGTCAGCATGATGAGACTTCAGCTAATGCTTCACTTAGTAGCGTCGTCGGACATGTAGAGAACTGCTTGTTGCAGTAAGGCACGTACACTGCTTCCTTCATGTAGAGCGTCAATGTCCAAGCTTTGTCTTGAACCTTATGTGAAGTGTTGTCATGGTGCTTGTTCTTTCTTGACATATCCTTCAATAGACCAAAAAGCCTATCGCGACAAGCTACAAGAAAGAGAAGGAGTAAATGAGCATGAAGCTAGCACGCAAATACAGAATTGAGTCAACTAGTTTAGTCGCACCCAATCTGCTGCGTCGACTAAGCTACTACTACATCCTCCGGTCCACCTTGATATCAAAGTCAGCGTTAATAGCGTATTCACTGCACGACTGCGGTAGAACTTACAAAGACTGCTCCTAGAACTGTCGTTTGCCTTTTTGTTGTGTACAAACAACTCTGCGAACGCTTCGCTATCCTGACCAAAGAGGATCGCTGGGTTGCGGTCTGACCACGGTGAATACCAGTCACGAACACATCAGCCATAGACGTTAATTCGCGTCAGGTAGCAAGAAAGTTTCCATGCTATTAAACTTTTAAAGACTGTTGTCTCACGTGGAATAGCACGAACATCAACAAAACGATACAAGATGAACAGTTTGTCATTTTCTCAAGTCTTACGCAAGAGCACGTCGTGTGCCGTTAGACTGCATGAACTTTCTTTCTCTCCTACTTACTGACGGATACGTCCCAGTGGCAAAATTTATATTGGTCTTACTCTTACAAAAGTAGAAAGAAGGTCTTTACACAAAGTGAATTGAAGAATGCCGGTACTAAAGACGTGAAGTTCAGGTCTTTACACAAAGTGAGTTGAAGAATGCCGGTACTAAAGACGTGAAGTTCAGGAGATAAGGAGGACAACTACGGCAAACCAAAACACGTCACTCGATTGTTTATTGCCCGGCTAAAAAGTTCAGCAGCTTTTTTCAGTGCAAGGCTGCAACTGCGCAAAGCGAAAGGATTGGTGCCTGTCACATGGATCACTGGTGGTTAAGATAGACGACAATAGTGCACTGAATACATGACACTTGACTTGAGTGAAGCTACATGCACAAAAAAGACTACATAGATCGCTTGCTACCCAAATTTAATAGCTTAATGGTAGCCCAAAATTAGCATGGAACAGGATATGCGATACTCCTCCGCTAAAAAAGCTTGTCATTGCTGTTGTCAATGTCAAGTTTCCTAGCAGATGCATTATGGCTACACTATATATTACGCTTCGTTGCAAGTTTAAGCTCTTAAAATCTGTAAATTTGAAAAAAATGGTGACAGCCATGGCTTTTTTTTACAAAAGTGGGTCAATTTATAAGATCGAGCAAATCATGGTGTGACAGGCTCTATCAATCCAACCAATCACATACGAGATATAGGGCCTGCAATAACTTAGTCCGTGTTAAATGTCTACAAAGACTACGGGCTCATCCTAGACAAATGCAAAAACGGCTCTTTTTGATTACGTGCAATTTGTAGATTTCTGTATGTAGCCATTGACAAGACCAGAGATAGACAGTTCTGGCAATATAGGAAGTGCGTTTATGGAAATGATGTGTTTATTGGTGCTGAAGTAAGCATAACACAGGCGTCAAATAATAGGACATTGATAAATACAGGATTTGATACGCCTAGTTTTTGCAGCATGATCACCATGTTCTGCTCGTCTCACTGATCCTTTGTATCGAGCACATGTAGCCACTGAATATTCCTTGATCCGTTTTTCCTTCCTGACGACACCACGTCTTTGGTACTTTTTAATCGCCTACTGCGTTTTTTGATCGCCCACGACTTATCACTTCATGAGCGTCTTAGTGCTGAATATTTTCTAAACATAGAATTGAGACCACATGCAGCTTTTTGGAATTTCCTCGCTTGTTTTTTTCCTAGTCTTCCAGGGCCCTGTACAGGCCCAACAAACGGCAATGACTTGTACCACCACAGCGGATTGCGCATGGGGCGAGACGTGCGTTGCCGGCGATTCGGAGCTAGTGGCTCAGGCATGTGTACCTCCTACAGTATGTGGAGGTTCCTCGATGGGCAATTGTCCGTCGGATAGTAGTGGACAACTTGCTTGTTTATGGAGACCACACGATGACTGCAGTGATGGTTGTGCAGTTTTAAACGGGAACAAAGGCATTTACAAATGTGTGTCTCTCTCCCGATGTGATGCATACTACGGAGGTACTTCTTGCAGTGGTAAGTCACATTTTGTGGTTGAACGACGATGAGTCGCAGTGACTGACGATCGTGGTTGTGTATCCAGATAAATGCAGTATGAATGGAGTGCGATGCAATGGCCAGGGTTCGTGTAACATGATGTCGTTGAACCCTGACGAAACGCCCAATTTTAGCTGCGCTTGCGAAAACGGCTTCAGTGGAGAGAAGTGCGAGGTTGCGCCAGGGCCAACAGTAGCACCAGAGCCACCAGTAGCACCCGCCGCGAATGTTTCGTCCAACAACGACGGCGGCACGGAACGGGGGGTGCTCAAGAACGGTTTTGGTTTTGATTTCAACAATAACGCCAATGCAGACGACACACCTCGTTTCGATGAACCTGTAGACTCTTCAGCAAAATCGTCCACTGCCACGCCCAAAATTTCGTCCACCGATAGTTTAAACGATCCAGCCCCAGACAGCGTAAATAGCTCAAAGGACTTGAACTTGGATGAATCCTCTTCCTTGGACTCTTCAGGTGACGGCGATTTAGCGAAAATCTCTTCTCATGGCGGTACACGAACAGGCTTGCTCATCATTATCCTCCTGATGACAGAGGTGTTCATACTCGGGGCGGTTGTATTTGTTCAATATCTTTTCCACAGAAAGCAGCAAAAACGGGAGGAGCAATACGCCAGTGCTCTTCGTTCGTCACAAGGATTCGGTGCAGTGGGCTTGCGAGACCTCGCCGATGGACACACAGGCCTAACTCCAAGAGCTCTCATCGTGACCATGTAAACTTTTTGTGATGCTTCTAAGAAACATATATATATAACTACTAGTATCAGCTTGGTGCTGGCAAATAAATGAGCGCCATACTATGGTGTTACAAGCTCTACTCAATACAAAATATGGAAATAACTGTTCCATTCCAGCCATCACTCGCAGTCTCAGTAATGCTGCTTCCACCGCTTCTTCGCAATCAGGGGATTCTTTTATTGTCTTTAATCGACACATCATTGAATGATAATGGGGACAAAAGTGCTGATGTCTCGAGCACAACGTGATGCAGTTTAAAGCAGCAACCTTCAATGCTTTGTGTAGGTTGCTAATTTGGTCCGAGTTTGACTAATGTTTATAGTTATCAAACCAGAAAAAACAATGCGACTATAAAGATGCTTTGAAAGTCCTTACTGATTGTTATAACCTCTAAATGTTGCCTCGTGCTAATGGCAAGCATAAAAATCAGCTGCACTTTGACAGATTAGGCTATGCACGAAATGGTATAGAATAGCCAGTCTCAGGTGTATGTGTATATATCTTTTTACAGTGACGTTAGCTAAAATAATTACCTTACTTAGTCCAAGTAATTCGTACGTGAATGCCTGTCACCTGTTCTGCGTGGGACAAAACATACTTTCTTTATCAAGATAAACGATGAATGTGTCACCTGTTTATAACGATACCTTGCCCAAGACAAGTTACGTACAGGCCACCAAATTCCGTATCATATTAGTAGTAAATAAGTATAGTCTGTATAGAAAGTACAGACCATCAGTTTTCTGTTTCAAATAATGAAAAATCCGTCCCTCTAAAATAACACTTCAACGTTGTGTAAAATCTGATCGTGCGTGTTCGTACCTGATCAATCCAGATGGGTGGGTGTGAATCATGCTCGCGTTTGTTCATCGTCAACAGTCGAAATACTTGTGTCGATGTATCGATATATTAAAAACGCTTTTGCATTGCATGTGCCTGTCGACACAGGAGGTCCACACGAACCTTAAGAAAGCCTGCCAATACTAGATTGTCAGTGTCAGTGGACAGAAGAGAGAGAGAATGGAAGTGTGAAAATAGCGGTGTCAGCCTGTCATCTAGTAACATGCAATTGACTAGTGCAATGCTATGAGCATTAAAAAAAATAAGTTCGACAAGACCTCGAACGAATATTTACTGCGGCGACTGCAGTAATCTTGAAGTATTGGATCGTTTCTGCACATATCGCATCAAATGACCTGTCGCTGTTTTGCTTAACCTGCTATTTGTAAATGAGACACATTTTTCGGTACTCTTCCAACAGGTTCAAACTGCTCATAAATCAATTTTCTGCGAGTTGTCCTAATACCGTTCGTTGTATACAAATTCCAAGTGAATTTTTATCGAGACTCAGGTGATATGCGAATATTAGTAGCATTGTGTGTGTTGATCTCGCAGCCAAACGCAGAGGCACTGCGCATGGCCATAAATTGTACAAATACTGGAGATTGTAGTCACGGCGAAACGTGTGTCGCCGGTGATTCAGTGACACCTGTTCAAACTTGCGTGGCGGGTGTGGCGTGCGGTGGCTCTACATCGGGTAGCTGTCCGTCAGATCTCGTTAATGGTCAATTGGCTTGTATCAAGCGAGACGGCATTTACAAGTGTTTATCCATTGACCGATGTGATGAGTATTTTGGAAACTCGTTATGCAGTGGTGAGACAATCAAACAAGAAGTTGATTAGGAAATAACAAGTGATTGACAAACGTGTTACTGTGTATTTGTGTTGTCTGGTGTAGGTGGATGTAATGCAGACGGCGTACAGTGTAGTGGGCAGGGGTCATGCTCTGTGGCATCGACAAGTTTGGATGGGGTTCCGAGTTTTGGCTGTACGTGCAATAACGGCTTCAGTGGCGACAAGTGCGAGACCGGGGCTACATCTGGCTCTGCTTCACAGGCTACAAGCAGAATTTCCAGCACATCCGGCTCCATTGCTACGGATTTTAGTTTGTCTACCAGCTCTTCATTAGCTAATGCATCCTCAAATACGACCAGCTTGACATCAGGGTCTGTGGGTGGATCTAGTGACAGCTCATTGGATAGCTCTTGGTCGTCGTTTCCTGCTGCTTTGATTGGAGATGACACCAACGACAGAGAAAGATTGACACCCCAGTCCGATAGCAGAGGATCAGAAGCGGTCGACTCGGACTCCAGTGGCACTAGCTCGGCCGTGTTCATTATTATCGGCATATTAGCAGCTTGTATTATCTTCGGCTCGCTCATGTTCGCCATGTATTCAAGGAAGAGGAAGCGCGAACAGGAGGCGGAAGCTGGTGGCATTGGGGTACCAGCAGCACTTGCGGCGACTGCAGGCGAGAGCGGTGCTGATACACCCAAAAGCAACATTGTCACAATGTAGACAGACACACACAACCGTCAGGACTTATGCGGTAGATGCAGAGAATTACGAAACAAATTATACTTATTGCTATGTCATGGTGTTTCACATGAAGCAGCACCTTGCAGAGAACCTCATCCTGTAAGCTCTTCTTTCCATGTCACAATACCTTTAGACTGGTCATGCGTTGATCCGTTTTGACCAGTCTTGGGAAGCTATGCTCGAGTATATCTTCTATATCTTACCACAACAACGCGTTATGCAGCAAGCCAAGATGATTATCTGGTGCCTGAACAAAAAAGAGCTAGAAAGATAGCTTGATTGCAAGTTCTTCTTGCAAGAGATGAACTACGTTGGCGTTAGATTATTGCTACGGATGTAATGAAGCCAAATGCTTTCAGACAGCTGAAGCATATTGCGCTTGGCTAAATTTAAATGAATTAAAACTAGTGCGTAAAGAAAACTCACAGCACAGTAAATTTCATGAGCATCAAGAGCAAAGTCACAATGTCATGCAAGCAAACATTCATCCTATGGTCAGGTGCTTATAAGTGTGTTTACCTTTTGTACCTTGCATGAGATTGTAATCCTGTAGCCATCTTATTCGGGCAACGTGACGACAGAGCAATTAGCGCAAGGTTTTTCTATGCAAAATATCTTTACAAGAAGACACAAGCGACTAACGAATATAAGTGTATTATTGAATGAATCCAATAAAAGCAAAGTAGAAAAGATTCTGGCATCATAAGCATGCAGTAATAGACACGAAGCACGAGCAACTCGTCCTGCAGTCGCGCTGATACTCTACTCTAGCTGTTCGCCATGATACGTCATGTGTTAAGCAAATCCTTTACTTGTTGCCTGGGGACTTAGACCGCTTGTTTCTCTTCTTCTTGTGGCTGTTAGAAGAGCCACCTGAAAAGCCCTTGGGGTTGCACTCGGGGGCACAGCCACGTGTCCGGGTGGCGACCGTCGGCAAGGCCAACGCACTCGAGATGGTACCACTGCGACGGATTTGGACACGTCTTGCCGTCGCAGGCGATCATATTACCGTAGCTAGGGAGGTTGCAGATGCAGTACAGTTCATTATCTTCGCCCGTGTCTGCGTCTTTCTTGGTCTTCTTATTCTTGCTGCCCGACGCGTTCGAGGGTTTCAAGCTACTTGGAGGTGCCTTGCGCCCTCCGTTGCCGTGATTGCGGCTGTTGTGTCCATTGCTTGCTCCACTCATATGGTTGTTACCGTTACCGTGGTTCAACGAAGTACCGGCATTGCCATTGCTCGTGTTGTGAGTCGAGCTATTGCTGGCGTTGCGCCCCGATGAAACAGATACCGAGTGATCGCGCTGGCGTTTGCGACTAGTGGACTTTCGCTTGGTTTTCTCTACCACTGATTGGAATTTACGCTCCTTCTCACGCACAGTTGATCGCTTCACTGCCGTCCGTTCGCCATTGCGCAGACGCTGCATGAAGGCGACGATGGAATCGTCCTCCTCCACCTCCAGCGACATATCAAAATGGCGTGCCACTTGAGCCGCCAGCTCTTCCTTCTCCAATTCTTCATTTAGCTTAAGGTGATAGAACTTGCCGTAGCGCTTCAGAGCTTCCATCTGTGTATCGTCCAATCAAACAAGTCCAGTCAGTCAACGTGACGTAAAAGATAGCAATCCGCCCACCAGCGTCAACTCCTATTACTGCAACTAAAGTTATATGCAAGACAACGTACGCCTAAGCTTTTAAAGTCTACCATAAGCCGTGGCGGGTACAAAACGTGCTTGAGTGGTTGTTGTGACCCCAGTTCGTCCATGTTGCCGTAGTAGCGTCCACTGTCCTCGAACTCTTGATATTTGACAATACAGTAGTTTACAACATAGAAGCGTGTGATATTTTCAGTGCTTAATCCAATAGGTCCTTCATTCCTTGCATCTACAATCATTCAATACCTTCTTCCATCGTATACAGCTCATTGTGTTCATCCTAACGAGAAAATCAGTGAAGTTGAGAGAAGGAAATCACTTTTTAAGGAAGACAAGATGCAATAATACATCAAGTGAGAAAAGAAAAATGCTTACCATAGTAATGCTGTGAATGGTGAAAGGGGGGAGGAAGGGCTAGCACGGAAGAAGAAGGTTCTCTTGTTGTACCTAAGCTCTTCTCTCTCTCTGGTCCTTCTGCGCTACCGTTCAAATATGACGGGATTTCAGTACGAACAGACTGCTCGTGGTCCACTGTTGTACACTCTTGTGTCCACACAGTGGACGATGAGGCGGTGGATGGCTAGAAAAAGGGTAGAGGAGGAGAAGTACCGTACCCTGTCAGTTTAAGAGAATTCAGTGTCCAAATAAACATAAACGGGTAATAAATATCAAGATGGTCCCTCCTGGGTGTTTGAGCTCAAGAGCTCACATGATTATGATTCGATACTACTATTGCATGGAGTTCAACCACAGACTACAAAGGTTGCGATATGATTGTTTGATACATGCGGTATAGAGAGGTGCTTGCAATGATCTCAATACTCAATGCAATGTGAAAGTCGAAATTTCGGTCACACGCCCTTCAAGATACTTCTTACATCGATTTTTCTCCTGGTTTTTCTTGCCTCCCGTCAGGTCCAAGGAAATCAGCATCGACGTTGCTCTTTATCAAAGCACCTGCTACAACTTCAGCGGCCAAATACGTATTCTTGTAGCGCATATGCTCATGCGTTTGATTTGAATGTCAGTCGAGTGTTTGTTTGGGGGGGGTTGCATCCACGTAAAAGAATATTTCGATGCAAAAAAGAATTGTGGTTTCTTACTTAAGATTGACTATACATCATCACTTTGCTACTTCAATGATTGTGTCTAATGACTTGGAATCGTATTGGATTGTGTCGTAGCTGCCAAGAATTCGCTCGAATAGTGAAACACGTAGAATCCTTACCACCATTTGACTTGCATTGATGAAGTGGAAGTCAACTCGATACTTGATTGGCGCCTTGACTTGACCTGACTTGTCGCATGATTGATCCTCTTTATTTCAATTAACAGATCTAACAGGTCTTATGTCTTGCCAAACTCGATAGTAATAAGGTTCAATCAAATAGGTTCATGCCACAAGATCTCTTATATCAAATATTTTACCATGGTTAACGTCAAGAATAGTAGCTCCCCGTCTTTAAAGCCTTTGTAGATGCCTCTGTATGTTCTTATGACTTAGGACTTCTATGTTTCTTTATCTATGATCAATGTTATGGAAGTATTAATAATCATAGTATTATTTATAATGGTCTGTTTTATCCAGGCTGGCGCTATGGGTGCACTATTTGCTGCCGTTCTGCTATATCCACTGGACGTGGTGAAGACGCGCCGTCAAGTGGAAGTGGACAACAGCAATGAGGAGGAGCATAAAACGGATGATGAATTCAAGGTCAAAGCTCTTGCTCTGCGCAAAAAGAAGGAGCACAACTTGCTGGTGGCTGTATGGCTTGTTTACCGCAAAGAAGGCATGGAGGGTCTTTTCGCTGGCCTTAGCTCCAAGGTTATACATACTGTATTGTCCAATTTTGCTTATTTCTACTGGTATTCGTTCCTTAAGACGGCGGTGGAGAAGCATTCGAGCATGCCCATTACGACCAGTATGAGTTTGCTTATGGCTTCTACAGCGGGGGCGCTAAACATGTCCATGACGCTCCCGCTAGAGATGATTAACACGCGAGCTCAGATTCAGTCCAGTGAAGATGAAGCTAGTGATGCAGATGGTAACGAGAAGGAAAAAGAGCCACGTAAACGCACTATGTGGGGTATTGCCAATGAGATTTATGCGGAGGATGGCCTGATGTCATTCTGGAAGGGGTTTATCCCTTCCTTGGTACTGGTAAGCAACCCATCAATCAATTATACAATCTTCGACAAGCTCAAGTTACAGCTGCAACAATCCAAGATGGTAGCAAGCAATGCAAAGCGTGCGAGCTCGCTGACAGCGTTGGAAGCGTTTCTTCTGGCTGCCATCGCCAAGGTGGTGGCTACTATCATCACGTACCCAATCATTCGCGCAAAGATCCTGATACAAGCTCAGAAGAAGCAGATTACAGAACAACAGAAGAGTGCACACGGTTACCATCACGCCGAAATGGGCAACTCTATGGTGCAGGTGCTTAGGCGTATTGGCGAGCTGGAAGGCCCGAGGGGCTACTTCAAAGGCTGTTCGGCACAGCTTTTCAACACGGTTCTGAAAAGCGCTCTGCTGGTTATGACAAAGGAGGAAATTACAAAGTATACAATGCGTGTTCTCTTTCTGCTACGCCGGAGTGCTGGTCCCAAGGCCATTGAGACGGCAATTGCATAATTGTTCTCACTGCTTGTCTCGTACCTTGGAAGTATGAAAATGGCCGTTGAATGCATCGCTGACCAGTTTTTGTTTTCTACAATCATTTACTTGACAAAGCGGGATATATAGAGTTAAGATACTATTTCCTGCAATGTGATCATTGTTATCTTGTGATTAAGACTAAGTGTTTATTTCTGTATCAGATTGTTGTCATCCGATAGCACCTCTCTTACACAGGATTTAAACTGCATATTATAGAAAGATAGAGACAATTAAATGGGACGTTAAATAACAGCTTACACCGACATTCAACAGCTGGATCGTCCGTGTAGTTTTGGTTTATCTATGGTCATCTAGTCAGTCACCTTAAACGGTCTCTTTTCCATACTAACATACTGTGTAACATTTTCAGTGGTGGGTGATGATGATGTATTGGTGATAAAAGGTGTAAGATATGCTTTCATGTGTGACTTCGAGCCAAATTTCATCAAGTTGGACAAAATATCGTATATTAGATATCTCACTACATGTAATACGATAAAGAATGCACCAAGTTGACCATAAATCTTACTACTTCACGTTCACGAAAACTGTTTGTATACATTTTATCCTACGTGTTACGCGGACAAGCAGCTAAACTTATCGTAACTTATAGAATAAAAGCTTTCAATTGGGATGCGAGCTGTTCTCACTGCAAAACTTTGCCAAAAGCAAGATGATCTCTTTGCTTAGGTTGCAATGTTCTACTTTTTTGCGGCAAATGTCAACAAGATTGATTCATCTAGTCATTGACGCTTGGCCTTCCTTAGCAAACTGCAAACCTTGTAGAGGGCCTTAACAAAAGTTCACAAAGTCAACGGATAGAGCTCTACGGTCCTTATCACTGTGCATAAACGTTTAGATCGCAAAAGTCGGTTTGGTTACACAAAGGTGTGTATGTAAAATACGCACCTGCTACACCATTTTGGTGTGGCTGTACTTTGGCTCACATTTTTTTGATGTAACCGTGCCTATGTACAATGGGCTCACCTACTTGGATAAGTACTATAGATACATATGTGTATATCGACAGAAGGATACAGAGGACTAGCACTAAGTATAGAGTAGATGTTTCTATATTAGTGCTAGAAGATATACAATAAATAAATCAGTTTCAAACCTTCTCTGTATAGCATTTGTTGCTCAAGCCTTTGTGAAAGGAAATACTACTGGTCTCACTAAGTATAGAGTAATTATGATGACGTTAATGAATTTTTCTGGACCCGTCAATGTCTCGAGTGTACTGTGGCCGTTATTGTCGTCATTAAACTCCTTCTGTCCATTCACTGCCTTTTCGTAGCTAGAAGATATACAATAAATAAATCAGTTTCAAACCTTCTCTGTATAGCATATGTTGCTCAAGCCTTTGTGAAAGGAAATACTACTGGTCTCATAGAGACGAAAAGGCACAAGCTTGTAAGGCTAGCCTTGATAGGGTTGTCAATCATAAGACGCGAAGCTAGTAGACTTTTGTCTTCCTCTGTACCTAGTACATAAGTAGCTTTGCTACGGTAGCTCTGCTACACATCTCAAATTTGTTGAAAATAATAACTTTGTAGAATCAAAAATTGGAGTGACGTTTCACAGTTTTTAAATTCTCGACAGCTTGTGGATCTTATGCTGTTGCTATGGTGCAGCAATAAAGCAGCTGATGCATGACCTACTTATTGCTTTTTACTAACTTGCTGAATGCATATGCAAGGCTTTAAAGGACTAATTTTCTTTCCAATTTACTTCTTATCGAACTAGTTGCCTACTGTAGCCGAGCTACTGTAGCCAAGCTACTTATGCACTACGTGCAGAGGAAGACAAGCAAGAGCTTGTACGTCTTAGGATGATTAATCCTTTCTAGGCTAGCTCGCCAGCTTGTGCCTATCGGTTGTCACAACCGGGTCTCAAAGAGACTAGTCTCAAAGATACAACTTCCTGTCTTTCAAGGAAGAGAACGCTCAAGCTGTGATGCTTACAGAGCAGGTTTGAAACTGATTTCTATCTATGTTTATCTTCTAGCACTAAATATAGAATCACCTACTGTATACTTAGTGCTAGTCACTATTTACTGGCTCTACAGCCTATTATTATCATGTAAACATGTAGAGTCATTATACGTAACTAAGTATAGTGACCACGTGGCTCTCTGCCACGATGCGACCCTTCTTACCTTAGGTACGGTCACATCACCTAATTTTGTACCCAAGGTACAGCCACACCACATTGGTGTGGCAGGTGTGTATGTAAAATACACACCTTCGTGTAAACCCGTTACACCCCCCGACCCGACGTATTCACAATTTTTGAGCTTAATGGGAGTCATCGATTTTATTTTCCATTTTGCTTGCCTCGCCGCACTTTAGAACAAAGCTTTAGTGTCTCAACACTTGCTCCTTGAGCACCCGTGCTTTGCACACACGCTTTCTAAGCATTTTAGTGTTACGAAACTTATCTTTGAGCATACAGTGCGTTGAACTCACGCTAAAACATTAAATGTCACGACACTTGCTTATAAACGTTATGTGCCAAGCACTTGGTATTAATACCCATTTGAGTTTACGAACACTTGCTTTAAAGCATTACAGTGTTCACAACACTTGCTTTTAAACACTACAGTGTTCACAACACTTGCTTTTAAGCACTACAGTGTTCACAACACTTGCTTTTAAGCACTACAGTGTTCACAACACTTGCTTTTAAAGCACTTGTCCCTGTTGCGCGTGTTGCATCATGGATGCTGCAATGCGTCGACATTTTTGGGGACGTTGACGGTGACGTTGCTTCTAGGGGCAACGGCGCCGAGTCTCCGTTGGGTAATACTATGTCCCATTATCACCACGCTCACCGAGCGAGGGACGCCGATCCCGTTCGGTGTCTTCTCTTCTAAGGGAACCAACCCAAATTGGCCCACTTTTGTAAGAAAAGCCATGGCTGTCACCATTTTTTTTAAATTTACAGATTTCAAGAGCTTAAACTTGCAACAAAGCGTAATATATAATGTAGCCATAATGCATCTGTTAGGAAACTTGACATTGACAACAACAATGACGAGCTTTTTTAGCGGAGGAGTATCGCATATCCTGTTCCATGCTAATTTTGGGCTACCATGAAGCTATTAAATTTGGGTAGCAAGCGATCTATGTAGTCTTTTTTGTGCATGTAGCTTCACTCAAGTCAAGTGTCATGTATTCAGTGCACTATTGTCGTCTATCTTAACCACTAGTGATCCATGTGACAGGCACCAATCCTTTCGTTTTGCGCAGTTGCAGCCTTGCACTGAAAAAAGCTGCTGAACTTTTTAGCCGGGCAATAAACAATCGAGTGACGTGTTTTGGTTTGCCGTAGTTGTCCTTCTTATCTCCTAAACTTCACGTCTATAGTACCGGCATTCTTCAATTCACTTTGTGTAAAGACCTTCTTTCTACTTTTGTAAGAGTGAGATCAATATAAATTTTGCCACTGTGCTACCTGACGCGAATTAACGTCTATGGCTGATGCGTTCGTGACTGGTATTCACCGTGGTCAGACCGCAACCCAGCGATCCTCTTTGGTCAGGATAGCGAAGCGCTCGCAGAGTTGTTTGTACGCAACAAAAAGGCAGACGACAGTTCTAGGAGCAGTCTTTGTAAGTTCTACCGCAGTCGTGCAGTGAATATGCTATTAACGCTGACTTTGATATCAAGGTGGACCGGAGGATGTAGTAGTAGTAGTAGTAGCTTAGTCGACGCAGCAGATTGGGTGCGACTAAACTAGTTGACTCGATTCTGTATTTGCGTGCTAGCTTCATGCTCATTACTCCTCCTCTTTCTTGTAGCTTGTCGCGATAGGCTTTTTGGTCTATTGAAGGATATGTCAAGAAAGAACAAGCACCATGACAACACTTCACATAAGGTTCAAGACAAAGCTTGGACATTGACACTCTACATGAAGGAAGCAGTGTACGTGCCTTACTGCAACAAGCAGTTCTCTACATGTCCGACGACGCTACTAAGTGAAGCATTAGCTGAAGTCTCATCATGCTGACAAACAGTCTCGACATCTGTCAGTCTCAGACAATCTCAATGTCGCTATACGATCGCTTTTTCAGATCATTTTTCTGGCGTCGAGCGGTGCGTGAAAGAATATGCGGTACACCGCTAAGCGTCTCAAGCTAACTGTATTGTCGATTCATGATTAACACTGCAGCCTTCTTCGCCTTTCGGAGCTCTTCCGTCAATCCATTTTTCTTCAAATTGATCGATGCTAGTTTTGGTAATAGTTGTTGACACTGCGTTTTCCAACGCAAGGCATCAGCTTCTGCTTCATGAAGACGGTGAGTGTGTAATGGGCACTGAAACTCAAGCTCGAACTCATCATCTTTTTCCGTCCCTTGCCGAGTCGCTACAGCTTTATACTTTTCCTCCAGGATGATCGCCATAGCTTCCAAATCTTCCAATCTCATCAATGTGCATTCAGTTTGCTCCATAGACCCACGAAGACACGCTACTTGCTTTGCAAGCGTAGCTTCTCGTCTGATTGATTCAACTAACCTATTCTTAGTATATTCATGTGCTCTCTTCTCTCGATGATACACGCGCCACGCTCGGTATGACGCACCAAGTGAAGTGAGCACGTCTTTGTCATCACTTCCAGGACCACCATCGTTTTCACTGTCGTCAGCAGCAGCACACACTCTCCAATCCAACTCAGTTGTACTGTCTCGAGGTGACCCTCTTACAACCTTTACATCGTCGCAAGGATGGTGCTTGTTCGACATACAACAGCATGCTCTTGAGACTACATTTACCACTTGATGAGTCAGCATAACAAAGCGAGCACGTACGCTCGCTCGCATCATGAAGAGCTCACTTATCATTGAAAGCCGTTTTCTTTTTCCACGATACAGAACGTTGACCTCTTAAGAGAACGGAAAGTGCAAATGCTATTCATGTGTGTCGCTTGACCTTCACACACCTCCACTACTTGAACACTCCAAGTACAAAAGTTAGAGCTCGTATCATCGGCATCTACGCAATGTTAGAGATGCTCGTAGCTAATGAATACATGCTTATCTAATGTAAATCTGCACAATGGAATAAGAATGCGACTCTGCACGAATCGAAATATTTTGTGCATATCGAGCTTGCATGAATATCTCTCCAATCTAACTGCTGTTGGGCCGCAGATAGCTTATGTTAAAAATCATGCAAAAGAATACGGAGGTCTCCTTTTGATGGGATGCTTGAGCTTGTTGAATATGCAAAACTGCTACAAAAGACATCGACCTTGCTGTTTCATGCGAGTTGAATGAGCTTTTATTTTGCCGTTTATAGACGCTGTAGATCGAGACACCACCATCTCATCATGGAGTTGATGGAGTTTCTCACAAACAAACATTCCAAGAGGAACCGCTGAGCTGAAAACTGGCTGCAACGCCAGGCTCATTACAACCTTCTAGTATTTCATTGTGCGTGATAAACATCACGAGATGCATTCCACTAGTTAGAAGTGCTTTCAAATGATACTCACAAGACCAAATTCCAATAAACAAGGTAATTTCAGCTGCCTTCATCGGGCACCCAACCTCAGTATCTGATCCAGACAACCCATGACGTAAGAATCCGCCATCACTCTAGTTATGCGCTCAAAGCATCACTTTCTTATCACAAAGCATTGATTCAAAATATGCAAAGAAATGGCAGTATGGAAGCTAGATCGCGTCCAGTAACGAGTTGACTTGTCCTTGCTTCGAAATGCATTGTAACATCGTCCAGCGCATCTTAGTTTTGCCCTAAAGTAGATACTTTCACGGGGTAAAGCTCAAACTTTTTACCTTGAGCTCGTGTTTCCTCGACAGGTCACACTGCAAAAGTCGTGTCTCAAATGCTGACAAGACGGAAGAGAGCGGATCGTGTAGGCGCACAGTGAGATGCAATAAAGTGCCGCATGACTGGAAAGTTTGTGTGCAACGGCAAGAAATGACGTTCATTTGTTTGTGGTTGAACCAAGCAATAAAACATACATACCCCGTAGCAGACAGTAAACATTAGGACGTGCACTGCATCGTCATTGTCCAGAGCCGCGTATCATCAATCGTGGCACGTACCAAACTAGTTTGGTAACAGCCAGCAGCTTCGTCTGAGAAACGGTACAAGTGCAATGTTTTCCAGTTCCGGACCAGAAATGCACGGACCAACGTTGCAAAAACTTGACAGACCAGGTTTTTCGACGCAGTATTCAATGACATAGATCGACCATTGGCTCAATACGCGGCAAGTCGACTTGGCTGCGTAATAAAGTAGTCTAGTGAATCGTTGTTTTCTTGGTGCGACTGGTCCTGTGAGACACATGGTTGCGTGTGTCTCACAGGACTTGGATCCACACAATCATGAGACACATGATTGCGTGTGTCTCACAGGACTTGGATCCACGCAATCATGAGACACATGATTGCGTGTGTCTCACAGGACTTGGATCCACGCAATCATGAGACACATGATTGCGTGTGTCTCACAGGACTTGGGTCCACGGAATCCTGAGACACATGATTGCGTGTGTCTCACAGGACTTGGATCCACGCAGTCATGAGACACATGATTGCGTGGATCCAAGTCGAAGAGATTTGTTTCATATCGTTTAGCTGACTGCTCGCCTGGATTGCGTCAAGCTTCAAGACGTAGACAGGATTGTCTGCATAGTCTAACCAAGTGATGCCAGAATGTACGATCTGATCCAGTGCCAGTTTCAATGGTGATATGATGAACTGATCCTGAATGGTTCCATATGTTAAAACTGGGACAAGGGATAAGGGTTCGACTTCCGTGCTCGTCCAAGTCTTTTAACCTCCTCATTCTTCATTTGTTGCCAGACCAATGAAGCTCGAGATTCTTAGAATGGCTTTCAAGTGGAGCCTGGTTGTTTTCGCACTGCTCGGGTGCTGTTCATCTCCGAGCGTGGCTACGTCACAATTGATGTTCAAGGGTGCTGCGATCGATAGCTCACGTGCGTCAACATCACGAAACACACCTGATGACATCGCCTTATCAAAGCGGCACCTGAGGTCCAACGTGGCTATGGCAACGGAAGTTGACTCTCCGCTAATTGAGGCTGCAACGAGTATCTCCTTGTGGGAACGCTTGAAACAGAAGATTTGGATATCGATGCGTAAGTAGATGGCACCTTATGAAGTGACTTCCAACCAGGAAACAATGCTAACTCGTGCGCATAATGTAGAGACGGATACGTTGCGGCCGCCAAGTGAAAAAATGGTAAAAAAATATTTTGCCAAGTTTAAGTTAAAGAAGAAGACCCTTGATGGTCTGTTTGAAAGCCCTGCGTTTGTTAGATTGGGTCCAAAAGGTCCGGTCAAAATTAATTCATTTTGACAACGTAGCGAACAGACTCATTTTCTTATTCTTGAAGAACAAGTATAATGCATTAGACGTTACGCTAAAGTTGGATAATATAATTAAAGGCAAGAAACCGGTGCTGGCTCACGAAGAAGTAAGCAGCATTGGACATGTTGGCAAGAACATTGAGGACAAGAGGTATGTATTGGGTAAGGAAAAACTACAAAGCGAGGACTATGCACAGGAGCTCAAGGACATAGCTCGCAATCTGCAAGAAGCACAACTTGCTTGGATTCATTATGACCTGGACACAAAGGGAACTCATTTTATAAGTACTGTGACTGAAACTTACAATCCCCAATTCGACAAAAAAACGATGGATCAGCTGGAAGAAATTAAGGAGCTGTATATGGAAAAATATGGGAATCAAATCTTATAAAAACCTCAGGTTGAAGGAGATGATAGAAAGAAGAGGGTAGTGGTAGTTGGTGACCTTTTGAACGCTTCCTAAAGATTAAATGCTTTTGTCATATACTGTTTTTGATCTTCTTTGTGTTGTATAGTGTTAGCTACGATCACTGCAGCATCTATTTTAGCTAAATATACTTGCTCTATCTAAAGACTTGTTGTGTTGCTGTTATGATACTAAGGTGGTGGTGGTACGACCTCAGCGTTATATTAATGTTGCTCATCTTGACACTGTTTCCTACGCTTCATTTGAAGTAGTATCAGTAGGAGCTCCTCACATGTTGCTACACAATTGTCTTTATATCATCAAGATAATGGTGATGGCTACTCTTCACGAGCTCATATGTATGTATGTAAACGTGTTTCGCGAGCCGTCTTGCAACGAAAGTGTAGGAAAACCACACCGCACGTAGCCTTGTATATGCCCACTAGGAACCGGTTAGTGTTCGGGTAATGGGTATAATCGAGTTAATACATGCCGGTTAGTGCAAATATCAACAAGGTAATGCGTGCGATTACAACTAGCGGCCTGACGTGTTGCAAAGAAGTTGCTCAAGCCCGAACGTGTCTTCGTTAGAAAAAAAGGATTTATTATGTAAATTAAAAAACCTTAACTTAAAGTTTCTTAACCTAAAATTCATATAAAAATCCACTGTAATTTCACTAAACGGGAATTTCATTTCAGTCTCTCACTAAACTCACCATTGCGAAATGCCATCAACTTCCGCATGCGTCGGGTTATCTCTCATTCTCTACGTTTCTCTCTTCTCTCGACCAAAGTCCATTAAGCGGCGCGTGCGATAAAATTGCCTTGGTTTAAGGTTCTTCCAGACTGCGCGGCCCTGAGCACATAGGTGAAGGAAGCACAAGTCGTGAGGCACGTTGAAGGCGGTGGGTGTCCTGCGGAAAGTGTTTGAAGGTCGGCATCTAGAACCATCGGTAGCGTTAGTCGGCGTCTGCCTCTCCATTTGCCGGTCTCACTGGGGCTGAAGAAAGTTTCCATGAAGCAATTGGCCTGCTGGTCTGCGGAGGATGTGGCCAAAAAGGCTCCATCGGCTGCGAAGCAAGTGAAATCGGAGAGGCTCTGTCTTGGTACGGTCGTAGTGCTCGGCATTGTAAATCGTGTCTGGATAACGTACGTTAATCACTTTGCGGAGCTGTTGACGATGGAAACGTTCAAAGCGTGTGTAGCACGGAATCGGTTAGGGCCCAAGTCCCGCAATTGTATAGCAGGATCGGCAAGACGTAGCAGTTGTAGAGGCGAAGGCGCGTAGTTTTCGAGGTTTTCGATGGCCGAAGCCAGATTTTCCCCATGCGGTGGAGCGCGGCGAACGCTAAATTCTTACGACGGGAGACGTCTTCTGCGTCGCCGTGGAGAAAAGCTAGTCTGCGCATAATGCGCCAGTCTTCATCCTTGGCACGTGAATTCGGTTGGACTGCGCTGTTGAGCTGCGTTGTTTCGGTCTTGGACATGTTCATCTGGAGTGACCATTTGGCCAAATCAGCAGGGGCTTCAGTCTCGATCAGGGTACTATTTCAGCGCTTTGGCAGACGAAGTCGGCGTCGTCGGCGTACACGATCATGTCAGCGAGGAGATCGTGGGGTACGTTGAGCTGGCTGGCATAGGTCTCGTAAAGCTGCTTCAATGTAAACAACAAAAAGAACACGGGACAATGGATCACCTCGGGGAGTACCTGTATTGCTCTCGAAAGGTGAGAGCAGGCGATTGCCGAGTCGGAGGGAGAGCAGTGTGTCCGTAGTAGTAGTCGGATCAGTCGAACTTCATTATCATCAAGAAGTGGATCGAGCACGGGGAGAAGTTTGTCGCGGTTGACGGTGTCAAAAGCACGGGAGAGGTCGATTCCAAGAATATAGAATCGTTCTCTGTACCTCTGAGCACGTGCTGCTATCCACCTGTGGGCCCACACTGTATCAGTAGTGTTGCGACTGGGTCTGAACCCGCTTTGGTGCGGGGACAGAAATCGTTCGACCTTGGGGAAGATGCGACGAAGCACCACTAAAGAGATCGCTTTACGGATGCTGTTGAGTAGGACGATAGATCGAAGGCTAGCGAATTGGCCAGCCGGCATGATTGGTTGTGGGAGTCCGAGAAGAATCCCGTCGCCCAGATGGATGCTGTCTCCTGTGGCAAGTCCGTGATTGATGATGTTGGTGAGGGGTTGAGCTAGTAGCTCTGATCCATACTTGAGTAACTCGGCAGGTGTAGAGTCCGGGCCCGGTGCGCGTCCATTGCGCAAGCGACGAAACGCGCGTTCGAGCTCGTATGTGGTAATCGGGTTCTTTATGGAACGTGTAAGGCCGTCGGCGGCGACGGGCATGCGTTGTTGGAGTCCGAGAACTGGTTCGTGAAGTTTTGCTTAATGTTGGTGCCTGCTTCTGGCGGCTGAGAATATATTTACCTGTAGAGTTACATAGCGAGGTCAATGGTGAGCGCCGTCGGAAGAGGGCGCTTACTATCGCTTCAAACATGTGAGTCGAGCGGTTCGACTATCCAATGATGGCAAGTTTTTCGTCGATGAAAGCTCCAGCAAGAGCTTTGCTGCGTGCTTGGATTCGGTGCAAAAGTCGATTGCGTTAGTATGTAGAGCCGTGCCGTCTTGAGTGTGGTCGTTGTAGATGAGCTGCCGAAGGTGTCGTTGTTCGTACGAGAGGCAGGAAAGCTCGAGAACCACCACTTTAGTATGGTGGGCGAGCGGCATGTAGCCGAAAGAGTCTTTCGCAGCCTGTAGTGTAGAGTGAAGAGTGGTTGTCCAGTGTTGGTTCGCAATTTTCCGTTGTTGCGGGAGGTCAGCAAGGTTTTTGTCAAGAAGTTGTCGATGCAAGGTGCGATACCTGCTGTCATGGGCAAGAAAATGTGTCGCCAAGAGCGTTTCGGCTTCGCTGCTACGTGCTTGCTCTTGACGTCGGCGGAGTTCGCGGAGAGCGCGGAGATCGAGGTCGAGCGTGACGAGCTTGTCGTCCGATGGTGTGAGAGTGCCACCCCAGGATTGCGTGTTGCTGCATAATTTTTTCGTCCGTTGGCTGCATAATTTTTTTCGTCCGTTGGCTGCATAATTTTTTCGTCCGTTGGCTGCATAATTTTTTCGTCCGTTGGCTGCAGATGATGTAGTCAATTTGGTTAAAGATGCAGTGGTCCTTGAGTCGGAGTGTCCATGTCGTGATGTCGCGCGCGCGTTTTCGAAATGCTGTATTAGTAATGAATAATTCGTTAGCATCACGGAAGAGGCGAGGATCTGGCCATTGCGATTCCTTCGGCCACGGTCCCATTACCCGAGAAATGACTCTGTTTCGCGGCGTTGACCGATTTTAGCGTTAAAATCACCAAGGATAATGGTCGTGTCGCGTTGGGGGAGCTTAGAGAGCGCTGTGGTCAAGGTCCACGTAGAAGCTGTCGATGGCTGCTACAGGATACCCACTATGGGGCGCATATACATTGACAATGTTCACTCGTTGGGCTTTAGGCAGACGTAGTTGGAGGACTCCAGCTCGGTCAGACTGGGCCCAGTATTTGTAAAAAAAAAATCTGCGTAGTGGGGGCAACGGAAAGCCAATACCGTGTTAACGGTTTGATCATGAAGTGTCAGGAGATGATACGTACCGGTCTTCTGCTCGCTCTGGAAAGCAACGCGAGTTTCTTGGATCCCTACGATATCGATCTTGTAAGTCGACAGGTTCCGAGGAAGCGTCTCATGCTGCTTGCGCTGGGAACTAATGGATTGCACATTAAACGTACCTACGCGGAGATGCCGGGGCGTAGCTGCAAGCGTCGTGGCGGCTTGGCTGGCGGCTGGGAGTGAGATAGGGTAGAGAGAGGTGTAGCGAGGGAGAGACCCGTTAAAGACTGACGGATGCGGTGAAGCACCCGTCGGAAGGCCTGAGTTAGCATCATGCTGGCCCAAGTTTCCCGGGAAGGCGTCACCCCCACCCGATCAGGATGATCTCATATACAACAACAAAGGTTTCACAAGAGGGCCAAGTTGGACTTATTATCAGAGATCCACATCTGCTCTTGTCTCTTTCTCTGTGAAGCGATCTCTACATGTATCGTCCGTCACATCTGCACATTCGACCAGCAACGGGAAAAAGCCAGCGTCACAGTGTTGAAAAAGGTAAGGTGTTGAGGCAGATCTTTGCAGGAGGCTCGTATGCGTCCAAGAGAGCGACTGTCAATTGTGTACGGTTGCGTATAATCGTGATCTCGTCTGACCATACATTGAAGGTGGTGGTAGAAAGGAGCTGGTAAACGTTACGATAGCTAGTAAACGGTACGATAGCTAGTAGACGGCAAGATAGCTAGTAGACGGCAAGATAGCTAGTAAATGTGGTAAATAGTAACGGTAGCTTAGCAAGCACATAGACATAACAATAACGACACAATCAAATTTCCCCTCATCCAACTAGCTATTTCCTACAGGTTATGAGCCCAGTGGCTGGACAAAACAACACGAATGTCGCACCGGCATCAACAGGTCACGCAAGGGCCACGCCGGGACGAAAATTGCCATCGCGTGCGGCAACGCCACTACGACATGCCGGAGAGCTGACTCATTTTGAAACTTCAATCGAGCTTGGGAGAGGGTCAATTGGACGTGAGACGGTCGACACGCATGTTGAGGCTTTTCCACACCGCCAAGATACGCGAAAATACTTTGGCTGCGGAAAGGCGGGACACATCCAAGCGAATTGTCGTGAGAAGGGTAAAGGCGCTGTCAGAAAGGCAAAGGGCGATGGTCACCAGAAGGTCAGCAAAGACGATATAGTCCTCGCAATGGGCGAAATTAAATCGCACAAGGACGCGCGTCGGGAAAGGGCGTAAGTCGGCAGCTGAGACCGTGAATGCGGTCGGTGTCGTCGACAACAGTGACTTGAGCGACTGGATCCTGGTCATGGATCAAGTCGTCACTTGGTGAACAACGTGTCATTGATGCAAGATATCGACATCTGCGACCATGAAGTTTGCATGGCAGATGAGAAGTCCCTCAATCTAACAATTCATGGAAGCGTGCGCTTAGCTGTCATCGCGAATGGAGAAATAAAAACCACCAAACTGACGGACTTTTCCTTGGCGCCGCTGCTTGCGCGCAGCATAATCTCGTATAGAAGGATTAAGCAGAAAGGGTTTCGATTTGGGTGTACAACGGATCAAGTCGTGCACTCGTCCGACGCGGCGATAATACAATCGCTTTCGACGTCTCTATGCACACGAACGTGCTGTACGTGCAGACAAGTGTAACAGAAGCTCATCAAGAAAAACCATCGGACGTTCTCATGTCTGTGCTCTCCAATGTGGGATCGAGCGCACCAGATAGGGATGTGCAGCGTAGATCGTTGATGCACTTTCACGCTAGGTTCGGTCATCTAACTCTCGACACGGTCGAGCGCATAGCGAGGGTATCAGGATCCGATATCAAAATTACCGATCATGAAAAGACGATGTGCAAAATAGGGAAGCAGACGAAGAACAAGCAGTCGTAGGTCGACAGTGGAATACATGCTCCGATTGATCGTATTGGCGGTGAAATTTGGTCGGACCTAAAAGGTCTACTGACACCACGTAATCGGCTTGGAAACCGGTGCCTTGTCAGCTTCGTCGACCTTATTTCAAACTATTGCCGCGTTTTCTTGGCGCCAACAAAGTACAAGGTAGCGAGAAAGCTTGAATAATTTTCTCTAGTATTTTGAAAAGAGGTTCGACTGCCCAATAATAGCCAATAGTAAATAACGTGCAGTATCTGCTATTCGGATACTGCATATACCTACTTATATCATTATGTAATAAAACCTTCGTCGGCATGTTGACGACGTTGATGCCGTAGTGACGGAATCCATATGCGCGCTCGAATATGTGGAAGGTTCTCCACATCTCGGTTGCTACATTCAAGTAGCTAGCCCTCCGTGCTTTGCTGCTGCGATCACATCTCTATCAGCCCTAGCATGGACAGATTTTCTCCATGCCCTCAAGATCGGCGACACCAAGCAAGTGTGCATCATATCTACCGCCGAATCAGCTACATAAGAAGTTTTGGAGGCTCTCCCAACGAGCGCCAAGCCCAAATCAGCGCGCGAAGAACGTTTCGAAACACAGTCCCGGGAAGCCCTTCTTGCTTTGGGCAACCCTGCCTACGCTATCGCCTGCGCGTATGCCGATATCTGGCCGGAGACAATTCCTGCTGAGCTTCCAGCTGATGGTGGAGTGCGGCACGATATTGACCTCGTGCCTAGGTCGAAGTATTGGGTAACGCGGCAGTGGCCGTTACCTCGTGATCAAGTCATCGTAATTGATGAAATTTTTGAGGGCCGCCGTAGAGCAGGCCATGTTTGCGAGAGTGTCTCTCCACATTCGAGCCCTACTTTCTGTGTGAAGAAATCCGCCGGCGGTTGGCGCATTGTACATGCTTTCAACAAGCTAAATGAAACCACGATCCCGGCTCAAACGCCAATCCTGCGCAAAGACATGGTATCGAATAACATGACTGGCAGCGAGATTTTCAGTGCCATTGACCTGACAGACGGGTTTTATCAGATCCTAATGAGAGACAGTGATACTACATTCACTGCGGTCAGCACCCCCAGTGGGATACTATGAGAGTGGCTAGTCATGACACAAGGCCTTAAGAACGCTACAGCTATGTTCAACCAACCGGATGTTGACACAACTACCTCTCCCGCTACGCGATTTTGCATAAAGCTATTTCGACGACAATTTTGTACACAGCCGAGCTGAGCAACAGCTTAGCGCCACGGAGGTTCACATTCGGCACTTGAACAAGTGTTTCAAGTGATGTGTGAGAACAAGTTATATGCGAATTTGAAAAAGTGTGTCTTCTGTGTTCCCGAGATTCCAGTACTCGGTTGTTATGTCAGCAAGGAAGGTGTCCGTCCCAGGAGCCAAACTTAATTACGACAATGGCTCGGCCTGGCTAATTACTTACATAAGTATACGAAGAATTACGTCGAGTTACTTCAACCATTATCGACTTTGCTGAAGGAAGACGCAGTTTGGTCATGGAAGGCAGAACATCAATTTGCGTTCGACTACGTAAAAAAGAGGTTGTCTGAGGCACCAGTGCTAATGCTGCCTGATGCTTCCAAGCCATTTCACGTTGTTTGTGACGCGAGCAGCTTTGCGATTGGATGTGCCCTCATGCAATGTGACGATGAGGGCCGAGAACGCGTCGTGAGTTGTCAGTCGCAACAGATGAAACCTTCCGAAAGAACTATCCGGTACATGATAAAGAACGTCTGGCTATGCGTTATGCGCTGATCAAGCTCAGGGTATATTTACTCGGTGAGAAGATGTTTTCAGTATATTCAGATCATGCATCACTGCGTACCGCCGTGAAGACCCCTCACCTGTCTCAGCGTATGACTCGTTGGTTGCCTTTCTTCTCAGAAGTTAACTTCGTGGTGAATTACAAGCCCGGAAAGAATAACATCCTTGCTGACGAGCTTTCTCCGCTTCCCGATTACGATCCCTGACGCGACATGGACCATCAGCCAGGTAGTGCCGATGGCGAAGACGATGACATTTGTTTGTGCTGTATCGAGCTGGGGCTCATGGCAATGATCTCGACACCTGTGCTATCAATTCGGTCTCAGATCGCTAAGCCTTACGCAAATGATTCCTTCTACTCAGGAGTTATCAACTATCTTTGACATCCTAGTGGACCCACTGTGAGTGGTTGAAGAGAACTCCTTCGTACTTAGTACGAATTAAAAACAAAACAAAAATATAAACTGAGTTAATTTTACCTTACACAAGGACAGCGCTTCCTCTAGTTCCCTTATGTTGCAAGACATTAACGGACTATTACCCCGTTTCAAGAAGCCACGCGTCCACCTACGACTGGAAGCTGGCTAAGCAAATTGCGCGCTTTTTGAAAGCAACACGAGGACTGGAACTGCGGTTAACACCACGAATTAGAGGGCGAGATGCTTTGCGAGATAAACATGGCGCCGCTTTTGCCCATGCTGATGCATGTAGATAATCAGGCGACTATCAAGCAATTCGAAGGAGAAGCTTCATCGACCAAGGCCAAGCACATTGACGTGCGAATCAAGTTCTTTTGCGACTATGCTAGACGTGGCGTCGTGATTGTACAATACGTGCGCTTCGAGGAGATGCTTGAAGACTTGTTGACCAAAGCATTAGACCCGGTCAAGCTTGCGAGGTTGCGCGTGCTTATTTACATGACGTAGTCGTGCAGGGACTTGACGATGCAAAAGGTTGAAGGAAGATGCCATGAAGATTTGTGATGGTGGTACGACTGCGGTCCAGAACCTGGCATTTGAGGAGGAGGGTTGAAAAAGATAACGTATTTGAGGCAGATATTTGCAGAAGGCTCGTATGCTTGCAAGAGAGCGTCTGTCAGTTCTGTACGGTTGCGTATAATTGTGATCTCGTCTGATTTTACATTGAAGTTAGTGGTATAGAAAGGAGCTGGTAAATGGTACGAGAAGTAGTAAACGGTACGATAGCTAGTAGACGGCAAGATAGCTAGTAAACGGCAAGATAGCTGGTAAACATTAACGGTAGCTTAGCAAGCACATAGACATAACAATAACGACAGAATCAAATTTACCCTCATCCAACTAGCTATTTCTTACACGCAGTGCATACACTTAATAAAGGAAAAGAAGGAAGAAGCAGTAAGAGAGACGGACACGTCGTTGATACTACAAAGCAGCATCATCATTAAGAGAGAGATTCAAGGGTTTATCTATTGGTGCGGTAGCATATCATCAACGCCTCATTTATGAGCCTTAGATATGAAATTAACTGTATTGTAATTTGCATATAGTAATATTGCTTTGGATCGTTTTTTAATGGATAATATGATTCACATAACGATGACATAATAAGAACAATACGACTGAGCGCTATTTAATGAAATGAAAACAATCTTCCTATCTGACTGGATATTTAGCTGGGCACAAACTGTAGATCAGATTCCTATTCCTGTAGACGCGAAGCAGAACTAGCTTCTAATTGGCTCTATTTGAAATGACGTGCAAAAAGGATGCTCTCGCTGTTCATGACCTTGTTTTCATTTAGGCCTTAACATTGAAAGTAGTGATCAGTCAAGCTGAAAAGAAGGTTACTGCTCGATAGCACATAAAAGCTATAGCAGAACAGAACCGTGATCTTTTGTTTTTTGCCATGTCAAATGTACTGGTCAGAAAAACGTCTTGGAACCAGGCAATTTATTTGTACATTGTCTTGAATATACATAGGCCAACGTGAGTCACTTGTGCTTGACACGATAGATACAATGCGTCCTAGCTTTGTAGTACTACTTGTCGCAATCACCTTGGTCGTATGGAGAAATGATTCTTCTGTTGTCGCGAAAGACATGATCATTACGACTAACAGCCACACACCAATGTTTGAGCTACCACCAGTGCGTCGATTTCTGAAGGGAAGTACTACTGTGCCTTCTAGTGTTGACGATAGTACGACAAAGTTAAAGGTAGAGGAGAGAATGTCAGTTCCAAGCATCTTTAGTATAAATCGATGGAAGGATAAACTCCAGAAGGCCGTCGCTCTTGTCCGGGATAGGGCAACGACCCAAAAAACGCGTATTGCAGAATTTTTGGCTCAGAATCCTGCTATCAAGAAGGAGCTGATAGTAGCAACTGTTTTAATATCGCTGATCGTAGCAGTTCCACCTCTAGTCAAGTCATTTTATCCTGCATAGAAAAATACGTTAGATAGTAAAAGCATTGCAGCACAATTTGAATCGAAAACATTATGCGGATCTTTGCATTTTTTCAAATGAGAAATAGTTTCACCTATCTCCTTGTGTTAGTACTAGATTTGTTGTTGCACTTTGCTTTGCATGCTTGCACTTCTGTTAAAGTATTGTTACATGTGTTGTTTTGCACGAGTCTACATACACACATACATATATCTATGACGTAGAATTTGTTAATCTTATGGTGATGATGAAGATTCGTTGCACGGTTGCGTTGACGATGACGTTGAAGTACAATTCCGCTTCATGTACCGGTCGAATTTACAGTCAGCAAACAATTGACAACATTAGGAGGAAAATCCTAGCAATGACTGAGATAGATAGAGTAAACTTAAAATAGAGATCCTTAAATTGCATAGCCCTATTTATTCCATTTCATTGTGCTATGGCGGTATGAACTTGATGAACCGTAGTATCAATAATTACGTGTAGGCCTTATTTAAAGAAATCCAAAGTTTTGACCAATCAATGTACAGTACGAATACTTTGTACTGCATATACCAAGCCATGAACCATCGAGCTCACAGCACTGAGCTCCCGACTCTTGCTCGCAGTGGCTTTCGCTCTTCCTATAGTCGTTTACATGGCAAGTTTCGTCAAATTCCACAATCTGTACTTATTGTAATAGTGTTGGTCGTCCTTGGTCTGCTCGTCGTGACAGCCGATTTCGTGTTTATATGGCAGGCCACATCAGGTACTGAAGGTCAAGACCATGTAGCAATTTTTCAGGAGAATAATAGGAATCCATTGGGGCAAAAATTTGATAGGATACCGCTGGTTGATAATCCGGTTATTTCTTCCAGGAATATGAAGCATATGGAGAAGCAGCTCGTGTACACGCTTCACAGGATAGCGCAAAACACAAGTGAGAAGCGTGGTATTGTGCTGCCAATGTTTGACAAAATTGCAACGTGGGGAGTATCGCAGATAATGCAACTACGAGCGATGAATGTAGCGCTGCCAGTTGAAGTACCACATTGTGGGGATTGGAACGTATTAAGGCAACGCGCAGTACTCGAGAAGGAAGATTTAGGTATTATTCGTTTCTATGATGTTTGCTTGTTGGCCTTCGAAACCACCAGTTTGCTTGATTCGTCGCGTAAAGTGTTCTGTTTGAACATGAAAAGCTGTCAAAAAAAGTATCGCTCCTTCAACATCAAGGTGCTGGCTGTGGTCTTCTCGCAGTTTGAGGAGATTATGCTCCTTGATGCCGACACGTTGCTTTTTGAAAGCCCAATGATGCTTTGGGAGACGGAAAAGTATTGCACGACTGGTACGCTATTCTTCCACGACCGTCTGAGTCAGGAGAACCAATATTTGGGTAAACGGATTGGTAAAAATGCGCATGTGAGCAGACTGAACCGATATATTTCGCAGTTTGATGTGGCATATTTTGCACCGCTAAGAAATATTGAGCGACCAAAAGCAACAAGCAAGAACAAGATTCCAGTGAGCTTGAATAATTACTCGCCTAGCGAGCACCTACTAACAAGCCACTCGTGGAACCAGCGCGCAGGCCACGAGATGGACTCGTCGTTGGTGTTGTGGAACAAGAAGCGGCAGCCGCGAGCAACTGCGATTCTGGCAGCATTTATGGCAGGAAACGGTATCAGAGGACCCCCATCCTATGGCGACAAGGAATTGTTCTTCATAGCCGCTGAGCTTGCTGAAACGCAATACGCCTTTTCTGATTTTGGAGTAGGTAGCTTTGGCTGGGATTTTCGTGATAATGGCCCGGGCAAATCGGTTCTCTGTGGTTGTGCCATGCACTACTACCCGGTGAAATCTATGAACACTAGTGATCTTGTCAACACAAGCTTGCTATATGTGAACTGTGAAGACCCATTTGTGGAGGACGGTTTTACTAAAAAACCTATCTACTACACTCAAGCGCGGTTGTACGAGGTATATGCCGGTTCTTTCAAAAAGCATAAACTTTCACAGGAATGTCCTTTTGATATCACGGGCGTACGTTTAACCTCTGCGCAGGAAGACTTGATTTTGATGCGTCAACGCTTTATTAAGATTGCTAAGGCCATAATGGGATGAATACGACATGGAAGATTATAGTGATACAGTAAATTCAATGATACCACAGCATTGCCATTCGTCCCTGTTTATATAAATAAAGTATCACATCCGATACTCTGCTGAAACCCATCAGTTTCTTTTGCTTGCGGTTTCGACATGTGTTTGCTCATTTTATAAACATATAACCTATACTAATTCATATTTCATCGATCTTCCGTCATCAATATTGCATTGTCTCACCTGTGACGTCATTCCGCACTCACCAATCCGCATTGTCAAAAAGGAAACTCACACAGCAGTCCGCACTCGGTGTGATCGACCATCACTCTGTTTCCTCGCTTTGCCATGGCTCGCTCACTTGGTTCGTCCGTGCGGCTTCGGTGGATTCTAATCCTCCTTGCTGCAGTTATCATCATTGTACTTTCCGACTTTCTCTTTACGTGGCAACAGCTCACCACGTCGTTCTCGCCCTTATCCTTTCCATCCATTCGTGGCCGCTTCAACGTCACTATTCTAGCCACGTATGACGCACTGCCTCGAGCTAATGACACGTTTAATGTACATGTGTTTGCATTCTTTTATGTCACCAGAGTGTGAGTGCGAGTGAAGCTTGTAAACTTTTGCTCACGATTGATCTTGCTGTGCTTGCTATGACAAATGCTTTAGGTGTTACAAATTAAGGTGGAAAATGAGGAGGACACAATGAGAATGAAGACAGAACAGCTCAAAGCTGGAGAGATGGAAGTCATGAAGCAGGAGAATCGGATTGAGAATCTTGAGACGCTATTACTCCACTCACTGTACCATTTGACGCAAAATACAATTGAAATGCGTGGGATTGTATTGCCTCTACATGATGGTTTCGTGTCGTTGGGACTGTCACTAGTGATGGAGTTACGATCACTGGGTGTCATGCTGCCAGTGGAGATCCCGCATTGCGGAGATCTAAACCAGAAACTGGTGGCAACGATTGAAAAAAAGAGGAAACAGTTGGGATCAATTTATGTGTATGATGTATGTGCATTAGCTGCCAAGGAGAAGAGTTTGCTGGATGATAGCAAACCAATCTTTTGCAAGGACTTGGATGAGTGTCATCATAAGTTTCGTACGTCTGATATTAAAGTGCTGGCATTGATCTATTCGCGCTTTGAAGAGGTAATGCTCATAGACGCCGATATACTCCTGTTACAGAGTCCCATGCCGCTGTGGGAGACGGACAAGTACCAAACGACTGGCACCCTGTTCTTTAACGACAGGATCAGTCAGACCAACACGTCGCTGGGGTATCGACCGGCTTTGCGTCCGAATGTCACGAACTTTCTCCACTACTTGTTCAACGCTGATGTGAGCGTCTTTTGACAACTTCCTACCATTCCACGCAACAAGACGACGGTTGTGTCAGATGATATTTGCCCTTTGAACCGAGCGACATTTTGTTAAATAGCCACGTGTGGAACGACCGGAGCAGTCACCAGATGGATTCGTCTTTGCTACTATGGAACAAGAAACGGCAGCCTCGTGCTACTGCTGTGTTGGCCTCATTCGTTTCACTGAATAAAGTTGATCGACCCCCTTCCGACGCCGATAAGGAGCTTTTCTTCGTCGCTTGTGAGCTTGCCGAAACACAATACGCATTTTCGGACGTCGGAGTGGGAGCTACTGCAGATGATGTTATGGGCTACGGTGAATTTAACTCGCTATATTGTGGTCAGCCAGCGCAATTTTACCTGAGAAATTACAAGACGAGAGTGGTTTTAGCTTGCTATTTATAAAAGTGAATTCTATTATGGATTACAAACCGAAGACGCAACCCTTGTATTTTGCGTACGTTCGCGCTGCAGACATTTACCCCGGTCCTCTGGCATCTGGAAATTTTTCAAGGATTGTCCGTTGAATGTTAGCAGGGAAACGTTTCGGCAGCTCAGGTCCAGCGCGTGCTAGCGCGGCAACGCTTCTACGACATTTCAGTTGAGTGGGAGCACAACGCCATAACAATCGAAAATGAACTTGAGCAGACTCAAGCAGATGATCTTGCTAATACAAAGCTTGAATTTGTCATGGAACAATTGTCGAACGGGGCACCATTTGACGAGTATTATGCCAAAACTGGTACAATGGCAGGTGCAACTGATCCTGCTTTTACTCCAACGTCACTAAAGTCTCTAGTGACTGAAGAAACAAAAGAACGGGCCGAGTACATGGATGAAGCAACTAAACGCGCCGAGATAGAACGAAAATTGGAGACGAGGCTGATTCACTCGCTCAGCACGTTGAGTCAACAAACGACGAGCATGCAGCGTGGCATTGTACTTCCATTGTACCGTAATATCACGACGCTCAGTGTCTCACTAATTTTGCAACTGCGCTCCCTTGGTGTGGATCTACCGATTGAGGCACCGCACTGCGGCGATTTGATGAAAGTTACGGAGAAACGATGATGAGGAAACATGATCAGCTAGGTGAAGTGTATGTATACGATGCATGCAGGCGTGCTGCAACTGCTAAAAGTTTGCTGGATCCCAGCAAATCACTTTTTTGTGACAACTTGGATCAGTGCCACAATATCTTTAGGAATTTCTTATTAAGGTGGTGGATACAGTGTACTCACGTTTCGACGAGATCATGCTTATGGATGCAGACGCATTACTGTTTAAATGTATCTGAGCGTGAGGCAGCAGATACGCTCACATACCAGAAACTGAAGACACCAATGAACCGGATAAGTAATGGTCCACCATTTAAAGATGCCAGTGATCCTCCTCTAAATCATTACAACGAAGAGGAGGAAGCGAAGAAAGCGGCTGATTTAAAAAGTAAGACGGACGAACTGAGAGAACAGGAGAAACAGCTTTTTTACACGCTGAATCAGATCGCGCAGCAGACAACAGTGAAACGCGGGATAGTAATCCCAGTGTACGATGGCAATATCAAACTGGCTATTTCACTGGTGTTGGAATTGCGCACCATCGGCATTATGGAATCAATTGAGATGCCGCATTGCGGCAACCTGAACTCGGATGTTCAGAAGACGTATTTGGCAAAAAGCAGCTAGGCACAATTTGGCTCTATGACGTATGCGCGAAGGCGGAAGAAACAACGAGTATTATAGATCCATCTCGGAAAGTATTCTACGAGAAGATCGAAGTTTGCCACATGAAGTTTCGTAACTTTATGATGAAGTCTATGTCGTTGACGTTTTCAAGGTTCGAGGAAATCATGATGATAAACGCAGGCACGGTATTCTTTGCGAGCCCCGCAAAGCTGTGGGAAACGAAGAAGTACAACAAGACAGGCAATTTCTTCATGCACGACCGAATTATTGAAGAAGCATCGTATATGGCCAAGAATTCGCTCGAATAGTGAAACACGTAGAATCCTTACCACCATTTGACTTGCATTGATGAAGTGGAAGTCAACTCGATACTTGATTGGCGCCTTGACTTGACCTGACTTGTCGCATGATTGATCCTCTTTATTTCAATTAACAGATCTAACAGGTCTTATGTCTTGCCAAACTCGATAATAATAAGGCTCAATCAAATAGGTTCATGCCACAAGTTCTCTTATATCAAATATTTTACCATGGTTAACGTCAAGAATAGTAGCTCCCCCGCCTTTAAAGCCTTTGTAGATGCCTCTGTATGTTCTTATGACTTAGGACTTCTATGTTTCTTTATCTATGATCAATGTTATGGAAGTATTAATAATCATAGTATTATTTATAATGGTCTGTTTTATCCAGGCTGGCGCTATGGGTGCACTATTTACTGCCGTTCTGCTATATCCACTGGACGTGGTGAAGACGCGCCGTCAAGTGGAAGTGGACAACAGCAATGAGGAGGAGCATAAAACGGATGATGAATTCAAGGTCAAAGCTCTTGCTCTGCGCAAAAAGAAGGAGCACAACTTGCTGGTGGCTGTATGGCTTGTTTACCGCAAAGAAGGCATGGAGGGTCTTTTCGCTGGCCTTAGCTCCAAGGTTATACATACTGTATTGTCCAATTTTGCTTATTTCTACTGGTATTCGTTCCTTAAGACGGCGGTGGAGAAGCATTCGAGCATGCCCATTACGACCAGTATGAGTTTGCTTATGGCTTCTACAGCGGGGGCGCTAAACATGTCCATGACGCTCCCGCTAGAGATGATTAACACGCGAGCTCAGATTCAGTCCAGTGAAGATGAAGCTAGTGATGCAGATGGTAACGAGAAGGAAAAAGAGCCACGTAAACGCACTATGTGGGGTATTGCCAATGAGATTTATGCGGAGGATGGCCTGATGTCATTCTGGAAGGGGTTTATCCCTTCCTTGGTACTGGTAAGCAACCCATCAATCAATTATACAATCTTCGACAAGCTCAAGTTACAGCTGCAACAATCCAAGATGGTAGCAAGCAATGCAAAGCGTGCGAGCTCGCTGACAGCGTTGGAAGCGTTTCTTCTGGCTGCCATCGCCAAGGTGGTGGCTACTATCATCACGTACCCAATCATTCGCGCAAAGATCCTGATACAAGCTCAGAAGAAGCAGATTACAGAACAACAGAAGAGTGCACACGGTTACCATCACGCCGAAATGGGCAACTCTATGGTGCAGGTGCTTAGGCGTATTGGCGAGCTGGAAGGCCCGAGGGGCTACTTCAAAGGCTGTTCGGCACAGCTTTTCAACACGGTTCTGAAAAGCGCTCTGCTGGTTATGACAAAGGAGGAAATTACAAAGTATACAATGCGTGTTCTCTTTCTGCTACGCCGGAGTGCTGGTCCCAAGGCCATTGAGACGGCAATTGCATAATTGTTCTCACTGCTTGTCTCGTACCTTGGAAGTATGAAAATGGCCGTTGAATGCATCGCTGACCAGTTTTTGTTTTCTACAATCATTTACTTGACAAAGCGGGATATATAGAGTTAAGATACTATTTCCTGCAATGTGATCATTGTTATCTTGTGATTAAGACTAAGTGTTTATTTCTGTATCAGATTGTTGTCATCCGATAGCACCTCTCTTACACAGGATTTAAACTGCATATTATAGAAAGATAGAGACAATTAAATGGGACGTTAAATAACAGCTTACACCGACATTCAACAGCTGGATCGTCCGTGTAGTTTTGGTTTATCTATGGTCATCTAGTCAGTCACCTTAAACGGTCTCTTTTCCATACTAACATACTGTGTAACATTTTCAGTGGTGGGTGATGATGATGTATTGGTGATAAAAGGTGTAAGATATGCTTTCATGTGTGACTTCGAGCCAAATTTCATCAAGTTGGACAAATATCGTATATTAGATATCTCACTACATGCAAATATTTGTAAAGTAAACAAATCAAATAACTACATTCAAGATTATGAATGCAAGAAACGTGTAAAGTAGCTGTAACACACCAGACTTTTGCTGAACATAGGATTTATTTCAATGGCTCTAGAGAAAGCTCGAATGCACTTGATTGTTCTTACCACGACGATGACGTATAATACGGACGTACTGTATGCATCATCCAATTGTTGAGACGCACGAATGTTTTTTTTTGCAACATATTGTGCGAAATACAAAAGTGTTAGTCCATTCCGCCACAATGTTGCATGTAATATACTTTCTAGATACGTGTGAAGACGCTTGACCCACGTTTATTGCACGAAACATCGAATATCCCGTTCTTCCTATCGACATTAGCTACACCACAGGTGTCGTCTCGCTCACGGTCTCAAAGGAAAGGATGAAGGGACATTCTTTTTGGGAACGATTACGCCCGCAAAAGGACTTTCATTCGTCATAAACCTTATCGAGCTGTATTGATGTCATGACAAATTCGAGCACGCTAGTAGCACGATCCAGAGATACAAAATCATCCAGATGAGTTTGTAATCCATTTAGCACCAAATGCAGTCTGGTGCTACGACAGTCCATTCAGAATAGACCATAAACTCATTTCGATGATTTTGTTTCTTCCTCACAGGACGGACACCTTCGCTCACGAAGGAATATATTTACACGCAATTGTTGAATGTTGTCAAACATATAAGTTTGTTTGCGCAATTAATTGACAAAGAATCGTGCACTGCCAAGATTCTACATGGTTATCGTAGTGTCCATAAATATGCTTGGTCCAGGGCTTACGCGGTATTTATGTATGTGAAACGCGTGGATAATGCAGTAGTTGGTCATTCCCCAAAGAGTCCCTTTCGTCCCTTCTTTGACATAAGGAGGAATCAGGCAAGAACGTATTTGATTGTCGATCCAACTTCCATGATTACAGCGCTGCTTTGCAAAGTCCTTTTTGCGGAAGAATCTCGCTGTCAAGTGCAACGAGAACGTGTGGAACGTGGAACAAAGCCCCAATGACATGTTAGCATAAGTAGCTTTAACTAAAAGGTCCATTTCATATGTTTATTCTGCATCAAGAACACTGTTGCATATAGCTTTTATCATATTGAGGTGGTCTCTCAGTGGCACTTTGACGCTGCATATCACAGTCAGCACGATGTCCGTATATAATATCGCTTCGTTGCAGTCCGATTATTTCCCGGTGGTGTATGTATAAAATGTGCAACGTGTATTGAAATGAACGCTACAGAAATGAACAACTTACATACCAGAATTGTATACATCATTTTAGAACGCATGAAACACCAGCTCTAACCGTCCTGTCTGTGTGCCTGTGATTATGCATGCATCAGCATTCTTGACTCCTCATTGGTGCATTCTTGTCGTATCAGCCAATGTTCCGCTACCTCAACATCCTCATTTCTCAAAAGTCGCTGAGCTACTCACTACTGCATCTATATTACCATGACCATACCAACTTGTAAAACTGATAAAATGACAAGTCACTGCTTGCTTACTTTCCAGATGCGTTCACTGCGTCCCGTGTCTGTCAAGATTGTCTCATATGGTCGTGAAAATCAGCCCCATCGTCGCCCTACGCTGTACGTCCTGCGCGTGAGTCGTAGTGGTACTGCCGACTGGTACGTGGCCAAGCGCTACTCCGAGTTTCGGGCATTGCATGACGCATTGCAGCGTCAGTTTAGTGGGAATAAATTTCATTCGAGTTGTGGCGCATGTTCGGAGCTTGCAAGCTTTTATGGCAGTGTGCGCTTTCCCGAGCGCCATATTTTCCAGTCCAGTCTGAGTTTTTCCAAGAAGCGACTGGACGCCACGAGGATGGAGGAGCTAGACGGCTATATGCGTTTTCTGTTAGAGACAACGCAGGGATTGCTAGGAGATGAAGACAATGATGCAGCAGAGACGCCGGAATGGGATGGCAATGATGATTCGAGGTGTCTAGCGCTGGATCTGATTCGAGAGTTCTTGATGGTGAATGAAGATCATACGACGGATACCGATGTCAAGACAAGACAAGACGAAGATGACAGGAAGAATCGAAAGGGATTGAAGGAAGCGGCAGCATCGGCCATGCCGAGGCGTCAGTTGCACCGGCTAACGAGCCGGAACTCATCCGTCACGAGTTTTCATGTGCGAGAATTGGACCTTGTATCGAATGAAAAGAAAAGTTCGCCTTCTGGTGACTCGATGCGCAACTTGTTTGCAGAGGAGTGGTGGAACCCCTCATTTGCCGACGTGTTTGACGAAAGTATTGCACCACCTGAGGACGCCTTCATTCATCGCCAGGTTGAGGACGGTCCTACACGTCCCCGCCCGCTGCGACTCATTGAGAGCTTTCCGCGGCGTTAACGTGGTAAGATGCAAGCAGAAAAGACTTGTAAGAAAAAAAAGGACGATCTTCGAACGAAGGTAGAGCCAATTTGATTTGGCCGCGACAATGGCGGTCTGATTTATTGTAAGAGTTTGTTATCGAATATAATAAGAAGCACGTTTAATACTGTACTCCTGTATACTTTATGCACGTGTTGAGTATTAGTGCTACATGTTGCTGAAACGGCACCACATTTGATTGAGCTCAGCCTGCAAATCCTGCACAGTGGCACAGTTCGTAAAAACAGTGTCTATTTCCTGCAGACAAATCCTCATTGCGCCAAAGCACACCGCACGCCACTAGCATGGCATCGGGTATTCTTTCTGATTGTCTTCAAGGATTTGACCGTTAGAAAAATCGAGCTACTTGAAGCAAGTGTCATTTGCCCGAACATATAGAAGCTACTTGAAGTATTATTGGTCTAACGTGTATGCCAACTCTTGTCTGTGACAATTACCGTTATTTTGCAAATGTTTGATTCGAATTTCGGTAAATTCCGTGGAAAGGATGTATGTTATTTAGCCAATCAAAAGAAAACGCTGTTTCTAGAGCATCAGATTTGAACTTTACCAGATATGCCTTGCCACATACATTCATTTACCTGAATGCAATTACATGTAATACAATAAAGAATGCACCAAGTTGACCATAAATCTTACTACTTCACGTTCACGGAAAACTGTTTGTATACATTTTATCCTACGTGTTACGCGGACAAGCAGCTAAACTTATCGTAACTTATAGAATAAAAGCTTTCAATTGGGATGCCAGCTGTTCACTGCAAAACTTTGCCAAAAGCAAGATAATCTCTTTGCTTAGGTTGCAATGTTCTACTTTTTCGCGGCAAATGTCAACAAGATTGATTCATCTAGTCATTGACGCTTGGTCTTCCTTAGCAGACTGCAAATCTTTGTAGAGAGGCCTTAACAAAAGTTCACAAAGTCAACGGATAGCTCTACGGTCCTTATCACTGTGCATAAACGTTTAGACGGGTTACACAACGTGGTTACACAAAGGTGTGTATGTAAAATACGCACCTACCACACCATTTTGGTGTGGCTGTACTTTGGCTCACATTTTTTTTGATGTAACCGTGCCTGCTCACCTCGTGGTCATAGTACTTGGATAAGTACTATAGATACATATGTGTATATCGACAGAAGGATACAGAGTCCAGCACTAAGTATAGAGTAGATGTTTCTATATTAGTGCTAGAAGATATACAATAAATAAATCAGTTTCAAACCTTCTTTGTATAGCATTTGTTGCTCAAGCCTTTGTGAAAGGAAATACTACTGGTCTCATAGAGACGAAAAGGCACAAGCTTGTAGGGCTAGCCTTAAGAGGGTTGTCAATCATAAGACGCGAAGCTAGTAGACTTTTGTCTTCCTCTGCACCTAGTACATAAGTAGCTTTGCTACGGTAGCTCTGCTACACATTTCAAATTTGTTGAAAATAATAACTTTGTAGACTCTCAAATATTGGAGTGACGTTTCACAGTCATCGTTTTTAAATTCTCGACAGCTTGTGGATCTTATGCTGTTGCTATGGTGCAGCAATAAAGCAGCTGATGCATGACCTACTTATTGCTTTTTACTAACTAGCTGAATGCATATCCACGGCTTTAAAGGACTAATTTTCTTTCCAATTTACTTCTTATCGAACTAGTTGCCTACTGTAGCCGAGCTACTGTAGCCAAGCTACTTATGCACTACGTGCAGAGTAAGACAAGCTCCAAGAGCTTGTATGTCTTAGAATGATTAGCCCTTTCTAGGCTAGCTCGCAAGCTTGTGCCTATCGGTTGTCACAATCGGGCCTCAAAGAGACTAGTCTCAAAGATACAACTTCCTGTCTTTCAAGGAAGAGAACGCTTAAGCAGTGATGCTTACACAGCAGGTTTGAAACTGATTTCTATCTATGTTTATCTTCTAGCACTAAATATAGAATCACCTACTGTATAATTAGTGCTAGTCACTATTTACTGGCTCTACAGCCTATTATTATCATGTAAACATGTAAAGTCACTATACGTAACTAAGTATAGTGACCACGTGGCTCTCTGCCACGATGCGACCCTTCTTACCTTAGGTACGGTCACATCACCTAATTTTGTACCCAAGGTACAGCCACACCACATTGGTGTGGCAGGTGTGTATGTAAAATACACACCTTCGTGTAAACCCGTTACACCCCCCGACCCGACGTATTCACAATTTTTGAGCTTAATGGGAGTCATCGATTTTATTTTCCATTTTGCTTGCCTCGCCGCACTTTAGAACAAAGCTTTAGTGTCTCAACACTTGCTCCTTGAGCACCCGTGCTTTGCACACACGCTTTCTAAGCATTTTAGTGTTACGAAACTTTATCTTTGAGCATACAGTGCGTTGAACTCACGCTAAAACATTAAATGTCACGACACTTGCTTATAAACGTTATGTGCCAAGCACTTGGTATTAATACCCATTTGAGTTTACGAACACTTGCTTTAAAGCATTACAGTGTTCACAACACTTGCTTTTAAACACTACAGTGTTCACAACACTTGCTTTTAAGCACTACAGTGTTCACAACACTTGCTTTTAAGCACTACAGTGTTCACAACACTTGCTTTTAAGCACTACAGTGTTCACAACACTTGCTTTTAAAGCACTTGTCCCTGTTGCGCGTGTTGCATCATGGATGCTGCAATGCGTCGAGACATCTTTGGGGACGATGACGGTGACGTTGCTTCTAGGGGCAACGGCGCCGAGTCTCCGTTGGGTAATACTATCCCATTATCACCACGCTCACCGAGCGAGGGACGCCGATCCCGTTCGGTGTCTTCTCTTCTAAGAAAACCAACCCAAATTGGCCCACTTTTGTAAAAAAAGCCATGGCTGTCACCATTTTTTTCAAATTTACAGATTTCAAGAGCTTAAACTTGCAACGAAGCGTAATATATAATGTAGCCATAATGCATCTGTTAGGAAACTTGATTGACAACAACAATGACGAGCTTTTTTAGCGGAGGAGTATCGCATATCCTGTTCCATGCTAATTTTGGGCTACCATGAAGCTATTAAATTTGGGTAGCAAGCGATCTATGTAGTCTTTTTTGTGCATGTAGCTTCACTCAAGTCAAGTGTCATGTATTCAGTGCACTATTGTCGTCTATCTTAACCACTAGTGATCCATGTGACAGGCACCAATCCTTTCGTTTTGCGCAGTTGCAGCCTTGCACTGAAAAAAGCTGCTGAACTTTTTAGCCGGGCAATAAACAATCGAGTGACGTGTTTTGGTTTGCCGTAGTTGTCCTTCTTATCTCCTAAACTTCACGTCTTTAGTACCGGCATTCTTCAATTCACTTTGTGTAAAGACCTTCTTTCTACTTTTGTAAGAGTGAGATCAATATAAATTTTGCCACTGGGACGTATCCGTCAGTAAGTAGGAGAAAAAAAAATTTAATCAATTTAAAGGCAAAACAACTTTTTTTTTTTAAAAATTAAAAAAAAAAAAAAAATTTTTTTTTTTTTTTTTTTTTTTTTTTTTTTTTTTTTTTTAATAAAAAAAAAAATTTTAAAATTTTTTATAAAAAAAAATTTTTTTTGCTACCTGACGCGAATTAACGTCTATGGCTGATGCGTTCGTGACTGGTATTCACCGTGGTCAGACCGCAACCCAGCGATCCTCTTTGGTCAGGATAGCGAAGCGCTCGCAGAGTTGTTTGTACGCAACAAAAAGGCAGACGACAGTTCTAGGAGCAGTCTTTGTAAGTTCTACCGCAGTCGTGCAGTGAATACGCTATTAACGCTGACTTTGATATCAAGGTGGACCGGAGGATGTAGTATAGTAGTAGCTTAGTCGACGCAGCAGATTGGGTGCGACTAAACTAGTTGACTCGATTCTGTATTTGCGTGCTAGCTTCATGCTCATTTACTCCTTCTCTTTCTTGTAGCTTGTCGCGATAGGCTTTTTGGTCTATTGAAGGATATGTCAAGAAAGAACAAGCACCATGACAACACTTCACATAAGGTTCAAGACAAAGCTTGGACATTGACGCTCTACATGAAGGAAGCAGTGTACGTGCCTTACTGCAACAAGCAGTTCTCTACATGTCCGATGACGCTACAAAGTGAAGCATTAGCTGAAGTCTCATCATGCTGACACACAGTCTCGACATCTGTCAGTCTCAGACAATCTCAATGTCGCTATACGATCGCTTTTTCAGATCATTTTTCTGGCGTCGAGCGGTGCGTGAAAGAATATGCGGTACACCGCTAAGCGTCTCAAGCTGACTGTACTGTCGATTCATGATTAACACTGCAGCCTTCTTCGCCTTTCGGAGCTCTTCCGTCAATCCATTTTTCTCCAAATTGATCGATGCTAGTTTTGGTAATAGTTGTTGACACTGCGTTTTCCAACGCAAGGCATCAGCTTCTGCTTCATGAAGACGGTGAGTGTGTAATGGGCACTGAAACTCAAGCTCGAACTCATCATCTTTTTCCGTCCCTTGCCGAGTCGCTACAGCTTTATACTTTTCCTCCAGGATGATCGCCATAGCTTCCAAATCTTCCAATCTCATCAATGTGCATTCAGTTTGCTCCATAGACCCACGAAGACACGCTACTTGCTTTGCAAGCGTAGCTTCTCGTCTGATTGATTCAACTAACCTATTCTTAGTATATTCATGTGCTCTCTTCTCTCGATGATACACGCGCCACGCTCGGTATGACGCACCAAGTGAAGTGAGCACGTCGTCGTCATCACTTCCAGGACCACCATCGTTTTCACTGTCGTCAGCAGCAGCACACACTCTCCAATCCAACTCAGTTGTACTGTCTCGAGGTGACCCTCTTACAACCTTTACATCGTCGCGAGGATGGTGCTTGTTCGACATACAACAGCATGCTCTTGAGACTACATTTACCACTTGATGAGTCAGCATAACAAAGCGAGCACGTACGCTCGCTCGCATCATGAAGAGCTCACTTATCATTGA